GTCGTTCCTACTGATCATGACGAGTTATGCTATAGAGTTGTTTCTACTACCGATCTCAATGACTTCTGCCTTAAGCTCTCGTTTAGCCCGATCCCACGATTTCTGCGCTCCTCTTCATATGAAACCAGTTCTTCCTGCGCATCCATCCAGTCCTATGACATAAGGTTGCTGTCACAGGGTCAGCAGATCAACGTATGAAGTGTGCGCCAAATTGATCTGCAGCAATCATTGGGAATTGACAATCTAATTGGGTTGGTAGCACATATGATTTGCAAGATCAACCAAGCTCTGGGATCCTGGTTAATCTCACAAGGATCAATTGGAATCAGCCTGAACAGCAGGTCTCAACAAGTCAGCTGTCACAAACAAGCATTGGAAGATTCAGGAAGGAGGATACCAGCATTAGAAGGAGAAGCATATGGGAGATAACCACATGCAGGAGTGGGGACCAAGTGTCAGGGGTCTCGCGCCTGAAACCCAGGTCGGTCTGTCGAGATACTCGGTGACTATCAAGTTGCGCGATGACAGCAGGTGGCGTTCGTTGTATATACTATCGTAGGTTTCGGCTGACCTCTGTGGATACTCCGTTCAGGGGTAGCTCAGCACGATCAATATCAATACATAGGTTGTGATGACACCAAGGTCTGGTGTGAGTGTTGATGATGATGAGGTTGATGGTGTTGGTGATAAGGTTGGTGGCATCAACACAAGTGTCCAGTGTGTTGACTTGATGCTTAAAGTGATCCCCAGACTGCAGTGGACTACTGCCTTCGGTTCTATCTATATCTGGACCACTGGTTTGCTATGAACCACCTTCAGATGTCAGGTAGTGGTGATACAACACACACACTACAATGAGGAGCAACCTTGATAGATTGCTACTATGCTGACTGAAACTAATATATACTTATGCTGAAGTGATAACTAGTTATGATGTGTGTAGAGTGGATGAGGATCCACTCGACCTTTGATGATGAGAAAGTATGGTTATATACCTCTTCACAGCATTGCCAGCGACGCTGCTCCTGCTCTCTCTCTCCAGAGAGTACCTTCTTCATCGAGTACTGTACAGGGGCCCCTCTAGCACTGCTCCTCCTCCTTGCTATCCTGCTTGCTTGGCACCCCTGTGCCTCTTGAGTGGTGTTGACTCCTTCGACACTGCTCCTCCTCCTCAGGACCTGCTTGCCGGTTTCCTATACACTGCTCCTTCTCCTTTGACTGGTGACAGTTCCTTTGACTCTTGTCTCTCGAGCCCCTGAGTGGTAACCATCTGAGCTTGGTCCTCTTTGTGGCTGTGCCTGCTCCTTGAGCTTGGTCCTCCTCGTGGCTGTGCCTGGCCCTCCTCGCATATGGGCCCGGTCCTCTTTTGCATGTGAGTCTGTAGGAGTCCATGGTCTCCATGGAGACTGCACTATGACCATGCTCTCTACTGGTATCGACTAGATCTCCGATACCTGTGCTCCTTCCATATGAACCAGTGACCCTCCTGCTTCTTGAGCAATCAGGCCCATGACACCAAGCTCAGCATCACACAGATGGTTACCACTCAAGGGGTATGTGCATACAGCCACATAGGACTGAGCACAGGGGTGACCACATGATCAGGGGGGGCTTGGCAACAGGGCTTGACAGGTGGTTAAGGGATTCACAAGGTAAGGTTGAGAAGTTAGTCACCAGTGAAGAAAGAAGGAGCTGTGTCAAGTAGACCAGGGATTGTCTATGAGGAGGAGGAGCTGTGTCAAAGGGGTTGTCACACATCACCAGGCAAAGAAGAGCATGGAGGCAAAGGGGCAGTATTGCACAAACCTATACACTGTGTGGGCAGTAGAGGTGCAGCATCAAAGGGATTGACACCAGCAAGAGAGAGTGTGTCGAAAGGAGGCAAAGGCCTCTCAGGAGGAGCAGGAGAGGTGTCACAGGTGACACCAAGTGAATGCATAAATACTCTCATTCTACCATAGCATACAAGTGGATCCTCATCCACTCTACTCTATACTTTACATACTCTTTACTTGACTCATAGTTACATATTATTGCAATAGCAGAGCTTTGCAATGACACCTCAAATGTGCATGTTGTATCACTGTTAGGTGTCAACTGTAGGCAGTGTTACTCAACACCTGCAGTCCAGTCCCTTACTGTAGGCAGTGTTGCTCAACATCTGCAGTCCAGTCAGTTATTGTAGGCAGTGTCCAACACCTGCAGTCCAGTAACTACCATCCTCTGTAGGCAATAAGCATATCATGGTCCAGATGATGTTAGAGAGCATTAACAACAGTACTATGAACACTTGTACTGTAAAGGAGAGTGTATTGCTCTCCCTCCAGAGAATAATGGACATGCTGCACAACCTCTGAATGGAGTGTTCAAGGCAGTCAGCTGAGACCTACCAGTACAAAGCCATCTGGTTACATTTTAGTCAAAACATACTGAGTAGATCTTACTCAATTGATCCCACCAATACCAATTGGAAACACCCAATCTGGTTTCAGGTGCACAACCGCTTACAGTTGCTTCGACACGAGTGTCCAGTGCGTTGACTGAATGATTGATGATCCCAGGACTGCAGTGGATGACTGCCTTCGGTTCTATGATCGAGAGAGCTGGACCACAGTGTGAACTGTCATGGGCCTGGATGCTCAAGAAGCAGGAGGGTCACTGGTTCATATGGAAGGAGCACAGGTATCGAAGATCTAGTCGATACCAGTAGAGAGCATGGTTGTAGTGCAGTCTCCATGGAGACCATGGACTTCTATGGACTCACATGCAAAGGAGAACCGAGCCACATGCGAGGAGGGCCAGGCACAGCCACGAGGAGGACCAAGCTCAAGGAGCAGGCACAGCCACAAAGAGGACCAAGCTCAGATGGTTACCACTCAGGGGCTCGAGAGACAAGAGTCATAGGACACTGGCAAGCAGGTCCTGAGGAAGAGGAGCAGTGTCGAGGGAGTCGACACCAGGTCATGAGGAGGAGGAGCAGTGTCAAAGGAGTCGACACCACTCAAGAGGCACAGGGGCGCCAAGCAGGAGAGGCCCCTGAGCAGTACTCGATGAAGAAGGTACTCTCTGGAGAGAGAGCAGGAGCAGCATCGCTGGTGATGCTGTGAAGAGGTATATAACCAGGCTTTCTCATCATCATAGGTCGAGTGGATCCTCATCCACTCTACTCACCATACAACTAGTCAAAACTTTAGAAACACAAGTACTCATTAGTTACAGTCAGCATAGCAGCAATCTATCAAGGTTGCTCCTCATTGTAGTGTGTGTGTTGTATCACCACTACCTGACGTCCGTAGGCGCCCATAGCAGGTTAGCAGTCCAGATATAGATAGAACCGAAGGCAGTAGTCCACTGCGGTCCGGGGATCACTTCAAGCGTCAAAGTCAACACACTGGACACTCGTGTTGACACCACCAACCTTATCACCAACACCATCAACCTCATTATCATCAACACCCACCAACCTTATCACCAACGTCATCAACCTCATCACCAACACCATCAACCTCATTATCATCAACACGCACCAACCTTATCACCAACGTCATCAACCTCATCATCATCAACACTCACCAACCTTATCACCAACGTCATCAACCTCATCATCATCAACACTCACACCAGACCTTGGTGTCATCATAACCGAAGCATTGATATTGATTGTGCTGAGCTACCCCTGAACGGAGTGTCCACAGAGGTCAGCCGAAACCTACGACAGTATATACAACGAACACCACCTGCTGTCACTGCGCAACTTGATAGTCACCGATACCGAGACAATAGCTGTCGCACAGTTTGATAGTCACCGAGTATCTCGACAGACCGACCTGGGTTTCAGGCGCGAGACCCCTGACATGAACCACCTTCGGTGTCAATCATTATCTGGACCACAGTTGGTACTGCCTTCGGATGATGTCAATGAGCAGTGATACAACACACATGCTACAATAGAAGCAATGCTCTGCAATTGCAACTGTTGACAGAATACTAAGTATACTTTCTGTGAAGCTATAACTAGTAATGTAAGGTATAGAGTGGATGGAGATCCACTCAACTATCATGACCAGAATGCATATCTTATATCAGCACCTCTCACAGAGCCGCCTGCAACACTGCTCCTGCTATACCAGGAAGTGTACCTCCTCCTCTCACACTGCTTCTCCTGCTCCTTGTGTGGATGAGGAGACTATCTCAGTACCCCTTCATCATTTGATAGGGGTTATCCCCACTTCATCCCAGTGGTAGTGCCCCTCCCCCTTGTTCATCTTGCCCCCTTGATGATGGTGCCCACCTCCTCATGCCCATTTCATTGTCATGTAGGGCCCCTACCTCATCAGGTGGCAGCCCACTCCTTGTCTGGTGTCCTCTTGGTTTGGGATTGCCAATAGAAGCATCTTCTAGTCAGTCTCATGAGATCTGTTGTATGAGCCTGGTGCTACTGATCCTGATGGATTCTGTAGTAAGGCCTTGCTACTACAGATCTTGACAAGTTCTGCCATAGAGCCTTTGATCCTACCAATCTCACTGAGCTCTGCCAGAAACCTCTTGTAGCCCAATCCACGATTGTTGTGCATGGTCACTTCATCTGACTCCAGTTCTTCCTGTGCATCCATCCGGTCCTATGACACTAGGAATGAATGTGGCAGGAGCCTCAAGCACCCTGCCAGACTTATATACAAACATGTGGCACATGCCCAACTGTGGGTGTATCCTACCTAATGACAGTGTGTAGCAATGAGTGGGATATGGTTGCTTCCAATCTCTGTCTTGCATCAGCTCAGCCTGATTGCCTATCTGATTTGCCTCATCTGATCCTGATCAAATCTACTTAACCTGATTGCCAACTGGACCTTCTCTGCCCAATCCTCTACTGATCTTATCTACATTATTCCTAGATCGGACTAGTTCGCAATTTCCAACAGTTGCATCGATCGACGAGAAGGCCAACCATGCAAATTGATTGTGTCGGAAGTGGTATCAATTGCCGAAGCTTATCGGATCTACAACTTGCTACTTGGCAAGCTCGGCTTTGTCCCCTGCCTCAACCTGGCCTTGACAGCGTTTGTTCTCTTCCACGCCCTCCAAGTGCCCGCCAACAGCCCGACTGGCGGCAAGAGCCACTGTACTAGCCATCTCAGTCCACCAATCGGTCCACTGTATGCATCTACCCACCTGTTGACCATCCTATCCGCCTGTACTCGCAACGCTAGCGAAGTCTCCTTGTCCAGCCCTCTTGTCCATTCTGGCGCTTGCAGTGCATCCTCTCCTGCAACCCGCTTGCTGAGATTGGTGGAGTTGTCGAGCACAGTATCCGCGTAAACCAGCTTGTCATCCAACGGCAATTGCGCTGCCAACCTCTGCTTAGCATCTTCCTCCGTCAACCCTTTACTCTCGCCATCCCTCTTCAGCATCCTTGTTAGCTGATCTTCCTTTCTGCAGTACACCAGCACTAGTTCGCCGCAGAACCTCCACAGCCCTGCTTCCACAAGCAGTGGCGTATCCACTACTACCACCTTCTTACCCTGGATCCAGTACGTGAGAAGCTTCCAAACCATGCGTTTGCGGATGGCTCCGTGAGTGATCTTGTTGAGCAATTTGGTTTTCTCGGGTGTAGCGAATGCAAGTCGGCCCAATTCGGCGCGGTTGAGTGTTCCATCACTGTTGATGACTGTAGGTCCGAAGGTGGAGCGGAGAGCGGAAAGGGCTGGTTGGCCAGGAGCGACTACTTCACGGGCGAGAACGTCGAGGTCGATGATGGGTATTTTGGCTGGGTGAGAGGAGATGAGGTAGGAGGCGGTGGACTTGCCAGAGGCTATACCGCCTGTGAGGCCGACGACAAGCATGGTTGAGGCTGAAGCTGCAAGCACTAGTGATAGCTTCGGAACAGTGTAGAATACTGCTTCGATGATGATGGTCTCTGGAGGACGACTTCGGATGGTCTGAGCGATGTGAAGCCGGGTTCCGAATACAAATGTTAGAGCTTTTGTAGCAAACATGTGAATTCGCATCCAACAGCGTCGGCCACCAACCGCAGCTTCCAAGACAGCCCTTTCCACAGCTGTCGTGGACATCGAAAAGGGCCCTATTCGACTCAGTACCTTCACGACGACGAGCTCGATAGAAAGTGCGGCTCTTGGCCACCAACGACCCTGCAATTACAGCTGCTCGAAGCAGGACCTTCTGGTTCGAGCCGAAGTGCCGGCGGGGTTGCCCAGACGTGCTTCCATGAAACACGCTGAAACAGCTTACACTGAGTTTAGTGTAAGAACTTTGTCAGTGCTTTCACTTTCTCCAAACGACCGTCTCTCCCACCACATGTAATCGGACCAGTGACGCAAAGTTTTTCCTACCGCTTTGGTACGGACCATCACTTTCAAGATTGGAGCAGGTTCTCAGGTTGTGCGGAGGAGCAACCCCATACCGAACGGATACAACGTCGCGATGCTTTCGACATCGGACATGTTGCAGCTGTGGTTCTGGCTCTGGTTCATATCGATGTTTCTCGCATTGCCGCTGATGGCGCTACGAGGGGAGACTCCACAGAAGCTATGGCAGCTGTGACCACTTCAAATGCAACAGCACGGGCGACTGACTGCAAGATAGCACCTCACTCAGACAACCAGATCGAACCCTGTCCACACAAGCGTCATTCTCTCAAGCCCAAATTCTCTCACTCTCAAGCACAGATCCTGATCCCATAGACATCGTCATCAAGCGATGCATTCATTAGTATGAAGATTGCATCAAAAGCCCAGTCTGTGGAGAGAGAACCGCTGTGTTTTACTGCGCCGATGCCTCAAGCGCGGCGCTGGGCACCAGGCCAAGCTCGCGGAGAGTCTTGCTTGCGTCGCTTGCATCAAAGAATTTCCTAGGGAAGGTTGTTGAGAACTGTCGATGCAAGCCGACAAAAGGTGTCAGTTGTCTTTTCAAAGCGCAGAATCCCAAAAGCTGTGGTCGTATACTTACCTTGAGCTGTGCACTACCGCCATCTTTACCCTCAGCCCGGATCTTCTCTTGAACGTCTCCCAACGTGGCATCTACGGGCAAGGTACCCATCCACATACCACCAGGCGCTCTCACCCTCAACCTCGCCTCGTTCGCCGAGCTCGTACTTACCTGTGGTCCAGCTCTCGCCGCTAACGCAGCAGCACTCGGTCCCGTAGCCGGAGTAGCAGCGACCGCACCTCCACCTTCTCTCGCCGCCTTCTCGGCAGCAGCCTTAGCCGCACGCTCTCGCTTATCCGCCTCGATCTGAGCCTTGATCTTGGCTTTGAATACAGCATCTTCAGCCTTCTCCTTACGTTTGCGCTCTGCCTCTTTGATCTGCTCCTTGCGTTTCATGTCCTCTTTGACCTCGGTGAGGTCTTGACCGGCTTTGCGACGGATCTTTTCGTTGGCTTTGTTTTCTTCAGCGTCGATCTTGGATTGAGCTGCGCGCTTGGCGGCGAGCTTCTGACGAAGCTCTTCGAGCTTAGCCTTCTTCTCCTCTTCGGTGAGGGGCTTGATCTCTTCGGTGCTCTCTTCGAACGAGGTGTGGCCGGATTTCTCGGCGTGGAACGAGGCAAAGGCGGGTGACTTGAAGACCTTGCCGCAGCCGGTACATTTGATGGACTACAAGCAGAGCAACGAGTTCGTGGAACGGGGCTGTCAGTCGTACTCGTCAAGCATGTCGCTGTTCAGTCTCGAACTCACCTTTGCTTCTCCGACGTTGTTGACTGCGTCATCTGCGGCTTGCTGGCCCCTCTTGACGACCAAATCAGCGAGCGCTGCTTCGTCTTCCTCGTCGTACTATATCAGACATAAAGGTATGAGGATATAAAGGGTCAGTCAACTGTCTGTCACGGATGGTGCGAGGGTCAATTATGTGTGCTCACGTCGTGACCGGCACCAGCAGAACCTGACCCGCCGGCTGCACCTGCGGTCTTGTAGTCTGTTGGGACGGGATTGTCCTGATTGGCTTCGAGATGGTCGAGAGCAGGCTGGAGTCCGGCGTTCTTGGTTGCGTACAGAGCCCAATCGACTCGCTCCGGGGCGAAGCCCATGTCTAGTACTGCATCAGCGTTGGACACGTCGCGCGAGGAGGATTGTTAGTTTGACATACTGTCTGCAAGTAACGACAGTCTCGCTAGACCAGCACTCTTACTTACGCATATTGCAGTCTCCCATCTTGCTGATATTGTGTTCTGTGAGAAGAGTGGTCGGGATGATAGGTGTAAGAAGGAAGAAACAGGACCAATGCGCAGCTTCATTTGGCGCACGACATCTGCGCTTGGTCCGTCCGCCTCCACACAGTTCCGCGCATCAAGTTTGTTAAAGATTTCGATCTTTCACTGCCCGAGATCCGAGCAAAGTTTGGTTACAGGACATGCGTCTTCTGTTGAAGTTTTGGTCCCGATAACTGGCAATCGGGTAGAGTCTGAGTACGATGTCACTGCTAGTTTTAGACAGAAACAAATATACTCAATTGACTAAAAGAACGTGGTGAGAGCCTAGTGTTCTCAGCTTGATATATATACATCGTGGTGGCGCATGCCGAGTGTGGGAGTTGTTATACTTAATGACTCAGCCTAACAACGAGCTGGACTTGGTTGTACCCGATCTCTAGTGAAATCGGCTGGGCTCGATCTCTGATCAGATCGGTCATCTAACCGGATCGGCTCTGACTGATCTCCGATCAGATCGGCTCTGCGTCATCCTTCAGCGTCTCACTGGATCGTAATCTTCAGCATCTTCTTCTTGAAGTCGTCCGCTGTTCGACGGACCTCAACATCTGCTCTCGAATCTTCACAGCGGCTGCAACTGACACTCACGTCCTTGCGAGCTGAGTACACTTTTCATCTCTAAGTGGCCACAATGTCACAAAAGGAGATAATCTACCTCTCCTTCGGCTCCTTCTCCAACCACATCTCCACCCACTTTTGGAACCAACAGCAATCCTACTTTACCTACGACTCGAGCGATCTACCCTCCGGCTCTACCAGCCGTGATCGTGACACAGCTCAAAACAACGACGACGAGCCGCTCATAGATCACGATGTATCCTTCCAAGCTGGTCAGACGCTTTCAGGGCAAGACACATACAACCCACGCACGATCATCTTCGAAACGGAACAAGAGTTTGGTGCGTTGAGCAAACTCAATGCTCTCTACGAATCATTCCCGTCGGATAGCGGAGATCGGAATGTTGCGCTGGATAGCTTGCAGAGCTGGGGAGTGGAAGCAGAAGTCATTGCGGCCGAGAGGGTGGGGACGAGCAAGTATCAGCGTCGGTTGGAGTTGGAGGATCAGGGTTTGGATCCAGGGTCCTCCGATGATGACAAGGATGAAACTGAGGAGAAGGTTGTAGACAAGATGGACCTGGATCAGCCACCGGCAGTGTCAACATTGAGAACAGCTATTCCGCGACCACGACGGACGAGAAGAACACATCGGTTCTGGTCAGATTACTCACGGACGTTCTTCCACTCCAAGTCGCTCGTTTCGGTGGGTGGAGAGCTCACAGCTCCCATGCCTGGCTCGTACAACTCTTCCGATCCACCCTCGGGCTCAGATGGTCGTACACGATTCGAGTCCTTCTCTCAAGGTGCCAGCTACTATGACGAGCTGGAAGCACAGCAAGAGGTGCTGGATTCCAACATCCGTTGGTTCGCGGAAGATGCCGACCTGCTTCAGGGCTTTCAGTACACCATTGATACCTCACATGCATTCGGTGGTTTGGGTGCAAAGTACCTCGAGAACCTGGTTGACGAGTACCCTAAAGTTTCTCACCTTGTCTTTGGCGCTGGGTGGGGCAACACCAATGACGTGTCCGAAGAGGAAGGCAACGGAGCATGGGAAACGAGACTAGCCAGAATCCGAAGGATGAACAATCTTCAGTCACTAATACAGTTCATGGAGTTCTCCACCGTAGTAGCACCGCTAAGAGTGCCGAGCTGGGAAGCAGGCGGTCAAGTAGGAGCAGACTGGAGAAAGTACCTCGGGAGGATCGATTTGAGCGATATGCATCACGCCGCAGCCCTTATCTCCTCGCATCTGGAGACGGCGACATTGGGTACAAGGATGAAGTCTCGCTCCGAGACCCTCTCTTACCTCACAACGCGCTTAAATTGGCGTAAGGATACCAAGCTAGTCCATCTTGGAGGTGCAATACCCTTGCCCTACCCAACGCCTCTCTCCTCCACCGTCTCGAATCCGCGGGCAGCTCTGGATCCAGTGGATGCGATGCTCCAATCCTACGGTTACGGCAACCGAGACTCACGCTTGCTTCAACGAGGAGCTCCGCTTGAATCCGAATCAGAACTCGCTGAACGTGGTGCCAAACTCGCTCTCTCTGCTTGGCTTGACTTCTCCCTCCCCTCGTCCCTTTCTGGCGGAGCTTCAAGACGCAAGAAGTTGCTGTACAACATTTCGCGTCCGTTCTCGCACACCGCCGTCCTCCGCAACACTAACCTTGACGACGCTAGACTCGGACTAGGGATGCTCGACTCTATCCTCTCTCACATCCGCGAACCATTCGGTCAAGGAATGTACATTCCACAGTCATACAACATCCTCTCTTCGTTCCCGAACTTCTTGAGCAACCCTTCGGAGCCGAGTCGAAAGCAGAGCAAGCCGAAGGACGTACCAATGCTGTCGTCGTTAGCTGCCACTCCGTCTAGCGTCTACTTGCTGAAAGAAGCGAGAGATACAGTGAGAGAGGCATTGCAAGGTCATGCACCGTTGGCAGCGTACGGGCTGGATGGTGAAGATGCGAAGGATGGACTGAAGGAGACGAGGGAGCTGATCGAAGGATGGATCGATGCGTATAGTGTTAACAACGATGGTGGTGCGGGGAGTGGAAGTGAGGATGGGGACGGAGATGAGATGGGCACGGATGAAGAGTATGATGTGGATCAGAAGGAGGAGGATGGACTCGATTGGGATATGTAGCTGTCTTCACACCAGAACATGGAATCTTCACCTCGTATCATCGTCGGAACATCCTGACGTGCATGTTCGCAACACACAGAGTGACTGAGATATCCGCTTGAGTCGCCTTCCATAGGCTAAGTCCATTCCTCTGCATTCCAGTATGATCAAGCAAGTAAACAGCTGTCGTGGGGCATCCGTGCGCTTACACACCATACGCAATAACTCTCGAAAAGTGAAACGGCCTCGAATGCTTCTGTGGCAGCGGCAGCACCTCCCCATTCGTCAGATTGACACTATAATACTCCAATAGATTCAACTTGTTCCATCTACCTCTCGTCGTGCTCCTCAATCCGAACACCATCCTGAAAGCATACTTTTGCATGCTCTTATCTCTCAGATCCTCCACTACTACCTTCGGACCTCTGGGTCGAGCTTCCTCTTCATCATCCTCCAAGCCCTCTTCGAAGAGTTCCCATTGGCCTTTGGAGAATCCTTTCGCTTTGAGACCCGGTTCGAGCTTTCGTACTGTTTCAGAGGGTGGGTCTGTGGTGAGAAGTGAAAGTGCTGTTCCGTCGGGAAGGAATCGGATTGAACGATAGAACTCGACGACGTGAATAACTCGCACCCACGCATCTTCGCTGAGACCAGGTCGTGCGTAGTGACAAGCAGCAATGTAGCAACCATTGAGTCGGAGACGTGGTTGGTTGATGAAGACGGTGCGCCAGTCCGAGTGGTGTCGCTCGTAGAGGGTTGCAAGGGTGAGAGAAGGGTCAAGAATGGGTGGATAGTAGGTCTTGCGGACGATCTCGCGCCAGAGGGAGGGAGACTTGGTGAGAAGACGGAACTTCCAGCACGTTCGACCGAGGATTTCGAGCGATTGCCAGTCGGCTCCGCCAAGTACGACGCCGATACCGAGCGGTTGCTTTCGTGTGATGGCGCCGGCGACTGAGTTGTCGGATGCCTTTGCCTTTTCAGCCTTATCTGCGCTGGCTGCTGCGTCAGCAGTGGTGGCGGCGGAAGCAGCTGCAGTTGGGGCTGTGCCGTTTGTTGTGGGTGCTGCTGCCTTCTCTGGCTTGGCGCCGTTGGCTGCAAGTGCATCTGTTGCCTTGCTCGGCTTCTTCCCCTCGCCTTTGCCAGCATCCGTCTTTTTACCCATCAAGGCAGCAGTGGCAGCGTCCATCGCGGCTTGCTCTTCTGGCGTCGGCTTTGGCTTCACAACCCTGGCGCCTCTTCTGCCTCGCGGCTGAATGAGCATTCGCAGGATATGTAGCAGTACCTCATCTGGAAGCCTTGCTATTGGCATGCCCTTCTCTTCGTCCTCTGGCTCGAATGCAACCATGCCAAAGCCTCGATCTCTGCCACCTTCTAAGGAGAGTTTGTCTAGCAACTTCGCTAGTCCGTCAGGCCATGACTCTGTGGCCCTCGGTGCCTTTTCGCTGCCGTGGGCAGCCGACGTAGGCGCTGCTGCTGTCTTAATCTCGCCATCTTCTACCGGTTCACCGCTCGCTCGAGCCTCTGCCTCCTTGGCCTGTCTCTCTTTGATAGCGACATAGCGATGGTCGTCAAAGTCGAGCGCCTTGCGGACTTTGTCTGCAATAGCCGGGCTCGAAAGCAATGCATCATTCTGTAGAGATGACGTATTCGCCAGTGTCGCGTCGGTGAGAAGCAAGTGTGCGCGGTGGTAGAGCCTGTCGGCGTTACTATTGAGCTTGAATGCACGACGATAGGAAGACAGGGCATCATCGAGCTGACCGCTGCGCTCCATGTCGACTGCATGTGCGTAAGCTTCAACTGCACTACGCATACCTGTCTGAGTAGCTTCGCTCGCATTGGCGGGTGCGTTTGGGGTGGCAATGATGCGTGGTGCACGTGGCGGTGTTGGCTTAGAGGAAGAGCCAGATGCTTCCGAGTGCGGAGCCAATTCGGCATCTTCTTGCTGCTGCTTCGGCGCAAGTGGTGGAGAAGGAGAGGTGGAAGAGCTGAAAGTTGCAGCCGCTGCACGAATGGGCTCTCTAAGAGAATGAGAGACGCCGTTGGCTGTGGATGATGATGAGGTGGCGTATGCAGATTCTAATGTGAAAGGTGCCGGGTGATATTCGACTGGCACAAGTGGCTCTGGTAGATCAGTAGTTTGAGATTGTTGGGCGGTAGGAGGTTGAGGCATGTTGTGCGCACTTTTCGAGTACTTGAGCGCTGCAGGTGCGTAGATCTTTGCTTCCGGGAAAGGCAGAGAAGAGTGGTCATCAACATGAAGCTTGCCGATCTGACTCTGGTCGTACTCTGCTGCCTCTTGGCCATCGTCCACCGGTGTAGCAGGTTCTATCTGTGGTTGGCTTGGCGCTCTTGATGAAGAGGCGGGTGGTGTTGGCTGCGCAGCAGGTCGGTTCTTTGCAGCTGAGCCTTGTGCTACCTTGCTGGTAGAGGCAGAAACCGAGGAAGAAGCCGGTGGTTGAGCATACGTTGCGTGACCTCTCGCCTGGACCTCCTTCTTCCACTCTGATCGGAAACGTTCGAGCTCATCGTTGACAGGCAATGAGCGCTGTGTGCTGCTGATTTTGGGCTGGTTAGCGTCGATAGAGGCTTCTAACGGTGTCTGTACACCTTGATTTGTTGTTTGAAAGCACATGATCTCAAGGAATTGTCGGGCAAGATATGGTGAAAAGGAAGGATGTGATTGAGAAAGGACAAGGAGAGGAAATGAATGTGAATGCTGTTGGAGCGAGCAGCGTGCTCGCTCGTCGCTTGCGACGCAGACTTGAATGTGGCGACGATGGAGGGTGTGTAGAGAGAGTCGATGGATATGGTTATTATGGAAGAACCAACTGACTAAGTCTTGTGTGTGTTTTGTGCGCCTACCCTGTGGACGAGGTTGAAACACGAGGGGGCAATGCAAGGGGCCATACAGCGGTAGAGCTCAGGCGGCTATCTTGTCCTCCTTGCGGGTATGGGATAGCCGTTATCGCGATAACCGGCCTGATACAGTTGAAGCATGCGACTCCTCGGCGTAGAAGCATGCGACCTCTCGGCGCGGAAGCATGCAATCGCTCGGAGTATGCAACTGCTACGCCGAGCTCGCATCCAATCTCCAGCCTCGCCTGATCGGATTTGAGGCATTAAGCGGAGCGACTATCGGGCATCAAGAGACGGCACGTTGGTGATTGGATGGTCAACGAAGTTTTCTCCGAGAGTCTCATGGGCATTGACTCAGCCATAGCGCAGTACCATACACGCATACAAGGAGCACTGAGATCTATATAAACGCTCGATTCATCATGTACTTAGGAATGCTTACTATCGCAATCGATACTTGTGATCATCGACTTTTGATCTCGACGACGCTCTTCAACTGATACGAGCCGATACGCCGCACAGGCCTCCCACAAGAAGACCTCTTTGGGGGGGGGGGGGGGGGGGGAAATGCTTGCCGCCGCTGTTTAGGTTGTAAGGTCTGTCCTCGGGTGATTTGGCAAAGCAGCCGTTCTACGAGCTAGTTGTGGTTCCTCTATGGCTGGAACGAGGTGCAAACCAGACCTACAAAGGCTCACTTGCGAGGGTGGAAAACGCGAGAAGAACTGGCAGTGTTTTCCAATAATTGTTTCAATTCAGGCACCTTCTCGATGTGGCTTTGAATTTGCTGCGGGAGTTTGTGAGATGGCACACGCCGAATTATACCATCAGCTTGGTGATATCCGAATTCGAGCCTACCATTGTCGTGTCGCCAGACGACAATTCTTTGTTTAGGCAACATTGGGTCCTCGTAGGTGTCTTTGTAGGTGTCCTCGTACGTCAAGGGGTTCGGAGTGATAACAATGCCGTTTCGGCTAGGACGTGGGTCATCATTAGGCGCAGGACCTTCTAAAAAGTGAAACTTGGACTTCGTCCAGGTTGGAAGCTCGGACCACTTGCGCGCCTGCATCACTGAAGATCGTTCCGAATTTAGGTAGTTGAACATGTAGACTCCATTCTGCCTCGTGATTATGATTTTCTCACCGGGATACCGCACCGTCATGTACTCCTGAGGGTTGCCCCTCTTCCTAAGTCTGGCCTTCGCCAGATTTTGGTAAACCTCGGGATGAACATTTTTTACCGCGCTGAGCTCGGGGTTGCTTTGCTGTAGAGCGCGGCCAGTGGGAGCAGCAGACGAGAAGGTAAGGATCAAAACATAGGAGAGTGCGATGACAAACAGCCACCAAGGCTGCTGTCGACTGGACCGGCCGCGAACATGCATTTTCTTGCTTGGAGATCTTGCTACAATGACAAAGAGCAAGGGAGGGAGACTTGTCAACATGCTGCAAGGCTGATGACGATCAGAACCAAAGACTTACAGAGCGAAGCTGAATCACTATTTGCCAACGAGAATGCTTTAGCGAGGGCGTTTGATGCTTGGATGGAATCAGAGGCTGAGCTGATCCACACGCATATATACGAGAGTCGAGCGGAACCACCAATGTGCAACCACCAAGTGCAGAGGTCAGAAGGCAGAAAGTCCGGGCTGTCTGCTGCAACGGTCGCTGCATTGAAACAGATCAAGTGAACCACGTTTGACCCACATCAGCAACGATATCTCATTGTCAAAGCCAGTCCGCGTCATCAGTGACCCACCAACGATCTCCTGGCACGATCACAACGTCGATAGTTGTGAGTCATACTTCACGGTCCCACTGGGAGGTCACTTACTCCCACCGTGTTGCCTTCAAGTGGGCTGGACCAAGATTCATGCCACTTTCGCGTTCGCAGACTTCACGCTTGGCACGACATTTGATCAGCAAGGTAGCAGTTGAAGATGCGTCAGCATTCCAACGGGATTCACCGGGTTCAATCGAGATATCGATAAAGCGAGGTCGTGCATAAGCGGTTTGCATATGAAATTCATAAGCGTTGCCATAGCAACGACCCCAGGAGTAGTACATAAACGTTGCCATAGCAACGTCCCAGGAGTAGTGCAGAAGGCGACAACTTAGGAGCAACACAGGAGGCGACTCATCTCAGTCTAGCGTGCTCAGAGACGGTACTGAGGTATATATTAATGAAAGTGAACAAGTATTTTGTCCCGATACTGGCGATCGGGGAGAGTCTAAGTACGATGTCACTGCTGCTAAAAGACAGAAACGTGTATACTCAATTGACTAAATGAACGGGCTGAGAGCCTAGCGCTCTCAGCTAGATATATATATGAACATCTTTGTGACATCTCCCACAGGTAGTACTCCTATCTAATGATTTACCATGACAACCGGCGGGACTGTGTTGCACCCGATTTCTTCCTAGATCGGTTCTCCTGAATCCCTGATCAGATCGGCCTGTCCCGATCCCTCCACCATCGGCTTGCGTCACCTCTCGTTATCATGTTTGATCGTTACCTTTGTCAGAGCCAAGTCTAGGTTCTCTGTGTACCTTTTGAATGTTGAAGATTACGATCCAGTGACGACGCTAAGAGGTGACGCAAAGACGACGAGATCGGAGATCGGGGATAACGGAACCTGTTAGGGATCGGATACAACCAAGTCCCCCTCGTTGTCAGGCTGGGTCATTAACTATAGAGACTCCCACATTCGGCATGTGCCACACTTTTGTATATATATCGAGCAGGGAGCGCTAGGCTCTCGCCATGTTCATCTAGTCAATTGAGTATATATGTTTCTGTCTTTTAGCAGCAGTGACATCGTACTTAGACTCTCCCCGATCACCAGTATCGGGACTGAAACAACTCAAGTTTCTAACATTGAATTCCCTGGCCTTGTGAAGATTGGGCTTCGAGGTAAGGTTGTTGCACATGCGAATGGGGTTGCTGTAGCCTAACTGTCCTTACCCTCTCTTCGAATCCTTCTTCCCAATCCTTCTTCCCAATCCTGAGGTTGCCAACGATTCTTTCGAGCAAAAGAGCAATAGCGCCCTTTTGCTGTCGCTGCTGTTAACGAGGCTAGCCCGCGGCATCCTCACTTGAATCTCGTCTGTGATACCTTCTCCTTGAGCTGTCTGCGATTCAACACATATTCCCATCCATCATCCCCGTTCCCGATGCTATCACGCTGAAACCCAAACCCCTTCACCTCAATTGCATCACCTGTCGCCGTTGAATGAAAAGGACTTCATCCAGCATGCCCGCTGCGTCCGCGCCCAGGCCGCCGTTTTCGCAGCGACTCGACCAGCCCAACCAACACGCACAGCAGCCTCCCAGAGGCGAGTCTGGCGATCAGATCTCTCCACACACTATGAGTGCCGCTGTCGACCAAGCTCATATTCAGCTCATCCAACAAGTTCAGCATGAGCTCCGTACGCCCGTCCATGGCCTGCTTGGCCTCGTCGAGGATCTTCGCGCAGAACTCCGTGCAGCACCAATAGAAGACAAAGCAGCGCGCAGATCGCTGCTTATCAAGACCGAGAGTCTTTCTGGACTAGGCGAAAGGTTGCAGAATGTCTTGGACGACTTTCGGGATTTCGCGGCGGAAACGGTGAATGCAAGAGAAGCTGAGGAGGACTATGAGGTCTTCCCTGAAGAGCCGGTCGACTTGGGCGATTTGTTGGATACAGTAGCCTCAGAGGCATGGAATGCACAAGTGCGGCAGATTCGAGCGGAGGATGGTGACGATGCAAGACTTCCGCCACCACCCGAACTCATCTTGCAAACAGATGCAAGTCTGCGTGGGTGGAAGACGGTGGTCTCGACCAAACTCGTCAAGAAGCTCGCACACAAGCTCATCTCTAACGCCCTCCGTTTCACCTCGGAAGGGTATGTTGAGGTTTCACTCTCTCCATCCGTTGCTACGTCACCTTCGTTTGAGCAAGATGTCTCCTTCCCCTCCTCAGCGTCCTCCTCAACACTCTCAAGAGACCAACACTACGTCGATTTGGTGGTTGAAGATTTAGGCGAAGGCATGACCGAACACTTTCTTTCGCATCGCCTCTTTGAGCCGTTCGTCAAAGCAGACAACTTCAAAGCCGGCGCCGGTCTCTCTGTGACCCTTTGCTCCACCATCGTTCGTCGAATGGGCGGATCGATGCACGTGTCGAGCGACAAAGGCCGAGGAACCATCGTCACGGTCAAGATCCCAGTACAGAGCCTTCCAGATCATTGCAAACCACCAGCACCACCCTCTCAATCCGACCAGCTAATCTACCTATACGGCTTCGAAGGGCCCGGTCTACAACGGTTGGCACAGGTCATTTCTGCCCAACTTGCCACATTCGGCAATCTCTACTGCACTTCGCACATCCAGGATGCCGACTTTCTGCTTATCCCGGAAGAAGCCTGCGGGAAAGTCGAGGGTGGAGTGGATGCGATTTTCGCCCAGACCAAGCCAGGAGTCAAGATTGGCGTGCTGCAAGCGCATGAAGATCAAGGGATAGAGTATGCTGCGTTCAAGAACGGTAGTAGGAGACCGACTTTCGTCACAAGAAAGCCTTTCGGGCCGAGATGCTTTGCGAATCTCTTAAGGCTGGCACAGCAGGAAGGTGACCAAGATACAAGGACCGCGAGTGAGACGGTGAGGCAAAAGCATGGACATCTAGGCTACACAGCACCTGTCAACCCAGACAAGCCGGATGAAGTGCTGCCTGAGGGATCAGGTACACCTCTATCTCAACGAGCTGAGCTGGCAAAGGCATCCGAGGATGCTACGGAGAAGGAGAACAACAAAGACCTGCTCCCGCCTCGCATGTCTCTCGTGGAAGACCAGGAAAAGGAGAACCGTAAAAGTGGCTCTTCTTTGCCAAGTGGCGACAAGCTCGCCGATCTAGTCCTCTCTCCCGACGCCATGGACGAGGTGCTGCGTGCGCCCAACCCCAAACCTCGTATTCAACCGCCTCCCACACCACCCATCTCCACCGCTGACTCCGAACCTTCCTCCGCCACTGCTCAACCCAAGCCATCATCCTCATCAAGGACCCAACCATCCCGCTCGTCATCTCTCCGCCGCTCCAAACCCAAGTTCAGCGTCCTCTGCTGCGAAGACAACCCACTCAACATGCGTATCCTCATGACCATGCTCCGCCAATCCAAGATCGAGTTCCACGAAGCAGTCGATGGCGTAGAAGCAGTCGAACAATTCAAAAAGCATTTACCTGCTGTGACGCTGCTAGATATCAATATGCCCAGAATGATGGGTTTCGAAGCTTGCGAACTGATGCGGAAGCATGTGAAGGAGGAGTTTGGAGAGAATGAGGGAGAAGGTGGGAAGGGAAAGTACAAGATTGTAGCGGTGACAGCGTTGAGTGACAAGTATCATCAACAGAAAGGATTGGAGTGCGGAATGGAAGCGTGGTTCACAAAGCCGTTGCAGATGCGACAGCTTAAGGCTGATTTGGCGGAGTGGAAGAAGGCCTTCGAGGATGCCATGGGGAGCGAAGACACGGCATTAGATGCAGCTGTGCCTCCTCCTCGTCCTAACTCGAGCTCTTTTCGTTCCACTTAGCATAGTTCTACATTCTCAATCACCACTCTTAACTTGCAACAATCCAATACGATACCATGTACTTTTACATTCTGCATTCTGCATTCTACATTCTGCATCAATACCAACAATAGCAAAGTAGACCATCGGTCGACGCCGATTAACTTGCCCTCACCGTTGACAGTGCCGATGGAATCACCTGAGCTCATCCATGGAGGAAATGATGAAGTCCAGTGAGAGAGGTTGCCGATCCCAGCCCGATCGGAGCAGATAAAGGTCCAGTGAGATCTTGCCGATCCTAGCCCGATCGGAGCAGATAAAGCCTCCGTTTCTTGGCATTTCTTATCGCCTCTCTGGGAATTTCGCTTAAAATCTGCAACTCTCACACGCACAACTCTGCGCTTCTGCTTTGCATTTGGAAGCGAGAAGAATTCTACTCGCCACCTTCATTGCAATCACCACCAACACCGGATCGCTCCCAAAGCAAATAGCGCCAACATGAGTGACTGGGGTAAGTCATGCTTCGTCCTTGCGCCTCGGCTCTGCTCCGCTCAGTCGGAGAGTGGAGACGATGGTATCCAGGCTGACCAAATCGTTGCATTGGTATCGTGTTTCAACAGAAAACGACGACCCCGAGCCAAAACAGGTCACTCCTCCGCCGAGGCTTTCCGCTGCCGGTCGCAAGAAGTTTGATGATGAAGACGTAGAGGATGAAGTCAAGGTGCGTTCACAAAAACCCGTTCTGACTCACTACGGGTGTACTGATACTGACTGCATGCAATCTTGGATCCTATGCTCGCTCGACTTGGTAGGACGACTGGGAGGAAGAAGACTCTGAACCAGAAGCACCCAAAACCGCCGCCGCCTTGCCACCACGCAAGAAGAAGAGCGTCAAACAAAAGATTGCCGAAAAGGAAGAAGAGGAACGTTTGCGTCGTGAACAGGGTCTTGAGGTACGTTTCCACCGCACACCGCACAACTCCACTCCCGCCTTGCTCTGAACTAAGGTGCTCACGTCGATCTTGCATTCCTTCGCTGACATTGTTGGGATGGTAGGACGAGGAGGACGAGGAAGAATGGGACCAAGATCCGATAGCCAAACGCCGGATGGAACGTGAAGCCCAACTCAAATCGGACGTCGAGAATGCAGCTAACCTTTTGGGCACTGCCAAGATTGCCGACGGTAAGCATATCCTTCCAGCCGTCCTGCCCTTCAAGCTCCTTTTCCATTCAAAACACTCACGCCTCCCTCTTCTCCTCCTTCTCCACCACAGACGCAGTCTCAAAGCTCAAGACTGCGAACCCTTCATCAAAACAAGACTGGGAGCAATTCTCCGATCTTCTCTTCACCGAACTCATCAAAAAGCACTCGACCAAACCGGGTTTCGAAAAGCATTTCACTCCTCACCTCTTCCGCAACATCGCTTCCACCATGCGCGATGTCGACATTCGTAAATCCTCCACAATGCTCAAGGCTTATGCTGAGGAGAAAGTGAAGGCGGAAAAGGAAGCAAAGAAGACCGGTGGTCAAAAAGTTCCAGTGGGCAAGGCAAAGCCTAAAACCGTCGGCACAGCAAGCGCTAAGAATGTCATTGACACCAATGCTTATGGTGATGAAGCGCTGGATGACGATCTTGACTTTATGTAAAGGGTTCTATCCACATAAGGTAGGTTCAGATCTTGCTGATCTTGATCAAAAATGTACCAAGTTTTAGTTCTAATCGAAATCAGCTTCCTGATCATGCATCATGCATCGGCTGTGAAAAGAGGTCATCTTCCCGATCTAAACCCTGACACATTGCGTTCTCAACAGAGGCTGTGCAAAGGTAGAAACTGAACGCATGTGTACAATTCAAACCCCATAAACGAAGCCTATCACTAGTAAATGTGCAGAGCAAGACGCTTAGATTAACCAGAAACAGCCAAGATAACCATGCAAAGGCACGGGCAGAGGGAGCCATCTATAGAAAAGCGGGAGAGACAGTAACCCAGAGAGGAGAGGCGATTGCAAGAAACAAGAATAAGAAAAAAAAGTGGTGTGTGTGTATGTGTGTGTGTCGAACAAGTAACCCAGAGAGGAGAGGCGATTGCAAGAAACAAGAATAAGAAAAAGAAAAAAAAAGTGGGGTGTGTGTGTGTGTGTGTGTGCGTGTGTCGAACAAGTAAGCCATGAAAGTGAGCGCTTAGGCAGGACTCATATCCACCTCGGGAGCCGGCTCATCACTGTGCATCCTCTTCATAGGCGGAGGAAGCACCATGCTGATCGGACTTGTCTCCCTCGATAAAGCCTGACCGAGCGAAGGAAGAGTGGTGGCGTGATCCCTCTGCGCAGAGTGAATAGGTGTCATACCGAAACCCAGCCCTTTCTTGCTCCTGGGAGCAGCACTACCATGGGCACCAATTCCTGCAGGCGAGTTTGTCGCACTCATGGGAATCTGCGAATAAACACTAGTCGGGCTCGACTCGCTGCTGGCGAAACCACCAAAGCTGTTACCGATCGAACTCTGACGCGAGTGGGATCTGCTTGATGTCACGGCTGCGTGTGAGCCGGGCAGGAGCTGAGGATGCAAAGTGGGCGAACCGTGAGGTGAGCCAGATCGACTAGCAGGAGCCGAACGCGAGCTGGAGCGGTGAGCTGCGCTCTTCTTGTGGTCGTTGTGGCCGTAAGGGTGGTAGTTGTAGGCGTGGGTGTGGTGGTGGCCGGGCAGAGGGTGGTGGCTACCATCCCTGTGGGATGCGCCGCTGGCCGGGAAAGGAGGAGGCAAAGTCCTCGACGAAGGATCAGCGACCAAGGGTGGGTAGGATCCTCGCGAGGAATGCGAGTGCGCATGAGGCTTGAGGCTGCCAACACCGCCATCGAGAATGTCTTCGATCTTGCTGCGTCGCACGGTAGCACGGTCTGCATCAGCTCCAACAGGTGGATGCGCCTGGGTCAAGTGGTAAGCGGAAAGACTGGTAGTCGAGTTGAGCGAAGGAATGCCTTTGCTGCGCGAACCAAAGCTGTGGCTACGTGAGAGTTTGGGTGGCATGTGCGATGTCTGAGCAGGGGAAGTCGAGGCGGAAGTGGAAGCAGAGCCGCTGGCGTGGGAATCGAGCTCAGCAGCAGTGCTACGCTCGCCCGAAGTGCTGGGAGGAATCGAAGGCTGAACGGGAAGCATACCGAGCGAAGAAAGGTGGTGGTGCGAACGAGAACGAGCCGAAGACTCCATATAAGGGTGGGATCGGTGTCTGTGCGAGCCATGGTGGCCCATTCCAGACTGATGAGCGGGACCCTCGTGGGTGTGGTGGTGGTGGGGCGGCGAGTGACCGTGACCGTGAGGGTGACGCGAGTGGTGGACTGGAGATCCAGGACGGGAAGTGTAAGGACTGTTGGGCACCGTGTTGCCACCAAGGAGGCTCATGTTGCGCAAAGGACCAAGGACGGGACTGCTGCTGGGAGTCCAGTACGGGTGGCTATGAGCAGCGGAATGCGATGCACCAGGGGCGGATGCGAGAGGCAGACGGGGCCTGCTGAGATCATCGTGGAGCGATGCGGCGTGATCGGACTCGGAGGCGTAGTCGTCGCCGTGAAGGTGGTCATCGGGAGAGAAGCGAGGCGAGTGCTCGACGCTGCTTGGGACGCTGGAAGAAGTGGAGGCCCATCCAGTGGCACCGTGATGCGAACCGTGCTGATAGTAGCGGTAGAGGCTGGGAGGTGGGTGGCTCCCGTTGTAGGCACCGTGCAAAGGGCGCGAGTAACCACACTCGGCAGCGTATCGATTTGAGAAAGGACGAGCGAGGATGGCAGAAGCGATTCGGTCGTTGTACTTGCGGTGACAGTCCTCGTGCGAGCATCCAGGGGGTGTGGTCTCTGCGGATCCGGCGGGAGCAAGAGCGGGAGCGGGAGCGGGAGCAAGAGCGGGAGCGGGAGCGGGAACAGGAGCGGGAGAGGGAGCAGGAACAGGAGCGGGAGCAGGAGCAGGAGCGGGAGCAGGAGCAGGAGGGTAAGTGCCGTAGCTGCTGCTAGGTGGCTGAGGCTGGTATCGTTCTGGGTATGGGTCAGGTGCGTAGTGTGGGTGAGAAGGATGAGAAGGATGAGAAGGATGAGAAGGATGAGAAGGATGAGAAGGATGAGGAGGATGAGAAGGATGAGAAGGATGAGGAGGATGAGAAGGATGAGAAGGAGGACCGGATGGACGACCTTCTCGTTCGGCACGTTGGAGCTCGTGAAGCTCATCGCTGGCAAGCATGGCCAAAGTGGACATCTCGGGGGCACGAGGAGGACGGGAAGCCGAGTGCCTGCTAAGTTCGCGATCCGAGTCGCTGTCATCCTCCTCATCTCCTACTTGCCATCGAAGCTGTCGATTGTTGACATGGCGACCGGGTTTGGAGGAAGCAGATGCGATAGGAGGAGCGGGAGAGTGATTGGCAGAGCTGCCAGCAGACTTGCGAGCGGAAGACTTCTTGTCGTCTGTGTGAGCACTGCCCTTCTTTGGATTGGCGTGAATGCGAACGTGACGTGTCAATTCATCGCTGCGGCTGAAACGCTTCTCGCATCCAGGGTGTGTGCAGACGTGGGGCTTCTCGCCGGTATGTGTGCGAATGTGTCGTGTCTGATGCTCGAGACGGTAAAAAGCACGTGAGCAGAGGGGACACTTGTAAGGTCGAGGGATCTGGGATTTGTCGAGGGTGTAGTTGCTAGCTGTAAGAGCAGCGGCGTCGGGACTGGTATTTGCCATGTTGGTGGCAGTGGACTGAGCCATTTTATGGAGAAGAGAGCGCGATTGAAGGATGTGCCGGGGCGCTGGGAGACGGCAATGGACCAAAGGACTAAGAGTGACACTTTTAGATGCGATTGAAAGAGTAGTAGTCGAAGACGGGTGATGGTAAATGATTCTCACGAAGCGGATGGTGCCAACAAGGGTCAAATTGGAGTTGGAGTGCAAGAAAAGTTGAGGTTTGAGATGGGTGTGCGTGGATTGCCAGAAGATGGTTTGCTGAGTAGTCGAGTGGGTCAAGGAGACGAGATGAGATGAGATGGGGGCGAGGGGCTGATTCCAAATGTGCGGAATCCCTAAATCACCGAAGCGAGAGCGAAATGGAGTAAGGCAAAAGTGCAAGGCCGAGCGAATCGAGTGGATGAAGCTGTGCTGTAGGCCGACGTTGTATTTGTTGTCGTTGTTGTCGTTGTTGTCGTTGTTGTCGTTGTTGTCGTTGTTGTCGTTGTTGTTGTTGTCGCTGAACAGTGGCGGCGATGAAGGGAAGAGAAGGAGTGAGTGAGGTAGCGGTAAGATGGTGGGGTAGGAGAAGCGAAAGGGTAAAGGAGAGGGAGAGAATCGGTTGCGGGATTGCGCTTGCGTGATTGCGCTTGCGGACAGTAAAGAGAAAGATTGTGTGAATGCGAGATTTGGCAGTGAATCCGAGCGTTAGAGAGGGGCAGAAAGAGAGAGGCCAACAGGGATTCAGCCGGGACGGAGCGGCGTAGGAGAAATTATCGATAAGAGGTGGGGACTGCCCTGTGGCTCCACTTTTCTTTCTTTTTTCTTTTTCTTTTTTTTTCTTTTTTTTTCCTTTCCTTTTCTTTTTCTTTTTTTTTGTTCTCGGAAAGCGAATAGAAAAAAGAAATGAAAAATGAAAAAACGAAAAGAAATGAAGAAAAAAAAAATAAAAAATGAAAAAAATGAGGGGCAAAATGCGGGAGAAAAGCGAAAAGGAGCGAGCTTGGCGAATCCTCAGTGTGTATGTGTGACAGCGTTCTTGCTGAGCCGAGCTTACCGACCAAAGGAGAATCATGCACACCCACACACAGTCACACAAATTTCTGTTCGGCATCCACTTCTACCACCGTCACACTCCACTCACAACGCTGAAAGGAGAGCGAAAAGAGAAAAGTTTGGCAGTTGCCAATGTGAGAAATAAGAGGAAAGCGCGATCGGAGCAAAGCATGTAACGCGGTCCACACGCTAACTGACGACCGACCAAGACACTTTCAGACACACACACACACACACACACACATCATTGGCAGGGAGGAGGAGGCGAGCCAAACGTACCAACTGCCGGGTAGTAGAGCGGCGGCAAGTTTTTGGCTCTGACAAGAAGGATAAAGGGAAAAAGATCACCTGCCACGCTTCACGCTCTTCTCTTTACACTGCACACAAGTGGCAGAAGGGGCGAAGAGTTGGGATGCAACGTCGACTGGCATGGACCGGTAATGGCGACAATGCCCAAGAGTGTAAAACTTTCCATATCTCTCCAATCTCCATTTTCCAGTCTCGCAAGGCAAATTTCAGACGACCTCCCAAACTTTGGCTCAACAATGATCAGCCAATGACGGTAGAACAAACGCTTACGCAAAAACTTGGGCCATTATCACTAAGCACGCCTTACGAGATCAAGGTACTTTTTCCCCGAGTTGCTTGTTGTCAGCATGAACGCTAAGCCGAACAGGCGACATGATTCCATCCTGTCCAGACCAACGTTGACTGGCTCCAACAAGACTCTTTGCTCGAAGCGGGGTTGCCATTGGAGGATAGATCATCAACAAAGCCTGAGGTCGGGTGACCAAAGTTTTGCTCATCTCGTCTCAAATCGTCTTGTTGTTGTTGTTGTCATCCTCCTCACACTCTGCCTTGAGCCAAGGATGCTGACGGAATGCAAAGCACTGCAGCGAGCGAGCGATCTTGCAGCAAGAAACCCTTGTCTGTCTCTCTCACCCAAGTTAGACCTGACCGAAACTCATGCTCGCATCAGTCACTTGTGCAAGAAGGGCATGAGATGGCTCTTGGCTTGATTCAATATATGGTCGACCCGCGGCACACTGGAAACCGCAATTTGCCAATCAGATCCTCCTTGCCTGTCTTCTTGGAGGTTTTTTTATTCTTTTTCTTTTTTCTTTTTTCTTTTTTCTTTTTTCTTTTTTCTTTTTTCTTTTTTCTTTTTTCTTTTTTCTTTTTTCTTTTTTCTTTTTTCTTTTTTCTTTTTTCTTTTTTCTTTTTCTTTTTTCTTTTTCTTTTTGTCCTCCTCATTGTTTCGTCAATCTGGCATCCTCTCATGCTTTTCATCGTCGGTTGAACTTTGTGTACCCTATACGCCGACTTGGGTCGAATCTTTTCTCTATCTTACCCCCTGATCTCGTCATGCGTGACATGGCAATACAGTCTGCGGAGCAACTCTCCAGCTTTAGCCAATCTAACCCATCTTCTGTCCAACTTCGGCGAGTCCGCCGTTTTCACGTTTGAGGTCATGATTTGAGTCGCCTCTTCTTTCAGATCCGGGCGCTCTACTCTCTCTTGTACATTTTATTCAAGGTCGATGAAACTCTCCGACTCTCGACTGCGGCCATATCGACAGCTCCGACCTTTTGATCAAGATTGATCTCGTGACTCCAAGACAAGCGAGCTCATGATGATGTTTGGATTGCTTCTTGCCGATGTTGGGGTGATGACCGTCGGTGTGATTGCCGAGGAAGAATTTTTCGTTTCATCAAGCTTTTCTACCGTTGCCGAGCTCCTGTTCCTACCAACCGAAGTGGGATGAAAAGAAAAAAAGAAAGAAAAAAAAAAGAAAAAGAAAAAGAAAAAGAAAAAGAAAAAGAAAAAGAAAAAGAAAAAGAAAAAGAAAAGTATCAGCACAGCAATGCTTTCTCTTTCGGAAATCTCGTCCGAATGTGTCAACGCAGAGAAGACGGGCTTGCAGATAGAGCATCATGCGTCTTCTGCGCGGGTATGGCTGTCAGATTGGCCTCGCTTCCATTGCATCATGCGTTCCCGTTAGTTGCCAGCACACCGGGCTAGTGCTGCCGTGTGACCTTAGAGTACAGAAGCTCAAGCTTGCCAGGGTTCGCGATACCTTGCACTGCCGCTGAGCACAAGTCAAGTGACCCCCACCCTCTCTCGCTTGGGTTATCGAAAGAACCCTCTTCGAGCTTCGATACGGATCGTCGCAAGCGCCCTCGCTCGCGCGCTTCGAAAGGCCGTGTATCTTTGAGAGGATCGCATAGCCCTCTTGGATTTTTCAAAGTCTTCTTCTTCTCTTTTCGAACAATCAAAGTACGGGATCTCTCGGAGAAAAGAAGGAGGCAGCGTGACCCCTTTTTTTTCTTCTTTTTTTTTCAGGCAATAGGCTGCGATGTGCAAAAGTGGCTTGCCTAGGCATATCCAAGTCCTTCCGCCACTTCTTCTCTTCTTTTCTCTCAGCCTCAACGGAGATTTTTCGCTCAATTCAGGCGTCAGGCTAATACCTCTCTGTGCGTCGACTTCTGACCACGACGCGTCAGCTGGTCAACTTCCAAATAATTCCTCTGATTTTTTGATTTGATTTGATTTGATTTTTGATTTTTGATTTTTGATTTTTGATTTTTGATTTTTGATTTTTGATTTTTGATTTTTGATTTTTGGTTTTTGACCGAAGCTGCTCCATATCTCCATCTCCAACCAAGCTTCTTGGAAATGATCGTCTAGAATCCCCGCGGGCAGATGGCGGGCGTTTCCCCTGTTCTGTCCTTGACATCGGACAATCTTTGTAGCCTTTTTCTCGATTTCATTTCTTTTTCTTTTTCTTTTTTCCCATTTTGCTCTCCTTCGATGTCGCCTGATTGCTCAAGCCGGCCTTCATTCTCAGGAGAAGCAACAACTTGCAAGAGCCCTTTAGCCCAGCCGAAATGCTCAGCAAATCCCGCCTGAGCTCGAGTAATTTGCATCGGTCCCCGATGAATCGAGCGAGATTCGGTCTAGCCTTGATCATAGCTTGCCAGCTTGCTTATCCCTCACCTCCCTCCCACTCGCAGGAAGAGCTACCAGGTTGCCATGAACGGCAATCTCTTCCTTGCTTTTCTTTGATTGTCCAACAATTCGCCCCAGAACTTTATCGACCGAAAAAGACAGACAGCCTGGCCCGTGTATTGCTTCCTGATCCGCATGTTGTCGTACACTTTCATATACGCCGACCTGCGGGGCTATCCCACTTGCCGATCTGAGATTGCCCGCTCTCCCTACTCGCCTCGATGGAAACATGCTTCCTCCTCGCATCCTCGTCTTTCTCAATCCGTGCTTGCATGTCGACCATTCATTTCAGTTTCCGTGCTGCCTCGCGACTTTGGCTCTTGTCAAGAATAGAACCTCCTCTAGCCTCTATCGACCCAGCATTATCACGGCGTTGACAGCAGCAGCGGCAGCGGATATGGCAATTCCGTGAGCCGCCAAGGTCCGCGCGTCACAGCCAAACAGCGGCTTTCAGCAGCGTCCAAAGCCAACCCCTTTATCGACCTCTGTGAATGTCGCTCGTTCAAGCGCATCTTATCCAGCATCTATCCAAAAGGTTCCCACATCCAAACCAGGCCTCTGCCATACGGAATGCACAGGGGTGACGTGACAGGCACTGTAACAACCCGAGCAATGCTCCTCGCCATTTTGTTATCCTCCGTGAAACCTCAAGTGAGTGTGGAAATGCTCTGTTCAATCCCGCAATTTGCCGCTCCTCTTCCTCCAGCCGAAAGAGTTTTCCCCACATTTGACGCGACCGCCTCGTTTGGGTTGACACTCCGGAAAATTCCGGTCCTTCTCTTTCCGAGAACTCCAGCTACAGATAGCTGCTAAGCGAGAGATCCCTTTGGCGTAATGGTCAGGTTTAGCGTCGAAACACGTCAACCGCGGTCGAATCCAACACCTCTTTCACAGTAGTGGCGCAACTCATCCAGAATAAGGAAAAGGTGTAGCTAAGATCGCCGTCAACCAAGATCGTGGCAATCCAAGCTGCCTTGTGGATCCCACTTTGATGTCTCCTTCCAGGCTGGCCACTTCAACTTCCCACTTCCCCGCGCACCCAGCAAACACGCATGAGTGGAGGCAATCCAAGACATGCCTGGTCTGCTCTTTCTCCCCGTCCTGTATTCTCGACCTCGGCTTCTGATCACATACAAATCAAGCTCAGTCTGAACCAACAACAAGCACGTTGTTTGACCGCTCGCCGGCTGCCTGCTATGCAACTCGACAGCTGAGCAAAGTCCTGATTGTAGATCCCAAGCATCTTACAGAAGCAGCTCTTGATGGCCGAGGAGCCTTCCTGGTGGCCAAAAATAAATAAAATTTTAGCAAAAAAAAAAATCAATCAATCGTGACATAAGGCAGGTCGTACTGGGATTCGAACCCAGGGCAAGAGAAAATTCGAACAGTAGATCCCACAAGGGACTTCATGTCAAAATCTCCTAAGTTGACCACTACTCCATACAACCTGTAATTGTCGGCTTAAATGTTTGTAGCACACATATCAACCTGGCTTATTTACGACTCTCCCACTTTTCACTCGCCTCGCATCGTGCTTCTCGAATTTCCTCTCAACTGGGCGCACCCATTTCTGTCTTTTTCTTGATGGTCTTCTGTTTGACACTGGCACAGGAACGTGGTATGGATGTTCAAACCTCACTACTATGAGAGTTGGATGGCGAGAGGTCAGCAAGTACTGTTGAGAGGATGCATCGAAATGAATGAGCGAATTCAGGCTGGAAAAAGCAACGTATCGGGTACGCCTTTCCTTTCCTCGATCCTCGATCGGGAGATGCAAAATGAATAATGCAGGCACACCAGCCGATGTTTTCCTCTTGGAAAGTGCCAAAAAGTGCCAAAAAGTGACATTGCCAAGCAACTCTAGGCCGCATAAACACCATCGTAAGCGACCTGTCTGGCATTGCTTCTTACTGTTGTTGAGCCTCTTGAAGAACCTTTTTGCATATCCATGTTGGTCGCTGCACAACCCACCGCACTACACACAACGTCGATCTCTGGTCTAACTTTCATAAAACTACTTGATTGAAGGTAGGAAAGAGGGAGGATGGATTCGACAGCGCGACGACGGCAAGCCTCGGCGAAATATGCATGACTTCCCATCCCCTCGGTATGCCGCTCTCCTCTCCCCCCTTCCCGTCTCTTTGCTGCCTTCAGTCCCGACAGCAGCCCCTCACTTCTCCCTGTCCTCCCTGATCACGACACAGAGCCGAGCGCGTGCGGCGAGACAAAAGAATCGCCTCCCCAAGTCGCCGAGGCCAACAACTTTTCTCTTCTGCCTGTCCTCCTTTTGCCGCCCCTCACGATCTTCGCTGATGCGCCTTACGACCGCATACTCGGTGCAGAATACATAGTGTCCGCTTCCTCTCACTCTCTCATCCCAGTGTGGATCCTCTGTGATCGATGCAAGCGCCTAAGGGAAGAATACGTGCAACACTTGGCAACGCGAGGTCACTCTTGCAGGTCGCAAATCTTTCTGATCGTCGTCCAGCATAAGCGAGCATCTCGCTCTCAATCTTCCTCCCCCTTTGCTTCAATGACGGTGTGCCTGAAGATCAACAACGCAAATAGCAAATCCCGCTGCTATGGAAAGTTAGACAGTCATCAATGCGAGGGTGAGAGGAGTGACTGTGAGCAGTGAGTGCAAGCCAAGGTTGGCATTCTAGGCGGCAAAGCAGCAGGATGTGGAACTCCGACCCTGTTCCTGCCTTTCGTGTCCCTTGCCTTCTCCATCTTGCTCCAGCCTCGTCTTCACCATCACCACTACTACTACCACCACTTGGCATCTCTCCTCTCCACCATCCTCCCACGTTCCTTTTTCCCACCTTTCTCACCCCGTTCCCCTCACACCGACTCCGTTGCGACAATGTCGAACTCGAACACGACAGTCTCCCTTGCCTCGACGGCATCGTTCTCTACAGCAACAGTCTCCACTGCGACTGTCTCCCTCTTCGCTCCCGGAGTCGACCAAATGATCCGAGGCATCGAGAAAGCAATGACATCCCTTGACGGCGATGTCTCGATCAGATTCTCCCCTACCCCACTCGCCACCACCACCGCACCCGATGGCGCAGCAGCAACCGTCTGGAACGTATGCGCGCACGAATACGCCTCGATCAACGGTCACACCACCACCATCGTTCAAGATCAAAAGTTCCTCGAGTCTCACAACTATTTCTCCGCAATCGACAACTCGGGCGCTCAGATCGAATGTCATTTCGACCACATCAATGCTCCTGCTACCTGTGTCAACCGTCAGCCGAAGCACAGTCATACTTTCACTTCGACGTTCAAACATGCTCGACCTTTCGCTACCGCCTATCATAAGCATGTGGTCAAGGCGAAAGCTCATAGTACTAGCAGTGCTGTTAGCAGTCAAGTCACACCGACGGCAGCAGCTGCAGCAGTGGCAGAGACGGCAGCACCAGCAGCAGTCGATCAAGCGACGGAATATCAGAGCGGTGTAATCGCAGGTGCAGGCGATGTTGCTAGCAGTTCTCCAGAGTCTAATTCGAGAATCAACTCGACTTCGGGTGCTGCAAAGAAGGCTAAAAGCTTGCCAGTGCTGTTAGCAACAGCGAGTGTGCTGTTTGCTAGTGTACTTGCTTTCCAGCCCTGAACATCAACGCAAAGACATTTTACATGGTTCAACATCCTGGCGGCGACCACTTTCACACACACACACACACACACACACACACACACCATAACAACCAGTCGCATCCTCGGACATTCGGTATCAGCTTCTCCGTCTATTCGCTCGTTATAGGCACGTTCGTTTTCTGTTCTTTCTTACACTCGGTTCTCTCTGTCAGTGCTTGCGCTTATATCACTCATTTTATGACCGACTGGATTTGGTATCAATTGCATCACATTCCTCTTCCCTCCTTCGCCGTGTGGAGATATGGTGTGATAAGGCTTTACAGTCGCTGATCTGTCATGACTCGTTCTTGAGCGCATCTTGATCTTCTTCCAATCCTTTCGCACCGTTTTCTCCGGCGCTACTGTCTTTCTGATCCTTTTTCTCACCGACTGGCTTAGCAACAGGTCCACGCTGCTTCAACTTCCTCCTCGGCAGCGCCTTTTCCAACGCCTTTACCCAGTCCCTCGTCTCCGTCCAAGCCGTTAGAATTTCCACCACCTGATTCACCGTCAACACTTTTCTTCCCACAAAACCCTTCTCTCCATCATCAACAGCATCCTCTTCCCGAATCGATTCCCCCTGTGCTCGAACATTCCGCTCAACAGCCTGCATCATCTCCTGCGAAAGTGGAAGTTTGGCCGCTCTAATCCCCAATCGATCCGCTTTGGCTCGACACAAACCTTTGTACCGGTTCTTATCTACTATTCCACCAATGATGTACGTTTTACCCAGTTCCAGAGCTTCGAGAGTGTCATCGGTGTCAGCGGTGAGGTAGATAGCGTCGGAGATGCGGATTCGGTGGAGTGCTTGGCGCGTTTCTTCCGGTGGAAAGTGACGGCTTGTTACGGTGGTTTCTGCTGCATGTTCCGCAGCAGCCGTGCTTGAGGATGCAGGATCAAGAAGAGACTCGAGCCCACCGTGACGATAGATGGTGACCCGCTTCCACCGCCTCCATACGCCACGTAGTTTTCCCTCCATGGCTTGACCAATGCGGATATTCTCGATGCTTGCCGTGTTGCTGCTGCTTCCTTCTCCCTTCTCCTGCCCCTCCGCGGTACTGGAACAAGACTCCTTCGGGACGAGGGAAAGCTGCTCAGGATGAACATCCTTTAAACAGTTCCCTCGTCTATCTTGCCCAGTCAAAATAACCTCGCCAAACGGAACCTTTGCATTCCGATTCGCAGAATACAAATACATCAACTGCTGCGTCATACTCGAGCTCTCCTTCTCCACCATCAGCTCGTCAAATCCACAATCGATCACTAGGCGAGCGTTGAAGTATTTTTTCTCCCCTTCTGCAGCTTTTCGCTTCTTATTCCCATTCCTTCCTTCCCCTTCTCCACCCTCTGCATTGGATGTGCTGCTCGCTACGGAGATTCTTCGCTTTGCAGCACCATTGGGATTAGTGCTTGAATCGGAAGCGATGTTTTGGGCAGCAAGGAACCGAGCTCGCTTGTTTTCCTTCTTCTTGAGCCGCTCAGCAGCCCGACGTTCGTGTTTGGTTGCTTCGAGCTTTTGTTTACGAGCGAGCTTCTTGGCTGCGTTCTTGGATATGCCCGGTGGAACTTTTATTGAGGGACCGGCATGTTTTGAGCTGCTTACCAATGGTATGTTCGTATCAGCTGGGCCTGTGCTGCTCTCCATTATGATAACGTTGCTGATGAATCGTCGAGGTGCTCTGTGAGTGAGGAGGTGGAAGGACAGGAAGAAAAGTTGCCAAGTTGATCCGGAGGACAACTCCGAATTCCGAACTCACTCAACCTCCACAAGAAATGGGGGAGAATTTGCATTTGCAGACGCTGTGTTAGATTTAAAGCTTCTGTACGCGACGCGTGAGAAGCGCGCTCCTGCACTGTAGAAAAGTGTTGTTCTCACTCTTTCACCTTGTCGCTCTCCTTCTTCGACCACTATCCGGACACTGGCAATGATGACTTCAACGTCTTCATCAATAGAGCTATGCTCAGTCGCACTGCCTCTCACGCAATATCACCTGCTCGAAATCCCGAACGAACTTCTTCGCCTCTTTGACCCCTCCGCCAAGCCCAAAGACGCCGAACCCGCGGCAAAGAAACGCAAAACCGAACCATCCCGACTCACCATCAAAGGTCGATACGATGACCAAGCAGTCCTCACTACCGACACTCAGACACTAGCACTTCGAGCCGTGTCCCAGTCCAACTCTCTGCTGCTATGCAGCATTGATCCTACCCCACCCTCTTTCTCCTCTTCTGCCGATGCAGGATCTAGCAAGCCCGCTCTGTATTTGCGCAGCAACGTCACCGACACGCTGGAACTCACACCGGTAGTCCCCCGTCTAGATCGTCTTCTCGGCCTTCTCAAAGCATCCCAATACGAAGGAGAAGAAGAAGAAACACCTCGATCAGCCCCCAACTCTCGCCCAGTACGAAAATACACCCTCAAACAGCTGAAAAGTATCGTCCAAGCCAGCCCGGCAGAGCTAGAGGCAGGGTTGGTGCATAACCACGTAATTGAGCTTGACGGCTATATGCGTCATTTGTCCCCAACATGGATGGTCTCTGTGCTGCAGATTCTTATCTCGCATCTAGATTTGCATGCGCTGATTCCAGACGCTGTGCCGCTGCAAGAAACTGTCGAAGCGTTGGAGAAAGTGCACAGCATCCGACCGCAAATCTCAAACGCTATCCTTACCCAGTTCTTCGGCTCAAAGCTTCCCTCTGATCCAGCCAAAGTCGCACTCGATACCAAGACGATCGTGCTTTATCTTGGAGTGCAATCGCTCAAATCTACAGCACGAATCGCTATCCCTTTATCGGATTTTATGGCGACTTGGACCAACGCTTGTCTCTCGTCTGCTGACTTTCTCACCCATGTCAACCTGGATCTTTTGTCGGGCTTCTACTTGCTCTCGCCCTCGCCTGTGCCTGGGGTAGCACTCTATCCGAACGCAGCTTCAGTAAAAATTCAGTTCTATTCCCGACTAGAGTTGCCAGCAGACCCAGCCGCCCGTTTCCAGGATTTGTTCCTAACAAGAGCGGCTTGGCTAGCAGCTGATTTGCTCCCATTCATCAAGGACCTGGCGCTGAACGATAAGAAAAAGGACAGCCTACTGCTGAAGTTCACAAGAGCAAGTAAGACAAAAGTGTTGGATTGGGAGTTGAGTGAAGAGGAAAAGAGACAGTGGAACAAGGAGAAGAAGGTAACAGGGAAGAATGCTTGGAGGGAGGTTGTGATGTATTCTGCTCGAGTGAAGTACTAATTACCCGCGATTGCAATGCGAAGTCCTTCAAAGTCGAGATGGTGTGTGCGTCGCTTGAAAGCTCTCTATGCTGGTGTGGAGAGATGGATTTTTCGCTGCGAGCTCTGTTCGTGCCGGCGGGAATGCGATCGATTAGAGCAAGACCGTTCGAGTCTGTTGATGAAGCTGTTCGATCCGCAGCCTATAACAAGAACCTTGCCATAGCGGCAAAAGGCCCAGCAACACCAAGTGGCACGGCACACATTCCATAACCTACTCCAGCCCTCTCATGGCAATGTAGCAGGCGACAGCCTCTGCCATGCTATGCTGTGTTCGACGTGCCAGCGCCCGCAGCTTAACTATATGCTCACTCGGCTTGTAGCATCACACAAGTGAGTAGTGAGTAGCTGAGAGCAGCAACGACGCTCTCTCGACTGATGACTCGCAACATCTCAGAGGCAAAGTTGATTGCAATTGCGTCGAAGAGGATGATGAGATAGACACAGTTTAAAGTATGAGAGACCAACACTTTGCCACACTTTCGACCAACCCGCACGGGTTAGTGACTTCGGAGGGCAAAAAGGTGTTATCGTGCGAGTGGACCGAGATGCGCACTTTTCAATGGTGAGCGAAGGGCCACTTGATTTCGTCACAACGCCTTAGCCTGTCCCGCTCGCTCTTCTCTCTTCCTTCTTCTCCATCACCATCTCCATCATCCCACCGACGTCTTTGCTGGCATCTCGACGCCGCCACTGTCCTCATCACCAACTCAGCTTGCCAAGGTTCCGCTGTGACGCTCAGCACGGCTTCGAACCCAATCATGATTCAGGACAGCACCCTGGACTCTTCGTCAATACAGCATAGCCTCGAACTCGAACTCTTCCCAAGTGATGCCTTTGCTGGCATCTCGACGCCGCCACTGCCCTCGTCACCAACTCAGCTTGCCAAGATTTCCGCTGTGACGCTCAGCACGGCTTCGAACCCAATCATGATTCCAGATAGCACCCTGGACTCTTCGTCAATACAGCATAGCCTCGAGCTCGAACTCTTCCCAAGTGGCCAACCTGGAGCATCATCTTTGCGCTCGACGAATACGTCACGGTCACAGCTGCCGCTCTCACCTTTCGAGCTAGATCCTGCGAGGTTGAGCGATCCTGCGAGTCAGAGGGATATCAAGGCGACACAGTTTCTGAGGGACGAATGGCTTATCTCGGCCGGACAGAAGGAACCTGACGATCTGGTGGACAACTATGTATCCTTCATGAGGAATGGTAGACCAGAGTCCACCGGACAACCGAGCAGCAAAAGAGGAGGCTCCAGTCTCCTGGATCAGATCGATGCTATCTGTAGTCCTTCATCAAGTGGATCGAGTGTTCAGGCAGGTGGTAAAACAACAGATGCTCGTCAGCCACTGCGGCCGAGCAAAAGCGCCAAGACAAACGAGAAAGCGAGAGCGACAGCAGAGGAGATCGACAAGATGGTTGCTGATGACATGTTCAACACGTCGTGCTCGCCTCCATCACCACCAGTATCTCGAATCAAGTCGATCTCGGACATGCCAGCAGAAGAGCAGCAATTCTTCTATCGTCTTGCTTTCGGAGGAGGCTCCCCTTCTTCCAGCTCTCCCGGCAACATGGGCGTGACATCACGAGGAAAGAATGGCAAGACATGGCAGACGACATGGGATAACTCAAATCAACCAAGTACAGGCACTGTCAGCTTGGCTGCGACTAGCAGGCCAAACTTGGCTTCCGGCAGTAGTTCCAGCCGCGGTGTAGCAAAGGGATCAACATCAAGTGCCAGCAGCGGTGCGATTCGAGGTCGGAGGCCGTCCGCATTCACAGTAGAAGCTCGCAAAGGTAGTCGAGGAGGCAAGGCGCGATCGAGTACTAGCTCAAGCAGTAGCGCTCATCGTAGTCGAAGTCGTTTCTTTGCTTGAGAGGTGCAAGAGGTTTGACGGCAGAGGGAGGGGGGGGGAAGAGGTCTTGAATGTGCGTTTGTACGGAATGTCAGATCGAAAGCTATCTACAGAAAGAATTGCTGCCTTTCCTGCCTTTCGCTGAGTTCCAGCTGCGGAAATCTGGGAAGCAGATCAAGTGCAATGACGCTATTCGTCTTGCTCGGTACCACAGCAATCACCGTCCGTCGCCGAGAGGTTGAATTTGATGTTCAGGCTTGAAATGAATTCAATTGATTGCGCTCGAAGCATTCAACCGTCGCACAAGCTTGTTTGCTCAGTCCTTGGGCCTCTTTTCCTCTCCGTATCTCTCCATCTCCATCTTTCTCTTCACACAGCGCCTCCAACTGAGCGTTTATCATCCATCTCCTTCTATATTCGTGGTTTCCAACGTTTGTCACTCTCTTCACCTTCTCTACGGTCTGATCATCAACTTGCTGTTCTTCACCTGTCAGCAGCGTATACAAGTTCAGCTGCACACCACAAACAACTAGCTATCGTAGCTCTCTTAGACCGGTCCTCTCTTTCTGTCTCTGGGTTTTGTCCAACGTATCTGTTTCTCGTCGTCGAGTCGCTCGCCGGCTCGCTCTACATCATCAACAGCAACTACAACTGCTCAGCTTTCTACCAACGTTAAGCTTTATACAATATGGCCACCTCAGCCTCTTCAGCCGCCACTCAGAAGGCTCAACCCACCTGCGATAACGCCACCAAGCGCAAGCAGTCCATTTCAGATGACGACTCTGGTTCCGACTCTGATGCTGACTCCCAGTCCAGCCCGAACAAGAAGTCCAACGCCACCTCCACCGGCAAAGTATCAGCAAGTCAGCAGCTTGTCCCCGTTCCCGGTCAACCAAATGCTCCTCTCATCACCAAACGTACATTACAGAATCGCAAGGCACAGCGCGAGTTCCGCAAGCGTCGTGAGGCTCGTGTCAGAGAGCTCGAGGAGCGATGTCGTCGCTTCGACCAGATGGGTCTCGAGGCCAATACTGAACTCCAACGTCTAGCTCGCAGACTCAAAGATGAGAACGAGGCACTCAAGTCGCTCGTCGCTCGTCTTGGCTTTGCCCACACGATTCCCGGCATCGTGGAGTCGCTCAATGGTCCCGAACCACACTACGCCCAGCACCCACACATGGCTCACAGCGGTCCTCTTCACCACCACCCTCGGTCCTTCGCACCTCTCGACATGGGCATGGATACTTGGGCACGAGGTCCAGGTATGCCATTGAACACAGCAGCAATGCAGCAGATCAACGCGCCCACCGACAACGCCACTGCCATCGGCAAGCCACCCAAGCGCAACTCTTCTGTTTCGAATGCTTCGGCATCTGTACCCACTTCGGCTCCCTTTTCTTCGCTGTCCAACTTGCCCGGCCTCACAGGCTTGCTACCCGTTACTGCTGGTGGCGTCAACCCAAGTCTTTTCAGCGGTGCTGGCAACAGTTCGCGCAACAAGCGCACAAACGAGGGCGTCACTCCGGCTATCGCTGTGCCTGCCACCAACAACAAGTCGACCACCACCGCACGACCCATTGAGGAGAACACCACCTTCGACAGTGATTGGTTCGCACAGCTCGCACAATCAGGTCAAGACAAGGAGGAAGCCGACTCCACTGCTGCTAACGCTGCTTCCAACAACACGAATGACAGCAATGGTCGCTCCATGAACCCCATCCTCTCACTCAGCTTCGGCAACAATAACAACAATGAGGACTCCAATTCGCAGGCCAAGTCTTCGGACAACAGCTCGGCGCTCACCGGTTCGGCTATGCTTGGTGCTAATGCTCGCGACTTCGGTCTCGGCCTTGCCAGCGCTCTCGGCATCCCTGCTTCTTCGGCTCCAGGCAACAACATCTTCCCCGTGCCCATGCCTACTCAGCAGAAGGGTGCGCTTCTCAACCCCAACCCTATCCCCTTTGCCTTCAACCTTAGCGACAACAAGGCTCCTGGCGATCAGAGTTGGTGGTCGCAGGTCGCCGGCAACACTCTCGAGGGCGACGACAGCATCCTCGACGAGAAGGCTCAGGCTGTTGCCCAAGCTACCGGTGCATCCAACAATGGTGCTCCCTCTCCCTTCGATCTCTCCGCTTTCCTCAACGGCGGTCTGACGCCCGGAGGTGGCGGCTTCACCTTTGGCAGTCAGCAGAGCAACGATGACGATGCCATTGATTCCTTGAAGAGCAATGCCAACAACAATGCAGGCAACAACAACGATGATACTGTCAAGAACAATGGCAAAAGCGGCGAGACTCAATCGTTGACCCAGGCTGAACATGCTCAGATGTTCCTTCGTCTTCTTGAAGCTAAGATGGCCAAGCGAAGCACTAGCCCCTATGCTCAGCTGGGCTTCCAGCCTCCTTCGCACCACCAGCAGTACACTACTTCGCAGGCTGGGCCTAGCTTCTCCGATGCTAGCTCGTCATCATCATCCTCATCTGCTGCCAAGAAGGAAGAGGATGACTTGTCGCTGTCGCCCATCAACGTCTACTCTCGTCTGGCACAGCACCCTGCCTTCCTCTCTACCAACGCTAGCGAGCTCGAAGAGCTAGTCGACTCGATCAGTTCCAACCAACAACGACAGCAACAGCAGCAACCCATCTTCCAGCCTCCGTTCAACAAGCGTAAGGCAACACCTACTAAGGCTGCGCCTGCACTCTACCCTCCTACACCATTGGGTTTGACACCTAGCATCTACGGTTCCAACGGCGCCGCTTCTTTATCCAGCCGCTCGGCTTCATCTGCCAGCGGCAAGGAGCTCGAAGTGGACGAAAAGGCGGTGACAAAGATGCTTGGCTTGCTAGACCGCAAGACTTCTCGCGACGCTGCTGCAGCTACGGGCGGTCTTGCTTTCTAAAATGCCATTCCTTGTTTCGCTGTGGAGTGTTGGGATTGCTTGTTTGTCGTTTTCGCTAGTCATCGTTGTTGTTCTTGCATAGTATAGTATAGTGCTCTCTTGTCTCACGTCTCTCGCCTTCTGTCTTTTGTCACTATTCTCACCCCTCTCTGGTATCTAGTCGCTTTATCGGGCTCTCGTTTTCGTCTCTCTTTGTAAAGTTATACTTTTGCAACTGTCAATTCGCATACTGGGGTCGATTTATATCTATTGCCTTATGTGCGGTTGTGATCGTTTGATATCAATGTTCTCCGTCTGGTCATCGTACCGAATCCGGCTTTCGTCCGCGGTGAAGGGAGAAAATGTCGTCTGAACTTACATTGTCAAGGATCTTTTCTTGCTCGATGAGAAGAGTGATTCATTATTTCTCGACGGTTCTGTCTTGAGGTGATTTGTTACCGAGCAGGAGCAGGAAGCAACAACCAAGTGGCTGCTCAAGCTGAAGCTCTTCCCTCGACCTTTGACCAAGCAGTCAGCCACTCCTGGGAGGGGCATTAGAGAGCCTACTTGCAACCGCTTTACCAATTTCACAAGGATGCATCACGCTTGATCAATAGCCAGTGGCACCGCTTGGGAAAGACAAGGAGGAAAAGCACCAACTCAGACTGATTGTTCAGCATTCACAATCACATTCAGTTAAACACCGCTCACGACATCCACAGCAAACAAGGGAAACTTTTCTGTAATTTCACAGTTCGCAAAGCGGCATTCACCTGCGAGCTACAGTGAGAAGAGCTCAGAGGTTAGCAGTGAACTGAACACCCTTGTTAATGTTACCGTTAAGGTCAACAACCGCCTTCTTAATAAGCTCGGACTCGTAGTCGTTAAGCTTTCCAAGGGGCAGAATCTTCTCTACACCGTTAGGACCCAACTGAAGAGGAACCGAGAAGAAAGGAGTCTCGTTGCCAATAACAGCGGTAACCTCCTTGGCACCGGCAGCATCGGCGGTGAGGTCGACGTAAGCCATCTCTGGGTTGGCCAAAGGCTTACCGCTGGCAGCCTCCAAAAGGGCGATGGCGAAACGAGCACCAGCGTAAGCCATGGAAAGGGTGGCAGATCCAGCACCGTCCTTAGCCTTGACAACTTCGTCACCACCAAACTGGATACGGTTGGTGAGCTGCTCGATCTTGTCCTGTCCGACCGAGATGGGAGGCTGGCTCTGGCTGATCAAGGGAACGATGGTGACACCCGAGTGACCACCGACGACGGGGATGCGGTAGTTGAGAGACTCAGTGGGCTTGCCAGCTGCCTCGGCGAGGAAGGTGGAGGCACGAACAACGTCGAGAGTGGTAACACCGAAGAGGCTGTATTGCGGGAAGAGAGCAAAGAGCAGAATCAAAGTCAGTCGAGGCCATCTCAAGGTAGCATCTTTGGCGGCAAGGTTTGTTGCAACTTACCGCCTGGGGTCGTAAACGCCCTTCTTCTTGAGGACCTCGGCGACGATAGGGACGGTCGAGTTGACAGGGTTCGAGATGACAAGGACAAAAGCCTTGGGAGAGTGCTCGGCAATGCCTACGGCAATGTCACGAACGATACCGGCGTTGATCTATGCGAGCGGCAATCATTGTCGAAGAGCCCGATGCGATCCGATTGGATGCAAAGGCATAGCGCGCAATTTTGTTGGGTGTCCAGCAGAAGGGCGCCCGTGCGTAGGTTCGGTGAGTTTGAGCAAAGAAGAGAAGAGAAGGGAGTTAGGGTTGGAGAAAGGAGGAGAGCGGAGAGAGGAGAGCGGAGAGCGGCCAAATTTGCCCTTTTTTCCCTCTCTGTGCTGCAGCGCGTCGTACAGGAAGAAAGAGCGCGCTCGGACCAACAATTTGGGCATCAGCAGCACTTTGCCACCGTCTTGTTGATGTTGGGTGCAAAGAGCGTGCGCAGATCCTCTCGAAGCTCCAACTGGCACAAGGGCAACTTGCAACTGCTGAGAAGGCCGAGAGGACGAGTGGGAGCCACGGCAGTCGCCATTGTATGCGCCATCGCTGAACACGGGCAAGCCTGATGGAGACAGGGAAGGGATTGGGAACCGTGTGAGGGTTGGTACTTACGTTGAAAAGGTCATCACGGGTCATGCCTGGCTTACGGGGGACACCAGCGGGGATGACGACAATGTCGGCGTTTTTGAGGGCCTTGCCAAGACCACCGTCAGCGGGGAGGTAGCCAGTGACAACGGAGGGAGTGTTGATGTGCGAGAGATCGGCAGCGACACCGACGGCGTTGACGCTGTTGAGTGGGCATATCAAAGGTTGGTGCATCAACAAAAAGACAAAAGGGTCAGCGGTCAGCGGTCAGCGGTCAGCGTCTTGATGTATCAAACATCATGTCGTAAAGTGGAAGCAAGGGTATGCCAACTTACACATCGTAAAGGGCGAGATCAGTGACAAGCGAAGACTGCTTGAGGAGGAGCGAGAGAGGCTGGCCGATACCACCAGCGGCGCCGATAACAGTAGCCTTGACCATTTTTGCGATTGTGTGTATGTTTTGGGTGCGAGAAGGTGAGAAGGGAGAATGAGATGAAGGAGTTGATGGAGAAGAAGGAAGAAAGAGATGGAGATGGTGGGCAGACTCTCAGCCAGAGCAACACAACTCCATCTCTCCGGTCAGCATCCTCTCCGGCCTTGACCGGATTCACGCGCTCCTTTCCGCTTCTCAGCTCGGAAAGGCGACACTTCCAACTGGGACCGGGCCTTTCCGGAGTAGACTATTTCGAACAACACAGAATGTTAGACCTTTGTTGTTGTTGTTGTTGTTTTGTTTTTTTAAAATCAAAATCGGGCCAAGATCAGAGGCGATATCGCGATAGTCAAGTTGCCTAAGCTTGGTTTCAACTCTCAGACTTGCCTGGATGCGGTGCCGACGCGTTACAGTTTCAAGGACGAGGTCACACCACCACCAAACCTGAATTTTCCATCTCACCCAAAACTGTATTCACCATCACACTCCCCTCCGCTCAACATGACAGCGGCAACTGCGCCGTCACCGTCACCAGCACCATCTGCACCACCATCTGCACCACCACTAGCACGCACTTCAGCACGTCAGTCATCCACCGACACCGCCGTCCACCACGTCACTGCTGATGGTGCTTCGACGCGTCGACATGATCCATCATCCGCACCAGCATCACCTTCCAAGGTGACATCCGCACCTCCAGCATCCTCATTGACATCATCATCATCATCGTCGACAACCACTAACAATGCTGCCAGCTGTACCGGCCTTGGCACGCTGGCCAAGCCCATCGATCTTGCTTCGCCGCCAGCATCACCGACATTGACAGTGACCACTCCCAACGTCGTCGCGTCTCAATCGACGCGTCCGCTCAATCAGCCCTCACCGTCGCCCTCAGGCACTGAGTGCCAGGCAGCATCGACATCAGCACCACAGACAGACACAAGCAATGCAGCTGCTTCCATCTCCACTGCTGCTGGCGCGGCATCGTTGCCCTCGTCGGTGCAGAAAGCGCCACCATATGGCAACGCGTTGAACACACCAAATCGGCTCTTGCCTCCCACTCCTCTAGGCAACACGAGCGATCGCGCTTCTGCTACCTCGCCGTCTGCAGCTAGCTCCACACCCTCCAAGCCAGTCCAGCTGCCTGCACCCTACAAAGCGCCTCGACTAGCACAGAGTGGAGCATCAGAGTCCTTTGCTACTGCCTACCCGACACAAGAGACGCGTCAGAAGTATGCTTCGCCTTCCAAGCCACTTGCCTTCGGATCTGCTGTTGCCTCTTCTCACAAACGCTCCTGGCAGTCCAGCCGCTCGTTCGACCTCTCCAACAAGAAGTTCCGATCCAGTTCACTCGCCAGTCCTTCGCCTGCAGCGGCATCGACAAGCCTGACTGCCCCTACCGCTTCCGCTTCCGCTTCCGCTTCCGCTTCCGCTTCCGCCTCGCCATCTCCCTCTGCTACAGCCGCTCGACCGCTCGCCTCTGCTCCGACAATATCTCGTCCACTTTTGACAACACCTACAGCTGGTCGGGCTACAAGCGCATCATCAGGTGTCACTCTCACCAACATACCCATGCCTGGCAGTTCGCTATCCATTCAGGCAGGCGTTGGTCCGCTTAACTTGATACCCGCCGTCTCAGGCACAGATCTTCCTGCTTCTCTTCGGGACGAGTACCTCTCGTTGCTTCAAAAGTCGGAGCTCATCGACCTCGTCAAACAGCTTGAGAGGCAACTCAACGATCTCATTGCAGCGCCAGTTGGCTCTTCTACCCTCTATCGACAGGCTCATATCTATCCCAGCCAGATTCATACCCAGATCGATCGCCTCAAAGCGCGCCAACGCCTCCAAGCCGCTAAGACTCCCACCTCTTCAGATCTGAGCCTCAAGGACGTCTACTCGCTTCTCAACGCCAGCCCTTCCACATCCGCAACTCCCACCTTCACACGCCCCGCTGCCGTGCCAACTCGACCTACGACATCCAATCCCTTGCTCACCGGCCGACCTGCATTCACTCCGTCTACAGCTCCTAGACGACCTTATGCAACCAACCCGATGCCCGTCTCAAACACGGGAGCCTCTCCTGGCACTGCCCCTCAGGAACAAGTGGGCAAAGATACTGCTCAAAATGCATCGCTTGTCAACCTCATCAACTCAATTAATGCAATCCTTCGCCAGCAGGCTCAACCTGCACGCGGTCCCAATGGCGCACCACTGCCACCAGCACAAGCGCCCGCAGGCACATCAGCGACACCACCTGCCACCACTCCGACTGCCAAAGGTGGAAGCACAGCTGCCAGTATCACACCTGCAACCTTGAGAAGCATTGTCGGAGATGGTCCAATGCCGTCCAACGCTGCTCTTGCAGCCGCTATCGCCGCTCACTTTGGCAACAATTTACCTGGTCGCGCGACAGCAACAGCCTCACGTCCGGCAAACGCCTCAGCTACCTCTGCTTCACCATCGGCTAACACTTCAGCTGAACGCACTGGCGCTGCCTCTTCTCAAGCCCCTGCGTCACCCCCTACGGCCGCGTCTGCATCGGGCCCAGGCAAAGATATCTCGGACAAGATTGCCGCCATTCTTGGATCAACATCATCTTTACAGACCAACATGCTGGGTCCTCAAGGTCTGCCTCTCGCTCCCGCTGCTCAAACACCTGGTGTTGGAGCAGGTTCTTCGCCTCTGCCGATTGGAAACATTGCAGCCATATTGTCCAGCTTCAGTGATCAATCGAATCAATCCAATCCCTCGGCTGGCTCGGCCAAAAGTGGCACACCAGCAGCAAGCCAAGGTCAAGAAAATGCACTGTCGAGTCTGCTGCAGCAGCTGGAGGAAGCCAAGAAAAGGTTGCCATCGCAGGCTACAGCATCGTCAGCGTCCGCCAATGCACCCTCATTGCCAGCAGTGCCATCTGCATCCAATCTTTCCGCTCTTCAGGATCCTATCGCGATCCTTACCGGAGCCAGTGCCAACCCTGTTTTTACGCCCACCTACTCTGCAGGTGGTGCAAGCGCCACGACCTCGACTGGCATCGGCGGCGCCAGTGGATCGGTATGGTCTCCTGAAGCCGAATCCGTCATCGTTCAGGGTCCACTAGGCACCAGCACACTTCCTTCGTACGAAGAGATGATTGTCGAAGGTTTGCGTATCCATGGTCAAGCACCACCACGCGAGCTCTTCAACTGGATGCAGTCCACTTATCCTCTAATGAAGAAGTTCCGCCCTTCTGCCCACCAGGCCTTGCAAAAGGCTGCTAAGCGTGGCAGACTGCTCAAGACGGGAAGCAGGTATCGCCTCAACCCAAACTGGAAGGAGCCGGCCGACTCGAGGAAGCCCACACGCAGGCCTCAAGTTGGGCGAGACCATCCCATGCTTGCGCCAGGTCTCAACGGCGAAGTATTGGCTGTCAGCCCGCTCAAGGACAGCCAGGCTTATCGCAATGTTGGCGACTCGGCTCTTCGCACTCCGGGCAAAGGCACGCGACAGAAACCCCGACCTTATGGGCAGCCAGGTGCTGCGCCGTTGGCCAACCCAGCCAGCAGTATCTTCCAGAACGGTTCAGCAGCGTCGATCATTCTCGAGTACCAGAAGCGCACGGGCAAGAAGCTGGACGCCGATTCGGTCAAGCAGCTGTACCAGCTCATTCGTTCAGGACCCAGCGATGGACCAGCCGAAGAGATCCTGGCTCATCTGCTCACGCAGACTGGATATCACGACGCAGCTGCCCAAGCCACAGCCGCTGCCGCTGCTCAGACCGCTGCAGCCGCCATGCCGGCTTCGATGCCATCGTACCCTCCCTCCAGCACCTCCATGTCGGCAATGGCATCAGGTACATCGGCATCAGGTACATCGGCGCCAGTATCAGCGCTGAGCAGAGCAGGTGCTGCCGCCGCTTTAACTGCAGCACGAGGCAGGATGCCCACCAGGCCCGTGCCCAAGGGTCCCACATCGCTGCCACTTACCACTACGAGCGAGCCTACGATGATGCAACAGCTGGCAAGCATGCTCAACGATCTCAGCTCGCCCATCAATCCTGTGTTGGCGAATTCGCTGCTCGGTCAATTGAGCAGCAATGCGGCGGCTGCAGCTCGCGCTGCCAACATGCCAGGTATAAGCACCGCTCTACCGCTACCTGCAACGCCAGCTCGGACTATGGCATCTGCAACGTCAGCCCCTAGTTCAGCCTCTTCTCAACTCGCAACTGCATTGTCGAGTTTGGCCGGTCAAACGCCTCAGCAGGATCTCGATTCGGCAGTATCCGAGACACTGGCAGCAGCCTTGCAGCAGATCGGCGCTGCACCGACATCGACCGCAACCCCTTCAACAGCGGAAAGCGCCAGGAAGGAGAAGGAGATTGTGTCAGAAGCAGCCACCACTGCGCCCAAGCAGCCTGCAGAGTCTCAAGCAACCGAGAAGCAGTCCAAAAAGGCAGCCGGCGAGTCGGGCGAAGCAGCGGAAGAAGGTATCGATCTGGCAGAGTACCAAGACGCCATTCGAGCCCTTACCTCGGCTTTCGGCAAGTCGAACGAGGATGCAGAAGAGGGAGACTCGGACGACGAATCGGATGTGGAAGCCGATGAGCGAGCCATTGCTGCAGCTGAAGCTGAGCCTGACTCGGTGGAAGATCCAGCTGCCGAATCAACGGATGCTGCTGGGCAAGCTGACAAGGCAGATGCGACTCAGGAAGCGCAGCACGAACAGCAACAGCAACAGCAAGATGAAGTGGAGGAAGGTGGCGAGGAGGAAGGTGGTGATGAGGTAGGTGGTAATGAGGAAGAGGACGAGGAAGAGGAAGAGAAAGAGGAAGAGAAAGAGAAAGAGGAAGAGGAAGAGAAAGAGGAAGAGGAAGAGAAAGAGGAAGAGGAAGATGGCGAGCAGATGGATCTTTCAGCAGTTCTTCGCCAGCTCACCGCTTCGTTGCAGGCTCATCAGCAGACCGATTCCGAGACTCAAGGAGAAGGCAAGAGTCAGGAAGGAGATGTCGAAGCTTCAGCTTCCACTTGTCAGCCCGAAGCTGGCGAGGAAGAGGCGGATAGCAAGGAGGATTTGCAAGCCAGCAAAGACGTTTCAAAGCAGGCAGATGAGATGGATGTGGATCAGGCTAGAGAGGAGACACCTGCCGCCAATAGCGAAGGCGCTAAGTCTGCACAGACCGAGAGAGCTGGAGATGGGCAACATGCTTCGCAAGAGGCACAGGCAGAAGAAGGTTGGCAAGACGCAGCATCGTTACAGGCACAGCTGGAAGCGCTGGTGGCTAGTCTTGCTGCCAACGCGGGCAATGCTGATGATGATGACGAGAGCGAAGATGAAGAAGGAGAAAACAAGGGTGACGATGCTCAGCAAGATTCATAGGGGCTCACCGGGGGGTAAACAGCTGACCGGATGAGCAGAGCTTTCATGTCACTGTCGTACTTGTATACTATGTCACTCGAGTCGATCGATTGGGCTCTGTATTATGATGTTGGAATCGGATTGTACTTGTATCAGCATAACCGACTGATATCGGTATTATTGATTCATTGATTGAGGAGAGGGAGAAGCTCTAACATTCAAGGTAAATTGCGTGTCTAGACCAATGTCATGTGAGCAAGCACCTTCTGAACAGAATTGCACTGCGTACAAATCAATGCTAAAGAGAACGATCCAGTGGAGATCAAAGGTGACAAAGGATCGGGCAAGGTCGATCCAAAAGTCTGATCGGGAAAGGAGATCTGACGAGAGATCGGATAGAACACAGTCGCACACAATGTGAGGCTAGGTCATGAAGAAGCATACTCCCACGATAGCTATCAGCCTCACGAAAGTATATATATCAAGCTGAGAACATTAGGATCTCGCCATGTTCACCAGTCAATTGAGTATATATGTTTCTGCCTTAAAGAAGTAGTGAGATCGTACTTAGACTATGCCCGATCGCCAGTTATCGGGAGCCAAACGCCATCAAACTTGAACAATAAACGGGCAAACTCGAGGCCCGGATCTGTGTTGGGCGTTAGTTGGCGATCCGCGTATGGAACCAAGCCCAGAAGATTTCGAGTGACGTCACGCTATCGATAAAGAGCAAAGGGAATGAGGGTCACGTTGAAGAAAGGAAACTTTTGTGGAAGCGAGCGAGGGTGTGAGGACCCCCTTTCATCTGCAGTGCAGGAAGCAGGAAGCAGGAAGCAGGAAGCAGGAAGCAGGAAGCAGGAAGCAGGAAGCAGGAAGCAGAAAGGACAGAGTTGTGTCGGTGTCGGCAGCAGTGGCGGCGGCAGCAGCAGCAGCAGCAGCATGGCCCGCCAACCTCATCTTGGTTTCCACTTGTTGAGGCTACCGCAGTCGAAAGCACAGCTTTACAAGCATGCAAGTCCTTCTGCATTGGGCTTTGCAGCAATCACATGGTTTGACGACAGCACACTTGTCCTAGTAAACAAACAATGAGAAGCAAGATGACGATCTTCGGAAGCTCCAACTGCATCCTGTCGAAGCACACACTGCCAGGGAAAGGCAAAGCGGAGAAATATTCGCAGTCGAGAGTATCTTGAATAGGCGGCGACGAGGCGACGAGGCGACGAGACGACGAGACGACGAGACGACGAGGAAGAAGCAGAAAAGCAGAACCGTTTTGCCGGTAAAATCGACACAGAGAAGAGGAACTGCTCTTGCTTATCTTTGACCTACAGCGGCAGGATGGTAAAGTATAAGTTTCACGGGGTGATCAGTGAGTGAAAAGAGTGACCAAGTTGTACAGAAAAAGGTACAAAATTCGATTCAATTTGTATCGACCTTTGTCTTTGTTTGGCAGTGAAAAATCAGGAAGAATCGAGAAAAAAAAAAAAAGAAAAAAGAAAAAGAAAAAGAAAAAGAAAAAGAAAAAGAAAAAGAAAAAGAAAAAGAAAAAGAAAAAGGAAATGGAAATAAAAAGTGCAGCACAAATCAATCATTTTCAAATGAAGATAACAATTAATATACGGCGTTATCGGGGTCACGATCAGACTCCCTTTACCACAGCCGTATGTTCTATGTAATGCTTAGTTTTCATGATGTGAGACTGAATGACAAACACATATATATACTCCATTCACTGCTCTGGTCCTATTCGAGGCAGGATGTGTCTCTTCATTTGTACTCCTGTGTTGCTATGATACCGGGTGCCACTGTGCTGTCACCATGACAACAATTACGTACCTCATTGTACTTCTCGCTTACGTGAGCCTCCCGTGTCTCAATGTCTCGGCCGTAACATGTGCATCTTACTTGAGATGCCGACGCATCTTCAACTCCCCCCTTCGGCGGGATCTCCAGTCCTATCATCCTAGCCAATCGTGAGGTGTTAAGACCCTGTAAGGGTTTTGTCAAGACATCTGCAACATTGTTTGCCGTTCCGACATATTTGATTTCCACATCGCCCTCTTGTACGTGATCGCGAACGAAATGATACCGTGTGTCGATGTGCTTTAACTTCCAATGTTTGGCTGGATCTTTACTCACCTGTATGCACCCCTGGCTATCTGTGTATAGTACGGGCCGAACGTCCGTGGTCTCCAAATCCCGGAGCAAATATGAGAAGAATAAGGTTTCTCGTACCGCTTCGGAAGCGGCGACAAACTCTGCTTCGACTGCCGACAATGCCACACACTTCTGAACGTGTGATTTCCAACTCACTGGACACCCATATACATATGTTATCGACCCCGAGGTGCTTCTTCGTCCATTTGTGGGGTCGGATGCCCAGTTTGCGTCGGTATACGTCGTTACCGGTGTATCCGAGTGCTCGTTTGTCTCCCCTCCTAGGTGCAACTGATATTCGTTCGTTTGGTTCAGGTACTTTACCACGTGGATGGCTGCCTTCCATGCACTGTCGATCGGGATCGACATATATCGCGCCAATACGCCGACGGCAAAGGCAATATCTGGTCGGGCTGTGTTGGAGACCCATAATAGTTGGCCGACCAATTCTTGATACTTCTTTGCTCGCTGAGGTTCACATCGCTCGCCTCCGGCAACGTTCGCTACACTCAGCATGGGTACCCAAGATTTCTCGTTTGCTCCTCCTAACCATTTGTTCACCATTTCCTTGATGTATGCCGTTAGACCCAGAGATATCCTCCTCCGTCTTCTATCACGTGTGATCTTGATACCCAGAAATTCTTTGACCCTTCCATTGTCTTGCGTCTCCCATTTGTCCATGATCTCTCGCTTTGCGCGATCTACTTCATCATGACTGGGTGATGTTATTAGCATGTCGTCCACGTATGCTGTGATGATCGTGATCTTGTCGCCTGTCCCTCTTGAGTATAGGCATGGTGCGCTCGGCATGCAATGGAATCCGATCGTCCGGAGATGTGAGTCTAACTCAATGTTCCATTCTCGGCCCGATTGTTTCAGACCGTACAGTCCTTTCACTACCTTCAACACTTTTCCGGGTGGCATTTCGATTCCTACTGGGGGCTTGAGGTATACATCATGGTGTATAGTGGAGTTCAGGTACGCTTGCTTTACGTCGATAGAATCCATTTCCCAATCTCGTACTGCTGCGACAGCGATCACCCCTCGAATGGATTGGATGGGTGCTACTGGTGCGAAGACCTCTGTATAGTCGATGCCCTCGCGTTGAGTGAAACCTCGTGCCACGAGCCGGGCTTTGAACTTTGTCGGCACGAGGTTTGCATCGGTTTTGATCTTGAGTACCCAACGTGTGTCGACAGTATTTGCACCCTTTGGGAGGTCGACTATCTCCCATGTGCCCATCGCCTCCAATCCATCCAGCTCCTTTCGCATGGCCTCCTCCCAGTGTTTTCTGTCCTTTCCACTCATTGCTTCATGTATGGTTGGGTCCAGGTTCTTTCTCCATTCCGGTCGCGTCGCTACGAGTCCATAGAATTCGCTGTCAATTTGAGTTTCGGCGATTGGTCCTTGTTCCATCACCTCCGCTGTTCCTTCGCTTAATCTTTCTTCCGAATCTGTCTCCATATCCATGTATTCTCGTAGTGGCTCTTCATCTGTTTCGTCGAATATATTTTCCTTATTGTATCCTAGATCTTCGAAATTTTCCTCTGTCATCATCATTGGGGGTGCCTTTGTGTCAACCGGTCGCCACTCTGTTCTGTCTGACCAGCACTTTGATTCCATGAATTTTGCTGAGTTGCTCCAGAAGATGTTCGGATTGTAGTCCGGGCTGTAGAAGAGCCAGCCCTTCCTTTCTAGACTGTACCCTAAGAAAATGGATGCGACGGCTTGCTGGTCCAGTTTCTTGTTGTCCCGTTTAACTTTGGGTACGTTTACCCATGCCAGACAACCAAACACTCGTAGGAGCTTTAAAGCTCGTTCCGGCGACTTGCCAAACATCACTTGATAAGGGAATTCATTATCAACGCTCGGAGTGAGGTTTATTTTGAACGCCGCAGCTCTGATCGCGTATGGCCAGAACTTCTTCGGTAGTCTCCTCTGCATTAGCAACGTTCTCATCTTCTCTCCAAGGGTCCTGTTCATTCTTTCTACCCGTCCATTTTGTTTGCTGTTGTACCCTACGGTGGTTTGCCACTCTATGCCCTTTTCTAACGACCATTCTAATGCATCATTGCTTTTCCATTCCGTTCCTTGATCGGATCGGATCGCTTTTAGCTTCCGATCCGTCTGTGTCTCCAGGAACGAAACAATCCTTTTGAGTTGCATAAAGGCATGACTCTTTCGTGTCAATGGCTGTGCATACACATACTTGCTATGATCGTCGACCAGCACCAACGTGCATGTGTACTCCGTCACGTGGGACGAGTCTATTATTAGATCGACGTGGATAAGATCCAGGGGCCCTACGGCTCTTTCACCGCTACCTTTCCCCATCCGAGCGCTTGTGCTCTTGGATCGTACGCACTGCTCACACGTCAGAGCGGTGTTTGGATCCAATTTCATGGTATGCTTATCCTTTAACTTGGTTGTGATCGCCTTAGCTTTATCTCTTCCTGGGTGCCCGAGACGCTCATGCCATAGTTGTTGTTTTGAAACTTTCGGCTCATTCTCAATATGCTCGAACTCCTCATCAACACCTTCAAACAATGGTGCTGATGTGGCCATCGCGCTTTCTTGCCATGTGTCGCCTCGGAACTCCAGAAGTCCTCGCTCGCGATTCTTTGCAATCTTAAGTGTCATGCCGTTTGTTAGAAAAATTTGGCCGCCGGTTGTGTCCAATATCACTCGTGCTCCTTCATCCGTTAATGAATTTGTTGACAGAAGGTTAACATTAAGGTGCTTTACATACAATACATTTTGCAGAGAGATTTCCCCGTAATCTGTTGATATGCTTGCATCTCCTATAGCTGCCGCTTCCAAGACCTCGCTTCCGGCGGTAATTATCCGCTTTCGGCAAGTTCTCGGGTGGATGAGCATGCTGTAGTCGTTCACCATATGGTAACTCGCCCCCGAGTCCAAGATCCAATGAGCTGTTTCTTTTGTGTTCGAGGGGTCCTGCCATTTCATTGGGAGGGTGAGGGAGCACCACGCTTCCTATTTAGGTTCAGCGAGGGGGGAGTCCTTGGGAATGGTAACCAAGGCGTCGCATTGACTGATACCATGTCCCGGTCGCTTGCAGACCCAGCATCGGATTCGGCGTGACTTGCTTGCGTTCCTCGAGCTCGCGTGGCTGTTGTCGGCTTCGGCTTCGGTCTCTCCGGCCCGTTCGTTTTGATCGTCGTTGCCGGCGGTTCTAGCACTGGCTTGTCGAGGGTCGATCCTTTGTGCGGGGACGCTCTCGACAGCGGTCTGCCGGATGCTTAGTGCGGTGGCAAGGGCGTTGAAATCGATTTGATGGACGGTGGCAACCGTCTCCTTGTACACCGGATGCCGGATCGTGCATTTCTGCAGAGCCGAGAACAATGTATCATCGGCGAATGGTTTGCCGAGGAGGCTGCTTTCGGTTTGTATGGACCGGATCTCTTGAATTAGCTTTCTGGCGTCCGAGTTAAACATCTTTGTATCGTTGAGTTGCGAGATAAGCGCAAGTCTGTGAGACGTCTTGGTGGCTTCATTCGTGAGACCGTTTTCGATCTTTCTCCACACTTGGTTGAAAGTAAGGTACTCCTTGATTACATCTAGAACGAGGTAATTTACATTGTGTTCTCCGGTAGTGTCGATTGTTCCACGCAGGGCGTTGATTAAAGCATCGTCGAGGGAGCGGCTCCATTTCGGGTGTTTCTTGTCGTACGTTCCCTCGAGATGTTTCATCGCATGAGGCACGGATCGGAGGAAAGATTTCACGTGGGCGCTCCAGCTATGATAGTTTCGTGACGTGAGCTTTGGCACGGGTTCGAGGAGCTTTGCTAGGGTGCGAAAGTTATATCGCTTGTCACCATCATCAAAGTCGGAGTCGGAATCGGTGTCTTCGTCGGCTTCATCATTGATGGCCTCCGGCTCGTTCTCGCTCGTGGCATTATTATCGACCCGAACCTGGGTGTTCTTGCCTTTTCTGCCTCCTTTGGTCCTCGTTTCGGTGTCTTCTACCATGGTTGTCGGCGAGTTTCGGTTAGCTCGGTGATAGCTTCTTCAGACTCTTAATCAAATGAAGATAACAATTAATATACGGCGTTATCGGGGTCACAATCAGACTCCCTTTACCACAGCCGTATGTTCTATGTAATGCTTAGTTTTCATGATGTGAGACTGAATGACAAACACATATATATACTCCATTCACTGCTCTGGTCCTATTCGAGGCAGGATGTGTCTCTTCATTTGTACTCCTGTGTTGCTATGATACCGGGTGCCACTGTGCTGTCACCATGACAACAATTACGTACCTCATTGTACTTCTCGCTTACGTGAGCCTCCCGTGTCTCAATGTCTCGGCCGTAACATGTGCATCTTACTTGAGATGCCGACGCATCTTCAACTTTTTCTAATCGGATCGACAGCTTTCTTTGGCTTGGACAACGGTCTATCGAAATCTTCCACTCGAGTCCTCGTCAGTTTTTGTTGCCAAATCCTCCTCAAGTCAAAAAGTGCGATTCGAGTTCTTCTTGCTTCTCTACCCTTGCACAAGACACAGAAGGATACTCATCTTTCGCTCGTTCGAGCGTCTGTATGCATGTAAATGCACCATCGATGCTCGATGACCACTTTCCTTAGTCTCATACCGACCCATCTCCTGTTTCCCCTGAAACGGGGCAGCGTTGACGAGTTGACGCCTTGACGGGCGGTTCCATGGATCCTCCGCTGACCTACGCACGAACCAAGAGCCAGTCAGCCGTCAGCACCCCTGGTGCAAGTGCGTAGGTCTGCATCCATTCTTTCTGAACCCCACCTCTATCTTTGAACTTTTCCGCTCAAACTTTTAGAATCGAAAGCCAACAAGAAACACTCGCTCTGATAGTGAGACCGCAGTTTTGTATCCTACGCACCATGACACAGGACATGTGCGTGCATTTGAGAGACAATGATGGTCTGTGCAGTTTGACCCTTTGAAGAACACTGGCCTCCTACCTTGGCACGCCAAGCCATGTTGAAAATCCATCCGTTGCCCTATTCCAGGCCTGACAAAGACTGTGCAGCAGCCAAGAGGCCATCGTCCAACACAGTCTTGCCTTGGCCTTGCCTTGGCCTTGCCTTGGCCCTCCCTTTAGCCCCCCTCACGAGAGCGCCAGACCTCATCTTACGCCAGCTCATCATGCGATCCCAGCTGGCTACTACTTAAACCTCGTCAAGCCACATTTCTGTCACTTTCTTCTTGCCCCAACCATCTTGCCTGACTTTTACCTCTATCCATCCCACTCTTTCTCCCAACCAACACGCGACACCCAACATCATCTTTCATCATGTCCAAGATTACTGCTAGCGGCATCATCGCCGGCAACATCTCCACCCAGCGTGTCAAGCTCAACAACGGTGTCGAAATCCCCCAGGTGGCTCTTGGTGTTTACAAGGCCCCCAACGATGGCTCCACCGAGAACGCCTGCAAGTGGGCTTTCGACGCTGGTTACCGTCACATTGACTCTGGTAAGTTGACTCTCTCTTCTGGCTCTCAGCAGCAAAGTCTACCCCTGAGCAATTTGTCAGATTGCTAACCGATTCACCTCTCCTCCTACTTACTTTTTTCCTTACAGCCGCTCGTTACATGAACGAGGAGTCCGTCGGCCGTGCCCTCGCCGAGTGGACAAAGGACAACAACGTCCCCCGCTCCGACATCTTTATCACCTCGAAGCTCTGGGATGCTGACCACGACAAGGCCGCCGCTGCCATTGAGGACTCGCTCAAGAAGCTCAACGTCGAATACATGGACATGTACCTCATGCACTCCCCCGGTACCATGGGTCCCGAGAAGCGTCTCGAGGCCTGGAAGGCTCTTGAGGACGCCGTCGACGCCGGCAAGATCAAGACGATCGGTGTCTCCAACTTTGACGTCGAGGAGCTCGACCATCTTCTTGCCAACTGCCGCATCAAGCCCGCCGTCAACCAGATCGAGTCGCACCCCTTCTTCGCTCACGAGGAGCTCCGTGAGGCTTGCATCGAGCGCGGTATCCACATCCAGGCTTATTCGCCCATGGCTCAGGGTCAGGCTCTCGACCGCCCCGAAATCAAGGCTATCGCCACCAAGCACGGCAAGACCCCCGCTCAAATCTTGCTCCGATGGGGTATCCAGCATGGGTAAGCTCAAAGACACCCCTTTCTTCATGCAAAACGATGAGAAATATCCAAACTAACCCAAACAAAATCGCTTCCTTTGATTCCCCTTTTTTTGCTTTCCTACAGTAACATCATCCTTCCCAAGTCCCTTACCAAGCACCGTATCGAGTCCAACGCTCAGCTCTTCGACTTCCAACTCGATAACGACGACATGGACGCTCTCGGTAAGTTTCAACCCCCTTGATTTCTTAGACATAACTTTTCGGCCCATTGGGAACCCCCTTGGGAACCCCCTTGGGAACCCCCTTGGGAACCCCCTTGGGAACCCCCTTGGGAACCCCCTTGGGAACCCCCTTGGGAACCCCCTTGGGAACCCCCTTGGGAACCCCCTTAGGAACCCCCTTGGGAACCCCCTTAGGCACCCCGTCGAGGTCGTTTCTGGGCCGGCCACAGCTGGTTCCAAGCTCAAAGGACTTTGTAACTGACTCTAGCTTGTTTTCTTCTTCTTTCTTCTCCCTCTATCTCTATCAATTCTGGGCCCTTTTTATACGGAAAAAAAATAATAATCGCAGATGGCATGGATGAAGGTATGAAGGTCGGAAAATTAGGCCCAGCCGGCACATCGCAGCCCCCATCGCCCGGTGGAACCCGCCCTGGTTCTCGCCGCTCTTCTGGCTCGGGAGGTCTCTCTGGTAACAAGCTCCAGATGTCCTCGTCGTAAACAAGTCATGGTCGAACCATATATGATGTTTCAGCATCCCGTTGTACGACGAGAAGAGTCGCCCGCTAACCATGCCGGCCTGCTAATCAACGTCTCCTCAGCAATGTCTCGTGTGCTGTTCCGCTCTTAATCTCCACCCACACATGTTCTCGCTCTGTACTCTTATCAATAGTTTGCAAATCGATATCGTTACCAAGCATCATCAGTGTGCCCTCTGTCAAGTGAGAGAGGTACCGTGTTACTGTAGTGGTCGCCTCTGACTGTTGAAACGCGAGAAAGTTTTGTCCCGATAACTGACAATCGGGGAGAGTCTGAGTACGATGTCACTGCTGCTTTAGAACAGAAACATATATACTCAATTAACTAAAGAACGTGGGGGGCTGCCGCTTGATATATATACAAAGTGTCGGCATATGCCAAAGGTGGGAGCATTCCACTTAATCACGATGTGTCTCAACCAGGGGGACTAAGTTGTACCCGATCTTATTCGTATCTGCTTACGTCAGCTCGCATCATCAAATTGGATCCTTTCCTTCAACACTGACAGGCGCAAAATAGTTCTGTGGCAAGCCAAGATCTCACATTCATGAATTTCTCCACAAGCGGCGGTTATTCTTAGGCTCCGCTCCTTCTTGGCTGTGCTTGAATTGGATTCAGATTGCCGTGTGACAGTTGACCTTTTCGCTTAAAGTCGAACAGGAACACTTTGTTTTCCGGAAAGGGTCGTCATCCATACCCACCTCGCTCTCTTCCCCTCTCCAATCTCGACCACCACCAACACAACCATTGACGCCGCTCAGCATCCTGTCGCTGCAGATATGGCGGGCTTCCGCCATCGCAAGGATGCCTGGATCGTGTTTGCTTTCCTGATTGTGGTGCAGATCGTCTGCTTTCGAGGCAGTCAACGCCTCCGGAGGAACCTCGCATCACCAGTACCACCGTCGACAGCACCTGCCTCGGGGCAATGGTATAAGCGTTCAGATCCTTCATCGCTAGACCTGCTCAAGGAACACCACACGTCTACAGCGCATGCACCTCAGCCCACCAGACCTTCCAAAGAGCCCGAAGCACAGCATTGCCAGCCTGTTCCCTTTGACAAGACACCGAAAGAGGTCTGCAAGCATGTCATCGACAACTGCCAAGCTTCCGGCCATTTTGACTACCTTCGATTCTACTACTGCGCTGGAGTCGATGGTAGTGAGCTCGAAGATGGCAAGCCTTCCAAACCTCCATCCAAACCTCGGTGGCACGCTGGCATCTCTGTCCTTCGTCTCCTTCGCCTCATCTGCATTCTACTCTGGATGCTCCTCCTTTTCAGCTGGGTCGGCGTCGTAGCGAGCGACTTTTTCTGTCCTAATCTCAGCACTATCGCATCGCGTCTCGGACTCAACGAAAGTACTGCAGGTGTCACCTTCCTTGCATTCGGCAATGGATCTCCCGACGTCTTCTCCACATTCGGTGCTATGAAGACCGATTCAGGTTCTTTGGCCATCGGCGAGCTCCTTGGAGCTGCCTCCTTTATCGTGTCGGTCATTTCAGGATCCATGATACTCATCGCGCCTTTCAAGGTTAAAGCTTGGCCTTTCTGCCGTGACGTCGGCTTCTTCACTGTGGCAGTCGCATTGACGCTCACATTCCTCTTCGACGGCAAGCTGAGACGCATCGAGACCATCGCTCTCATCTGCCTCTACCTCCTGTACGCATCGACCGTCATCATCGGCTCTTGGTGGCAGGAGCGTCAACGCAGGCAGAAACGTCGTCTTGCTGCAGCTAGGGAAGAGTTTGACAGCCAAGCTGACAACCGCTCTATTCTCACTCGTAGCAGCGGCCCCTCTGCCCGAGAGGCAGTTGAAGACCTCGAGCGAAGCCGATATATTGGTCAGCGCTTGCCGAGTCCATCCGAATACGATCCGGACTTTGATCCCTTCGAAGACTGGGCCAACCAGCGACCCCCTCGCAGCGGCGCATCAACTCCCGACATCTCTCGTCCAGGCAGCCGTGCACCATCCATTCATATCCCTGCATCATCCAGCTCTCGTGCCGCGATCAAGGCTTCCCTCAACGTGCGTCCCAACTTGGTCCCACGTCACTCACTTCTCTCTGCGATCGAGTTCCGCGATGTAGTTCAGAGTCTGCGCCGCGATGCCACAGCCGACCGCTCGCAAGAGATCTTCCAGAGTTGGGATCCGGAACGTTTCTTGCCCTCAAACCACTCTCATCGTCACCATCACACACACGCCAACCTGTCGAGAAGCATTTCAGGAGACGGTCGACAGGATGCTAGTCCCAAGCAGCGCCAACGCGCAGGGCACAATCGAATTCTCAGCATCGGCGCTGGTATGGCAAGAAGCGCCTCATCTAGCTCAGGCCTTCGACGCAAGACCGTCGGTGCTCACGAGAGTGAAACTTTCAATCAGCACTCACAGAGTCAGGCAGGAGGTAGTGTAGAAGCGGGCAACTTGGAGGATCCGTGGAGAGAGCACCTACCCGGTGATGCGTGTGAGCCGCTCATCTCACCGGCTCTACCATTAGACAATGGCTCGCAGCATGATCCTCTCTACGAGACGCAACTTCGCAAGTCGCTGCCCAAGCTGCAGATTCCGCAATGGAACACAAAAGCAGCACGTAGCGAGGAAGCGCGCCGCAACCTGCAAGCTCGCAAACGTCTCCAAGTCACAAGAGAAGCAACCCAGGAGACCTCAATCTCAGCATCGCCGCAGAAAGATCGATTCGATAGCGTCACCAGCCAAAGACGCGTCCGTCCTCAGAGGTCAGCTCCTGAGCTCATAGCCTGGAAGGCAAGAGTCATATTCAACGCGCTATTTCCATCACTTTGCTACATCCACGTCAAGTCGTTGCTCGGCGCTGCTATCAGCGTCACAACATCACCAGCGATTCTGCTCCTCGACCTGACGCTTCCTGTCGTCGACGACGAGGCCGAGCGTGCTGAACGCGAGAACGACGTGGATGAGGCTGACTCGATCGGGGCGGTCCGCCTGGACGGCCAAGAGTCGCAACTGCACGCAGAAGACGCCTACGATGAAGAAGCGATTGTCGACTCTGAAGCCACACCGTCGGCAGGCACCCGACCTTGGAGCGCGGAAGAGCGAGTCGAAGCTATGGAAGATGCTGAACAGGAAGAGAACACGCACAGAGATCAGGAGGTTGCCGCGGCTCTACGACACTTGCCTTGCGTGGCTGCATCGCCACTCTCGTTGGGCAGTGGGCCTAAGAGTCCCGGCGTACTCTTGCGCTTGCCTTCTACAACTCAGTCACCACTGCCAGTCGACAGCGCAGCAGACGGCGACGCAGCAAGCTTCATGAGCCACGAGAGCTGCGAGGCTGAGGACCAAGAGATGAGACGCTCGATTCGACGCTTCCTGATCCTATGCCAGTGCGTCTGCGCACCTACATTCCTGACGTGGGCCATCGTCTCTTCGTCAGGCTCTCCACAATTGGGGCTCAAGGTGGGCGTGGCTGCCGCTGCGGGTGTCATTGCGGCTATCTTGACGTTCTGGGCGATGCGAAGGAAGGATGCAGGTAAAGCACGATACTCGGACCGCACACTCTCGACATTTGCGATGATTCGCTGCTCGATGGGCTTCATTGTCTCAGTCATGTGGATTATGACTATTGTTGATGAGGTCGTCTCGATCCTCCAGACGGTTGGCATCATCATGGGTCTGTCGGATGCCATTCTCGGTCTTACGGTCTTCGCAGTCGGCAACTCGCTCGGCGACTTGGTCGCTAACGTCACGATCGCCAGGTTAGGCCATCCAGTGATGGCGATCAGCGCATGCTTTGCTGGACCCATGCTCAACTTGCTGCTTGGCATCGGCATCTCTGGCACATATCTGCTGTCTGACGGTCAAGGCCAGTGGAATGACAGCAATACCACGGCTATCTACCCCATCGACTTTAACCCGACTCTGCTCGTGTCGGGTCTGGGTCTGCTGCTCATCCTGATCGGCACGCTGATTGCCGTTCCTATGAACCACTTTGAGCTCACCAAGCCGATCGGTGTCTCACTCATCGCAGCATATGTTCTCATCATGACAGTCAACCTTTTGACTGAGATCTTCTGGGTCCGAGGCGATTCTGTACTGTAGATACGCTCGAAGCTGCCAGGTAGTCCACAATGCCACATATACCGTCTCATACTGACATTCAGTGCAAGTCGAAGGCTCAAGCTGAACAGTCATGACCAGCGATGAGAGGCTTTCGTACGAGTGAAAAATGGCTAGCCAGCTCTGGCACTGTGGATGCGGAGCAATTACAAAACGACGTTGCTCATGACTTGAAAAATTCAGGACCTTGAATTTTCCAGGCTGTGAAGCTTGTATTTTGATTAGAAATGATCGGAAGTCCGAAGCTTCAAAGCGAGCAGCTGCAAGAATGGTGGTAGTTCGGGAGAGAGCATTCCCTAGCTGCGCGATGACTTGGCAAAATCTCCGAATACGGATCACATCACGTGAAGTGGTTATCACGTGAAGTTGTTATCACGTGAAGTTGTTATCACGTGAAGGTTTTATCACGTGATTACCAGTCCTGTTGGAGAAGCAGAGCGTCAGATTCGCAGGTCGAAGCAGAGAACCGCTTTGTCCCTGCCGAGCCATGGAGAGAAGCTTCCATCTCCACCTCGTACTGACAATCGATATCACTGTCTGCCGGCCATCACGACTAACCCACCTTGCTTCGTCTGGTGTGCTCTCTTCACCTTTAGCGATAGCTCCACTACTCGCGCAGTCGTATCAGGTGATTCCATCCGCGTAGCATCCCCCTTTCAGCTTATCTTGGCATCCTACATCTTGGCATCCGCCACCCGACACCTAGCTTGAATTGCAACTCCTACATTTACCATGGCTCCATCACTCTTTCGCGCCGTTCGCCCGGCTGCTCAGCTTTACCGCTCGAGCGTGCCATCGACCTCCAGCCGGCTTCTTTCGACGACTGCAAGCCGCTCGCTCGCATCCGAGGCTCAGGATACTACTCCTTCCGCTAAGGCAGTCCCCACCTTGCCCGCCACATCTGCCTTCACCGTTGAAGAGCTCCACGACAAGAGCGCACAGGAGATTCTTCGCGAGGGCGGCACCAGAAAGGACCGCTCGCTTCGTCACTTTACTGTCAACTTTGGTCCTCAGCATCCTGCCGCCCACGGTGTGTTGCGTTTGATTCTCGAGCTTAATGGAGAGGAGATCCTTCGAACAGACGTGAGTATACCAGCACAGAAGCATGTACCACAGGAGGTCCCTGCCGAAGCATCAGCTTTGCTTCCGCCTATACCGCCGCTGTTGCCACCTCAACTTGGCACATCTCCGGTTTCCAAAGGGCATAAACTTGACGCAGCGATACTGACCCGCTTCCTCTTTTGCTCCTCGCTCTTTTGATTGACAGCCCCACATCGGTCTCTTGCACCGAGGTACCGAAAAGCTGATCGAGTACAAAACCTACACACAGGCACTTCCTTACTTTGACCGACTTGACTATGTTTCCATGATGACTAACGAGCTCTGCTACTCGCGAGCCGTTGAGAAGCTTCTCAACATCGAGGTTCCCGAGCGAGCCAAGTGGATTCGTACCATGTTCGGAGAGATGACCCGTATTCTCAACCACTGCATGGCTGTCCTTTCGCACGTCATGGATGTTGGCGGTCTCACTCCCTTCTTGTGGGCATTCGAAGAGCGTGAGAAGCTCATGGAGTTCTACGAGCGTGTTTCCGGTGCTCGTCTCCACGCTGCTTACGTTCGTCCCGGTGGTGTTGCATACGATCTTCCCCCTGGTTTGTTGGACGACATTTACAAATGGGCTACTCAGTTTGGTTCGCGTGTCGACGAGATCGAGGAGGTTGTTACTGGTAACCGTATCTGGAAAGGCCGTACCATTGGTATCGGCAAGGTGACTGCTCAGCAGGCGCTCGACTACGGTTTCTCGGGTGTCATGCTCCGTGGTTCCGGAATTCCTTGGGATATTCGTAAAGTCGCTCCTTACGACGCTTATGACCAGGTCGAGTTCGACGTCCCCGTCGGCAAAAACGGTGATTGCTACGACCGATACCTCTGCCGTGTCGAAGAGTTCCGTCAGTCGCTCCGCATCATCGAGCAGTGCTTGAACAAGATGCCTGCCGGTCAGATCAAGGTCGACGACCACAAGCTTGTACCACCACCGCGTGCCACGATGAAGGAGAGCATGGAGTCGCTCATTCACCACTTTAAGCTCTTCTCGGAAGGTTACGCCGTTCCACCTGGTGAGACCTACTCAGCTATCGAGGCGCCTAAGGGTGAGATGGGTGTCTACCTTGTTTCTGATGGTACTAACCGTCCATACCGATGCAAGATCCGTGCCCCTGGATTCGCTCACTTGGCAGGTGCTGATTTCATGGCACGACACCACTACATTCCCGACATAGTGGCTATCATTGGTACCCTCGATCTTGTGTTTGGTGAGGTGGACCGTTAATCGTCTCTGCTGTTGTCCAATATGTAGTACGTTGGTTAGATGGGCAATTCGAAAGCATTCATGAAGATGGAGTTTAGTATTAATCTGGGCTTAGCGTGGTTGACATTGTTGCGTGAGTCGACGCAACGGAGCCAAGTTGTTGTTGAGCCAGAGGATCGAACTTGCTTGACTGCTAGATCTTGCGCTTCCGCTCGGAAAGGAAGAGGCAGAGACCTCTTCTCTGAGAAGGGTTCTGGGCTCTGCCTCGACGAGACTGTAGAGACACAAGTTGAAGAGCACATGGTGTCGAGATTGAGTCGCGTGTTTGACCGAAAAGAGGGCATTGGGAATAATTTTCTCCACCAAAGCAAAACAAGACAAAGACAATTGCAACACTTGGAGCACAGAGGTTGGTACATCTCTCTCACACCACCATTCCTCTGTCACTTTGAAGACGCTTGAACGAGCGTGCTGCTGCGAGTTAGACACGAACAGGAGCATGCCTTTGGACAGATGGCAACCTCGACGCAACGGAGACGACGACCGGCCTGCAACTTCTCACAGTCGCAGCTCTGCCCTGGATAGTGACAAGCAGGGCGAATCTTCAAAGGCTTCACAACGATCCAGATACTCGCCAGGCGCGGACAGAGGTGATGACGGCTCGTCCTTTCCCAACAAAGCTCGCCGTATCGACGACAGGCTTGAAAGTCGTATTGACGACAGGCTTAAAAGTCGTATTGACGACAGGCTTGAAAGTCGTATTGACGACAGGCTTGGAAGCCGCTTCGACAGAGACGCACGTGAACGACACCAGCACACTGATCGAAATCGAGACAGTCGAGACAACATTGCTTCTGCATCTTCCTCTTCACGCCGCACAGAGGATACACGCGATGCTGTGCCACCTGCTTTGACTATCAGGGGTGTGGCTGCGTCCCAACGTCCCACCTCACCGTCACGACAGCCAGCGAAAGAGAACGAAGACAGACCGCCACGAGCACGTAGCCCTGATTTTTTCGACCGACTCAATCGACATAGAGATGACGCCAATGGCTCCGCCCCTTCGAGACCGGAGACCTCTCTTCGCTCACGACTCGAAGACGAGACAAGTCGAGAGAGCTCAGATCTGCCAAGACGAACAGCACCAAAGCTCGCTCCAAGAGGTCAGTACGACGAGGACGGTCGTCGCATCGATGCTGTTCCCAATCGCACCGACTCCCGGGACCGCCGCATCGGTTTGACATCTCGAGACGACCCTCCTACTTCACCGCGAAAGCGAGAGCTAGAGTCAAGAAGAATACGGGACCGTTCTGGCTCTCCTGTCTCGGTTGACCGCTCAGGCTATCGAGCTGCTGACTCGCGTGATGATAGATCGACACGTCCCGAGCGCACACGCACTTGGCAGCCTTCTCCCAGTCCAAGCTCGACCACTGCAACACGGTCTCAATGGGACAGGTCTTCCAACAAATACGACCGATACGAGCGTCGCAGATCTCCACCACCACGATCTACCGCCAGGTATGATCGAGCAGAGCAGGACACCTCAGCAAGATCCACTTTAAGATCAGCAAGGTGGGGTTCTAGAGCGCATCTTGATGACGATAACACAGACGCTCGCTCGCGTGGGAGAGGTGATCCAGGCACACCGACACGCCGACACCGCTGGCCCTCGCCTACACGATCTGATACTTCAAACCGCTCGCGCCGCCGAGATGGTGATCAGGAGACGGTGCAGCGTTCAACGCGGGACAGAGATACCGAGCGTGGGGTGGAAAGGTCGCGTCCTGAAGATCGTCCCGCTCGCTGGAGGATGAACAACAACAATGATGGTGATCTCGACAAAGACAGCACTCGAGTGCGAGGAGACCGAGGCCGGGATGGAGACGAGGACAAGGCTATAGAGGACACCCGACCTAGACGAGACGGATATCCCACAGGACCTGCTCGTGATCGCAGGCGCTCGCCCGATAGCCACAGACCGCGCACACCTCCTCGACAAAGTCGTGCAGATGATGGAGCCGATCGAGGTCACGTACTTTTACGCAAGTCGGCCATTAGCACGACCTTCGATAACAAGCAGCCGCCTACTGGGCCACGCGGTCAGACAGACGCAGCGAATCAGCGCAGTATTCGCGGTGGTGGCTGGCAAACTGTTCGTCCTGGCTCTCGGCCCGATCGAAACGCCTCTGCCTCCAACAACAACAACAACAACAACAACAACAACAACAACAACAACAACAACAACAACAACAACGACAATGACAACAACAACGACGACAACAACAACAACGCTTATGCCACTGGCAAGGGTCGTGAAGACAAGAAACATAGCGAAGCAGATACTCGGCGGGTTAAAAGGCCTCGCGCAGAACCTGGCATACCAGCCGAAGCTCGGCGAGCAGAAGCGGGCGAAGCATACGAAAGCATCCACCAAGTTGGTGAAGGCACTTACGGACAAGTCTTCAAAGCACGCTCTGAACGGACTGGCGCCCTGGTGGCACTCAAGAAGATCCGCATGGACAGCGAAAAGGACGGGTTCCCAGTGACAGCGATGCGCGAGATCAAACTTCTCCAAGCTCTCCGTCACGAAAACGTCGTCCGACTGCACGAAATTATGGTCACTCGCGGCTCGATCTACATGGTTTTCGAATACATGGAGCATGATCTTAACGGCATTCTCGCTCATCCTCAAGTTGAATTTAGCGATGCACATCTCAAATCCCTGGCACAACAACTGTTTTCTGGTTTGGACTATCTGCATCGTAAAGCAGTTCTGCATCGCGATTTGAAAGGTTCGAATTTGCTCTTGAACAATCAAGGACGGTTGAAGTTGGCAGATTTCGGACTTGCAAGGTTTTACGCCAAGAGAAGAGAGGGAGATTACACGAATCGAGTGGTGACGTTGTGGTATAGACCTCCGGAGCTGTTGTTCGGTGAAACGCAGTATGGGTCTGAGGTGGATATGTGGGGTGCAGGATGTATCTTGCTCGAGTTATTTGTGAAGAAGCCAGTGTTTCAGAGCGAGACGGAGCTGGGACAGGTGACAGCGATAACAGATATCTTGGGGCCGGTGAGAAAGGAGAATTGGCCAGAAGTGGATAAGTTGGCTTGGTACGAGATGGTCAAACCGGTCGCTCTTGCCACTGTCGCTGAGGATGAGCAAGAGGCGAAGAGGAAGGATTACGTAGGATCGAAGTTCGGAAAGCACATGCCTGAGGCAGCGCTGCAAGTAGCACGAGGGCTGTTAAGGTACGATCCGAAGAAGAGATGGACAGCCAAAGAAGCTCTTGCATCGGATTACTTCAGCCAGGAACCGAAGGCGGAGCTACCAGCAGGCTTGTTGAGTGCGTTGGAGGGAGAGTGGCATGAATATGAGTCAAGGAGGGCGAAGAAGAAGGCTACTGGTCATAGGGTCAGTGATAAGGTGGGAACGGATAATGCAACTGGCCAGACAGCGAGCTCGACAAACGCAACTGTTGTGAGGGATCCTGCTGCGAGTTGAAATAAGCATCGACACTATCTAACGTCTTTGATCAGTCGCACTTGCACAGTGAGTGTGTGTGTGTGTGTGTGTGTGTGTGTGTGTGTGTTGGACCGTGTCAACATACCAACACTCGATGCGTTTGATGTCTTTATACTCGAGCTCGGTAGTGAGAAGGGCGACAATTGCCACTATAAACCCAAAAGCGGAGAGGCAAACGCGTCCCAACTCTGGCTGAAATGGACAAGTGAGGACTTCTCTCGTGCGACAAGACTGAGCCTCGAGGCGAATTCATTGAAATGCGGTCAATTTGAAAAGCGTTGAAATGCGAAAAGCCGTTCTTGTAGCCGGATTCGAGATTTGCCCCTTTTTCTCTCCTCTGCTCTCTTGCCTTGAGGTCTTATCTCGCCCTCCACCCTCCACCCTCCACCCTGCACCCTGCACCCTGGCAGTCTATCACTCTATCGCTCTAGTTATCGCTCTGCCGCTCTGCCAACTCTGCCCCCAAGTCGACTCAGAAGCCTTTGCCGCGGCGCTCCACACTCTCCTCTCGCCACTGCGGTTCGGCAGTGAGCTGCTACCAGTTTCTATAATCACTCGCACCATCCCGCACACTTTGCCATTTCCATCTTTCCCTCCATCACCATCATCCCTCCATCCTTCCATCCACCTCCCCTTCCCCCCCAACCTCAAGATGAAGCTCAACCTCTCACTCACTTTCGTCACCGCTTTGGCTACCGCCTTTGCTGGCGTCGAGGCCGGCGTTCACAAGGCCAAGCTCCAGAAAGTCACTCCTTCTCGTGAGCTCACCCTTGAGGGTCTTGCCGCTCAGGCCGAACTCCTTCAGCTCAAGTATGGCCGTGGTTCTTTCGAGAAGCAGGCTCCCTTCTCCGCCAACCCCGAGCACGACTTCACCATTCAGCCTATCGCTGACACCAACCAGGCTGCCGCTTGGTACGCTGAGGCCAAGAAGGGTCACGGTGTTCCATTGACCGACTTCCTCAATGCTCAGTACTTTTGCGACATCTCGCTCGGTACCCCTGCTCAGGAATTCAAGGTGATCCTTGACACTGGCTCCTCCAACCTTTGGGTCCCTTCCAACAAGTGCTCTTCCATCGCTTGCTTCCTCCACAAGAAGTACGACAGCTCCGCTTCCTCTTCATACAAGAAGAACGGTACCGAATTCAAGATCCAGTACGGCTCTGGCTCCATGGAGGGCATCGTTTCCAACGATGTTCTCAAGATCGGCGACCTTACCATCAAGGGGCAGGACTTTGCTGAGGCCACTAGCGAGCCCGGCCTTGCTTTCGCTTTCGGCAAGTTCGACGGTATCCTCGGTCTTGCTTACGACACCATCTCGGTCAACGGCATCGTTCCTCCCATGTACCAGATGATTAACCAGGGCTTGCTAGACGCTCCTCAGGTTTCCTTCTACCTCGGCAGCTCCGAGCAGGATGGTGGCGAGGCCGTCTTTGGCGGTATCGATGAGAGCCACTACACTGGCAAGATCCACTGGGCTCCCGTCAAGCGCAAGGGCTACTGGGAGGTCGCTCTTGACAAGCTTGCTCTCGGCGACGAGGCGCTCGAGCTTGACAACGGTTCCGCTGCCATCGACACCGGCACAAGTCTCATCGCCATGGCCACCGACACTGCCGAGATCCTCAACGCTGAGATCGGTGCCACCAAGTCCTGGAACGGTCAGTACTCGGTTGACTGTGAAAAGGTCAAGGACTTGCCTCCCCTAACCTTTTACATTGATGGTAAGCCCTTCAAGCTTGAGGGTAAGGACTACGTTCTTGACGTTCAGGGCTCCTGCATCTCGTCCTTCTCCGGCATCAACCTTCCTGGTCCTCTCGCCAACATGTTGATTGTTGGTGATGTCTTTTTGCGAAAGTACTACTCGGTTTATGACTTGGCTAAGAACGCCGTCGGTCTCGCCGCTGCCAAGTAAACTTCCGAGTTTGACCAAGGTCAGCTTGGCTCCTCGGAGCAGTCTAGCTTGGCCTCTTGCTCATGCCAAATCTTATACTAGCATCCTTCTCGAATCTCAGAAACTCTTTTCTCACCTTGGTACAATTTCTTCCTCCTGCACAAGCGCTTGCCTTCAGTTGGTGCGTCTCCAGGCGCCCTTCTATGTCAAGGCTAGATGCTTTGTCTTTTCTAGCATGCCGCCTCTCCCTTTTTGTCTCCAAGGCACTATGCCCTTCTCGCACTGCAATCACATTCTATCATAGTTCCAACCTCTGAGTGTCTGACTTGTTGCCTGCCTGCTACTATGTTTGATAGGTGAACCCACCGTGTTGAGAAGAGTTGCCCTAGTTGTCGGAGGATCGCCGCTTGAATGAACCAAGATGGATCGTCGGACAGACAGATCAAGCTGTGCGGTGTAATTTACGCGACGCGAGAGCGCGTCGCAAAGAAAAGTAACAGTTGACGCGTTTCAATATTTCAGCTGCAACCAACACTTGGACACCAAAACTATCGACCTTCCCATCTTACCCTTCCCATCTTACCCACACCATCTTACCCACACCATCTCCCTATTGAAGCCATGCCAGGATGTTTGGCGACCAAGCACTGAAACTAGTCACAGAAGCCAAGGCCTGCTTGAACCTTGATACTGTCAAACCCTACAAGTAGGTCCTGCTCTCATCCTAGCTTTGCTTTCACCTTTACGCTAACACCACACCCCCGCCCTCTCCTCTATGGTTGCAGTGACGAGTTAATAAGGGCTCTGATTCTCGAGACAAAACAGCTCCACACCCATCTCACCACCCTTCTTAGCACACTCGAAACGCAATCGCACCAACTTTCGCCTGCAGACGTCTCCGGCTTACAATCTCAACTACTCATGCTCCATCTCATAGTTCAATACAATAAACGCTCCCTCCTGATTTATCACAACATTCGCATCGACCTCCTCTCCTCCCATCTTTCACGCCACGCCTATTCTCTTCGCGTCCTATTCTCAAAAGAACCGCATCTGCGAACAGCACTCTCTCCGTACGAACAAGATCATCTAAAACGATACTCCGACCTAATCCATCGTACCAAACTCACATACCTCGATCTATCTCCGAACTTAAGGCTAGATATCTCAGACCATCAGGTATACGAACCAGTCCCAACAGACCTACTCGTAACAGTAAAAGTAAACAGAGAGTTGAACGATGTTTGGTTAACTTCCAACCAGACAGCGCCGACGACATTTGCAAAGGATCAAACATTGACCATCAATAGGGGTGATGTTAGGGCTTTGATCAATAGAGGTTGGGTCAGTGTTGTCCATCAATAGCCACCACGATGACCGAGGTGATTGGGGTTGAGAGATGGCCAACGCCGGAAGGAAGAGGGAGAGGTCTGAGAAGAGATATGGGTTTGTACAGTATCGTATTGCATCGCAAAAAGTAAGCTTTTGTCACCCATTCCAGCAAGGCGTTCGATCACCTACCCGCATTCCGAGTTTTGCGAAACACCGTCTTCAGCAACAAGGCATCAATCAGGATTACACAAACAGACGCGCTCATTAGGTTCAAAACACGGCTACTATATAGGTAAGAGTGAGATATCGAGATCGTTGCAGTCGTGTAGAGAACATATCAGCATCGAAACTTTACCAAACGGAGCATGCGAGACAAAAAACAAAACAAAACAAAACAAAGGAGGCAAGGACAGCATAGCGGGACCAAACCAAGCAGAAGCGAGCATATGCAAACTGAGCTAGTTCGAATCGTTAGCACGATCGCCATTCGAATTCGTCGTGCTGCCAGGAGAAGACCCTCTTTCACGACCACCACCGACATCCCTACCTGATAACGAAAGTAGCCCAGGCGAAGTAGCATTATTGCCAACAGGCGGAGACCTACCTCCACCTTCACCACCACGATCGCCTTCACCCGAACAAGACACTGGCCTGCCTTGCTCACTATCCAACCTCTGCATCCCAAGAGGCGAAGGAACAGCAGCTCGACCACCGTGGGTCGAAGACTTGTACGTGTTTGACCTCGCTCTGCCTTGTGCCGTCTCTTTGCCATCCGACTCGTATCCATTAGAAGGAGCAACGAGAGTAGAGCCCGTGTAGCGGTTGCTCGAGCCATCTTGAGCATCACTCATCTGGCTGAGCTGAAGACTGTTACCGAACGAAGTGCGGTGCGTGGGCGTTTTGCCGCTAAAAGCATCTTCGTCAAACGTAGTGGCGAGTCTGTCGTTGGGTGGAGCTAGCTGTGATGCTGACGATGGTCGCTGGTCCAGCGACGGTCTACGAGCCGAGGGATCAGAGTCGTTTTCCTGACAGTTGCCGGCGTTGTCGCCGTGCGTGGAAGCGTCAGCATGCGAAAAACGCCTCGACATCAAAAGAGAACAAGAGCCACCTGTCTGATAGTCGTGCGAAGTGTTGTGACCTTCGTAGTTCAAGTGGTACCCGTCCTGAGTTCGAGAAAGATCAGGCATGGAGCTGCCAGCGTGGTGCTGACCGTTACCTAGACCCCCCGTGTTAGCTTGACTCGAGTAGTCTTGGCGATCTTCACCACTGCGATCGTAAGTACCAAGCTGACCCATACCGAAGTTAGGGTCAAGACCTGAGCTTTGCATCCCTTGACTCTGACCTTGACCACCGTTGGCCACGCCCTGTCCCGCCACCGCAAACTGCGTATCGACAGGCGGAGCGGGCATCTCATAGTTGAGGCGGTTCAAATAACCCTCGAAAGAATGTCGAGAATCGAAGGCACCCTCTGGCCCCATGGGCACAGACGCACTGAAGTTTGAGATGCCTCCCGAATCGAGGCGTAGCGCGCCCAGATCCACCGAGCTTCCCAGACCTGACCTTGGGCTGGCCTCGATCGAGGAAGCTACTCCATAGGGGCTGTACCCCACATGGTGACGCTGAGTGCTGTCGAGCGAAGCCTCAGAGAGGTTGGTCGAAACACTGGCAGGACTGTCGAACTCCCATCCTGGCTCAACACCGGGTCGACCGGCGCGGAAGCTGTGCCAAGTTGCGCTCTTGGAGAGGCTCGACGTGCTGGACATGGCAGCCGACTGCATTGGCATCTGCATCGGGTTGCCATAAGCATCAACTCCTGCAAGTGCTGTCGAAGCATCAAAGGGAGACGCAAGAGGATCCATGGGACGAACGCCCGAGTTATGCGTCAAACCAAAGTTATCCGCTGTCGATCCTGATCCAGTTGGGATATCTCCCGTTGCGCGACGCTTCGTGTCGCGGAACTCGATGAGCTTGTGTAGAACATCGTTGCATCGTGCAAGAGCCTCGACAGCACTTCTGAGCTCCTCATACGGACCGTTGAGAATGTGTCTGCTGACAGTCATCGCCTGATGGTCTTCAGTAAAGTCTTCGCACTGACGCCAGCTCACCTTGGGCTCCTCGGTTGTGCCGTTCTTGATGGGAGCAGATCGGAACACCTCCATGAAGAACGTCGGAGGTCGTTCGAGATCGATGACAAACTGACCCAGCGGGACACGTACACCCTCAGCCCTCTCCGCAATCGATGGACTTGTTGGACCATCAAAGTATGCGCTGCGGATCGAAGTCCAAGGAATCTCGAGCTTGAAACCGATAGATTCGCTAGTCAGGTACCAAGTCATCGATTGAAGGCGGCGCGAGAAAAAGCAGATGAGCGGCGACACGCGTCGCCATGAACCAATACACAGAGCCGAGGTAGGGATCGCAGTAACCGAGGGCACCTGATCTGCAGCATCACGAGCAGAGCGACCGTTCAACCCAACCGGTCTGTAGGTGTCTTTCTCGCTGAGGCGAGTGCTGCAGCTCTTCTGCTTGCACGAGTCAGAGCCAGTATCGCCTCGACGCTCAACCGTCTTGACCTTGGCTCGACGATTCTGGAACCAAACTTGCACGCTGCGCTCAGGCATGCGGAGCCTTCTTGACAGCTCATGCCTTATGCGACCGGTCGGGTTGCGGTTCTTCTCAAAGAAGGCTTCCAAGCTGCGAAGTTGATCTGGTGTGCACTTGTTGCGCTTCTTTCGGCCACGAGGTCGGAAAGCGGCTGAAAGCTTCTTCTTCTCTGGAGGGAGATCAGAGTCGGTGCTATCTTCGTACGAGTCGTTGTCGGCGCTCGAGTTGGCTGTGTAAGGAAGGCTATCAAGGAGGTCTCTACTATCTGAGGGATCGAAAGACTTCTGATCACGATGCATGCTTGCGTTGAGATCAATGTCGCCATTCAGACCAACATGAAGACCAGAGTCGGCTTTCAAGCCGAGCGAGTTGCCTTGTGTATCGTAACCGTAGTGAAGGTCAAAGCCGGCGTGATTGGGAATGTGATCGTGATAGGAGAGGTTGTGCTGTTCAGGAACAGGCCCGTCCCAGAACTGCTGTGGATGGTATGCTGACCCTGGACTCGTCTGAGGCTCAACTGTTCCCGCTGCCGTTGGATCACCTTGAGCGGACCAATAGATAGGAAACATGTTTGAGTTTGAGTTTGAGTTGCAGTTGTAAGAACTCGACTCGCCAGAAGCAGCCATCGCCTCAATCCTGCGCAGATCCTGATGGCTCGACCTCTGCATCATGACGTCCATCGATGGAGAGCTTCTTCCCTCTTGAGGAGGACGATCTTCGGCCTTGACGTGGGGGGAAGTGATGGTTCTGCTAGATGTTTGAGAGTCGCTACGACGACGCGGTGCTAAAGCTGCTGCGTTGGCTTTGATCGCTTGGACTGCCGCAGCCCTCTGTGGCCTCTGTGACATGACCGACGGCATAATAGCGATCGATTGCAAGCGTAAGCAGGTGAGAGAGAACGATGGTGAGTGTCAAAACAAGACGACGTTTTGACAGATGGATGCAATTTGGGGGATGAAGTGTGTTGATGAAGCGATGAGGGGGAGGAAAGAAGACGGAAGCAAGAGGTGATATTTGTGGGTTAGGGTCAGTACAAGCTTTTTGCGACGACACTGCATGATAAGCTCCTTCGATTGTCTCCGCCCAGCGGCGGGTCATGGCCCGCACAGACACCCTGGCAAACTCGACAGGCCGAATTGAGGGCCAGGGATGGAGTGTTGGCAAGCCTCGGCAGCTAGAACGGAGGAGGGGACAGAACAGGAGGGCACCTCCGTCCGGACAAGGAGGTCGCCATGCACAGCAACACGCTCAGATGCTTCCTGTGTGGGAAAACAATGGTGCACAACCGATGGCTTCGATTCAAGTGTGAGACCTGTAGCCAATGCTTAGCAAGAGCACGAGAGCAACTGCCAGCGACATCAATGCGTCCCGCCTTGACGCCCACACAACAATGCCTCGTGGCAATACTGCAAAGGAGGAGAGTGCAGGCGTACATGGATGTCCAAGTAGGCGGATGTCAAGGAGAGAGCCCGGTGCAAGCTCGGTCGCTAGCCATGAACTGAGCCTCCTTTGTCTACCGAAAGTCAGAGCTAGTTGCACCGGCCGAGCGTTGAAAAGCTTGTCTCGGCGCACGTCGCAAGAGCTAAAAGAGGCAAGAAGAACAACAGAACAGCTGAGGCCAAGCAAAGCGACGGTCGAGGCTGTCCTTGAGCGTGGGATCTTTGGCATCTTTTGCTTGGGAAGAAAGGGCTTGGTTTGCCATCTGGACCGTAGCAACAAAACCAGGGGCCATACATGCGAACAAGGTTGCAGAAAACTTTCCCTCGTCCCACCACGCTGTGCACAGCCTGGCTGTTCCGCCCGATCCACAGATGATAGGGCGAGACGAAGCGAGACCTTTGGTGGGTAGATTGGAGCGATGTCGACTCTGACAATAAGGCCGTTTGGAGACTTCATGTGGGAAAAGGCGAAATATCTGCTGTTTCATGATTGGACGAGCGACAAAGGGAAAGTCGAATGTGTGTGTGCTGCATGTGACCGGTTTGTTCTGACAGCTGAGCTGATAGATGATACTAACCTGTCAGAGATAGTTGGTTGCTGTTGCGAAACAGCTTGGTTCGGTGAGAGGATAAAGTTGAAGAAGCGAAGGTGGCTAGAAGGAGCAGACGACGCGACCTCGATTCCGGCCGAGGCTCTTTATCTAGCAGATGCGGACCTTGGAGATGGCTGTCAGATGACCAATGGCTTGCAGTCAGTAAGGCGGTACCAAGATAGCATTCGGACCCAGTGCTTAAGCTCGCTCGTACGCCAAAAGAAGGGGAATGTGCGAGAGGACCGGGAGCTGGCCCGGCGGGAACTCTTTGCTGCACTGGTCAGCAGGTGGGCTGCGGATGAGCATGCAGAGCGTCGATGAATCGAGAGCCGTGCCTGATGTGCGACAAGGTGTGTAGATGAACCTGTCAAAAGCTCCATAGTCGAGACTATGAACCAAGCTGGGACTTAAGCTAGTGCTGATCCGGCTGGAGTTTTGTCGGCTTGTGCTTGATGAGGTTCATCAGATTTGATCAAGGCGAACAGTCCATAGGCTTAAGAGTTTTTTTATGGGCAATACTGGCTTGATCAGTAGGCTCAAGGCTTGAGATTTGGGAGTCTTGCAATTATTCAGGAGCAGAGACCGGCGGTAGTGGCCCAGCTGGGATTGTTGGAGGTATGCAATGGTGATCGTTATGCATCGTGAACGTGACCGTGTCTCACGGACGCCAGGAGGGTGCTGAAGCACTCGGGTTTGCAAGCTTGCATATCGCCAGGAGTCTAGCACCACAAAGAGTTGCCTCGCTTTGCAAGATTGCAGCAAGCATGAAAGCTCGGATAAGCAGGATGGAGTTGTTCATGGCGCTGGTGAAGAACAATCGTCTCTCGAACGCGAGGGAGCCCCACATGAGAGGATATCAAGTTGGGCTGGCTAATGTGGTGACATGGTACTTGTGCAGCTGAGATTCAAGGAAAGACGAAAGGATTTGTTCGTTTGAACTCGAGTGGGCCAGCGGAAAGGGCCTGAGCATGCTTAAAACGGTCCCTGCTCTATGAGGTTGTCTGGACCGGAAGCATGGCGTCTATCACTGCGGCAACATTCGAGATGGAGCAACAAACAAGGACCGAAGAATGACCGGGGCTCGGGTACCTGCCTTTTAGAGCCCAACACTACGCAAATGCAGTGTCGAGATTGGAAGGACTCTGAGAGATGTTGCATGGAGGAAGTTTCTTCCATCATGCTAGCCGCAATTCGCTGAGCTCGAGCCTCTCGGCTGAATTTAGCAAGTTGCGTGCGCCGAATGGGGAACCGGCGTCGTGTCACTATTGCAAGCGACCTAAGCGTTTGATGGCAGCTGTAGAGATGTTGAGGACAAGCATTCCGATCCCGACAAAGAGCATGCGACGACAAGGGCGATAGCATCTGATTGGCTTCCATGTACGGCATCCGCCAAGTTGGTTGCTCAGACACGAGCAGAAATGTTGCGAAGCATGTGCCAGCAGGTGACAGCACCGATGGCGACAGGGCTAAAGGATGATCAGCGCTATTTCAAAGTGGCAGCCAAGGCGTCACTTTTGTTGGAGGCCTGTGATCGGCATATCGAATGTCCGACGTCGAGGAGCTAGGAGCCTGGGCCTTACCCCTGCATGGCCCCTTGCTTTGTCCCTGCCTGCTCCCGTCTGGCTGACAGGTTAGCATGCCCCGGTCCCATCCACAGGGTAGACGCACGAAACACACAAGACTTAGGCATTTCGTTGTTCCATTAGAACCACCTCGAACAACTTTGCGCTGGCACAATGATGGTCTCTATCATTTGGAAGCCAGAGCGGGTGAGCGAGTTCAGCCATCGTAGGTCTAATCGGCTAGGCCACGACTAAGCCACGACTACGCCAAAGGCAGTTGCCATTGGCTCAAACTTGGTATCGGTGGCGCAGCGGTCTGACCTTTCGACTTGCCGGATAATTATTGGCCTGCAACAGCGATCGAGCAGGCGAGTCAAGCGCTTGACAAGGAGAAGCAGGATAATTTTTGCCGACGTTTTGAGACGCTCTAACAGAGATTTGATTTCAAGAAATCCGGAACTTCGAAGCCGGGGCCGCACACTGGGCTCGCTGCCTGATTAATCATGAAGAGACCTTGCTTGCCCTGCCAGTCAGCTGTGGCTTCCCGATCTGGCTGCCATCTCCAGATGAGTTGGTAAAATCAGCCGGTACCGTCGACTAGGTGCTGGCTTGAGCCGATCTTGACAGCGTCGCAATTCGAGAGCCTCTCACAACGCAATGCAACGTCTGGCACTGTCGAAGGAAGCTAGCTCAAAGTGGAGGAAGAGGAGCGCACTTTTGTGTGTGAATTAAAGATCTAACAAATATTCTCTGCGTTTGCATGCATTGAGCGGTCTCTTATCCATCGATTGGAGACTCGCACAGACACACCACTGCGAGACACAAAGGGCTCTTGCTCGTTGCACTTTCAAATTGTGCTCTTTGTGGATGGGAAAGATAGACAGAAATAGGTACTTGCTAGCTCGATAATCAGGTTCACTCTGTCAACAGACGCGAACAGGACCGTGCCTGATCAGTGCCTGATCAGATCGGGCAACCCGATGGAAAAGCCGAACCCGATCTTGGAAAAGCCGAGGAAATAATCTGCAGTGACGACAACTCGCTCTGAAAAAAAGAGTGAGCATGTGTCACTGTGACTGTAGGCCCGTGCGCAGGTGGAGTTGTTATTGTTGCCGTTGTGGCTGCTGCACTGTGACTCTTCGCAAATGTTCCGGGAGCCATGGCAATCCTTATGTCCGTCGCCCATGTTTCTTCTTTGCCACACTTCCATCATCCAAACACATCCGTGATCACTCGCAACTGTCGCAATCACCTCGGTCGCAATCATCTCGGTCGCAACCAATACAGGCTATCTACCCTCGACCCGAACCAAGGATCCCTTATCTGGACGCACTAGTTCTTGCGGCTCCTCTGGTCAAGCCTAATCATCTTCCCCATCGTCTTACGTTTTCAGTACTTGTCTGTCCCTGCAAACCCTACTAGGCACGTTCCATTGGATACCGAACCCATAAGCAATCATGCCTTCCTCCAACGCCCCCGCTTTCGACAATGATACCATCATCGTAGGTGAGTAACGCATCGCTGATGCATCACAGCTCAGTCAAGCCGATGCTGGCAGATAATATGTACTGACACTCTTTCTTTCCGTCATATTTTCTGTGCTCGCCCACCGCAGTCCTCGGTGCCTCGGGAGACTTGGCAAAGAAGAAGGTATGTCTACTCTCATCATCTCGATCACCGCCACATTCGACATGAGCTGACTTTTTTGTTGCTTCTTGCTATCCTTTCCCAAACAGACCTTCCCTGCCCTCTTCAACCTTTTCCGTCTTGGTCTCCTCCCCCAGACCACCCACATTATCGGCTATGCCAGAACAAAGATGGACAAGGACACCTTTGCAGACAAGGTCACTGGTCACCTCAAGAACGTCGATGATGACAAGGGCAAGCAGGATGTCAAAGACTTCCTCGAGATCTGCCAGTACATCTCTGGTCAGTACGACGAGGATGCCCCTTTCCAGAACCTTAACAAGGAGATGGAGCGCATCGAGGGCGAGATGAAGCACGATCACCCCAGCCGTCTTTTCTACATGGCATTGCCTCCCAACGTCTTCACTGTCGTTGCAAAGGGTCTCAAGAAGAACTGCTATTCCGAAAAGGGAAACAACCGTATCGTCATCGAGAAGCCCTTTGGCAAGGACCTTGAGAGCAGCCGAGAGATGATTGGTGCCCTCAAGGGTCTCTGGAAGGAGGAGGAGACTTTCCGTATCGACCACTACCTCGGAAAAGAGATGGTCAAGAACTTGCTCATCATGCGTTTCGGCAACCCCTTGATCGATGCTGGCCTCAACAACAAGCTTGTCGACAACGTTCAGATCACCTTCAAAGAGCCTTTCGGTACTGAAGGCCGAGGCGGCTACTTTGACGAATTCGGCATTATCCGTGATATTCAGCAGAACCACTTGTCCCAGGTCCTCTCCTTGCTTGCCATGGAACGACCCAAGTCTTTCTCTGCAGAAGACATCCGTGACGAAAAGGTAAAAGTTCTCAAGTCGGTTCCCGCGATTGAAGAGAAAGACGTTCTTATCGGCCAATACACTGCTGCCAACGGCAAGCCAGGCTACAAGGACGACGACACTGTGCCCAAGGACAGCAACTGCCCCACTTTCGCCGCACTTGCACTGTATGTCAACAACGAGCGATGGAAGGGTGTCCCCTTTATCCTCAAGGCAGGTAAGGCCCTCGACGAGGCCAAGGTGGCCATTCGCGTTCAGTTCAAGGACACACCACAGGGTCTCTTCCACAACATTCCCCGTAACGAGCTTGTCATCCGCATTCAGCCAGACGAGGCCGTCTACCTCAAGATGAACGCCAAGAAGCCCGGTCTCGAGATGGCTACTCTCCCTGCCGACCTGGACCTCACCTACAAGGAACGCTTCTCCGAGGTCCGCATTCCTGAGGCTTACGAGGCTCTCATCCTCGACGCACTCAACGGTGACCACTCCAACTTTGTCCGTGACGACGAGCTGGACGTCTCTTGGGCCATCTTCACTCCTCTCCTCCACGCCATTGACGCTGGTAAGATCAAGAACGAACCTTACGAGTACGGCAGCCGTGGTCCCGCTTCGCTCAACGACTTCATTGCTCGCTATGGCTACCAGCGAACCAACGACTCTTACGAATGGCCCACCACCAACATCAAGAAGGTCCAAGGAAAGATGTAAAATTGTAGCCTCATCTCCCAATTGGGTAAGCCGAGCATGTTGGAGGACAAGTTGATTCGTAACCAGCTTGGAACTCCATAGTACCGCAACACTTCCCTGCCATGCTTGTGCTTTACTTTCAAAACAGCCATCAAAACAGCCATCTGCAGTTTCAATGTACCATCTGACAGAATCGAGTGGTTCTAGACTGTGGCCTGGAGACTGTGAGGAGGGAATAAGGCAAGCAAGGTGCGAGACATTGCTCTCTTCCGTTTCGAAGCGGAAGCAGCTGGTGCCCACTCGCGCTCTTGGACAACCGTCATGGACTGTCACCTGACCTTTTTCCACAGTCTCCGCTTATGTCGACGCGGGCGGTCTAACAGCAGAGCTTTATTTCGCCTGTTTGCAAGCTGAGTCAGACAATGACGAGAGGAAATTCCTCCGGGATGCAAAGGCTGAGTTGGTGGAGCAACTGCCGACACGACTCTTTGCTGCTGAGTTCTTTCTGCCCGAGAGCCTGCTTTCGTCCATTCAGCTTCCTACCTTCACTCCCACCACAAGCAAAAGCGACGCTGATCCCATCAGCTCGCACAAAAGATGCCTCTTGGCATGTCGCAAAACGAGCAACTCAGGATAAGGCGTCCCCATGAGTTCCCCGCGTAGACCGGCCCGACGACAACCTCGAAAGCCGCCAACGCTTTCACATGACCTGCATCGCCCAGAAGCAGATCCAGAAGAGGTGTTCGAAGTACAATCCATTTCAGACGATAGTAGCGCTGCTTCTATAGCTGAGCCTCCAAAGATGACCTCAAGAACAAAAGCAGCTGCCCCAACCCGGCGCACGGGCCCGAGTGCTAAGGCTGCAAAGCAGCCACTTTCGCAGCATGTCATCGAGGTGTCCACAGACGGCTCTGTGGGGCATCAGGATGATACACACCAAGATATGCACCTCGAATTTGAGGATGTGCAAGTCGCCGATACCTACAATGCTGCCGATGCTTCCCAAGATGACGACGAAGGTCTCGACATGGAAGATGTCGATCTGGACCAAGATCAGTCAGCTCAGGACCTGCAAGACATGTACGCAGCCGCCTATCGAGACATCCAAGCCAAGTACGGTGATGGAACAACTGAGGATGATGGCGAACGAGTTGATGATGATGATGATGATGATGATGACGGTGCTGGCAACGATGCCTCAGGGTCCAAGGCTATCCCGATCTTCAAGGATGGCAAGGGCCAGCATCGCGGTGTCGAGATCTCAATGGGAAGCCGCAGTTTCAAGCAGGCCGACACGCCCAAACAGAAGTCCAACAACTTTCTCACGCCTCGCGATCGACAGAACCGTATCACGGCACACAAGCTTCTGGTTCTCTCCATGCTCGCACATGCACGAGTTCGCAACAAGTGGTGCAACGACGAAGACCTTCGCGACACTCTGGCAGAATCGGTTCCAGACTATCTTGTCACTAAGCTGCGGTCGATTCATCCTAAGAAGGTTACAGAGCAACGCGAGAGGATACGCATGTTCGAGAGCTTTCTCTCCGACCTGGTCCGGTGGTGGTCTCAAAGGTTTCGCCTAGACCCGACAATGGTAGCCGACTCAGCTTTGCGACAGCCAGACCAAGATATTGCAACAGGTGTCATCCCGGGTGCAGGGAGACGGGTCGATGGTTGGATCGTGGAGACCGCAGCTGAGCGAGAACAGAGGCATCGCCGCGAGCGAAGGGAGCAACAACGCTACAAGGAAGCTAAAGAGCCTCAGAGTAAGAGCGCTGCCGAGGCTGATGGACGGAGTAAGAGCAAAGGCAAGGCACGGGCAATAGATCAGAACAGCTCTTCTGCTCTCAAGCCGCCAAGTAAAGCAATGGAGATCACCATCTTTGCCCCAGGATCGGCCGTTCGTCCGATCTATCTACGACTTTTGCCAGCATCCGAGCAGATTGACTCCCCAGCAGGGCTGAAGCAGCGCGCTCAGGAACGATCAGGCTCGAGAGAGACGAGCGCACAGCTCTTTTGTGCCCTGTGTCGATCCATGGGCATACCCGCAAGACTCGTAGTGAGTCCCCAACCACTGTCATGGAGTGTGGGTGCCAGCAAGCTCGCCAACACTGCCCAACCAGGCAGCCAAGCCGAGAAGAAGCCTAACCCGTTGCGAGCTAAGAATAAGGGTTCAGGGTCGCGCCGATTCACCTCTAAGCCGGTACATGAGTTCACATCGGACGAGGACGGTAACTATAGCGCATCAGGTGCGTCATCGGCTGCACGTAGCAAACGCTCGCAACGTTCCATCAGCGTCGACTCGCTGTCTTCCGCCGAGGAAGCGACGGCGAGTGATGTAAGTCATGGCAAACACAATAGTTCTCCCAGGGGTCGTCCAGCAGCAAGAGACACGGAGGATCTAGCCAAGAAGGCTGTGCTAGGTGCCAAGGCGAACTCGAACGCTGCGGGCAAGCCAAGTCCTCGGGGCAAGCGCAACCAACCGATCACAGTAGATGATTCTGCCTCAGATGCGTCTTCCAGTCGATCTGCTCCCAATGCTCAGACAAAGGCCGGCAAACAGACCAACGCCAGCCCTTCGACACGCGCCAAGGGGAAGGCAAGGCAGTCCGAAGCAATCAATGTCGATGATGTGGCAAGCAACGGTAATGAAGACGAGGATGAAGATTATCGTCCCGAAAAATGGAAGAATCTCCAGGCCCCGCTCAAGGTCGAACACAAGGTCAAGCTGCGGTCCTTCCGTCCCAAACAGCTCAAGGACTCTGAGATTGCCGGCGAAGACACCACAGCCGATCCAGTCGACCTGCAGGCGCCTCCAACGATGTGGGTCGAAGTCTTCTCCAAGCCTTATCAAAAATGGATCACCGTCGACCCTGTTCGATCTCTTGTGCGTCCATCTGGCAACCGACACATGGAGCCACCTGCCTTCGATCGTCAGAACAAGCTCATCTACGTCGTCGCCTTTGAGGAGGACGGGTATGCTCGAGACGTTACTGCACGATACACAAAGACGCTCAATTCCCGAGTTTCTCGCTTGCGGCCGCCAACACGTGCGAAGGGAGAGCAAGATTGGTGGAGTAAGGTAGGGCGTGCCATTCATCGCCCACAGAAGCTGGATCGTGATGCGATGGAGGACGCCGAACTGCAAGACAACAGCTCCCGTGAGCCCATGCCCTCATCCATGAACGGCTTCAAAGACCACCCCATTTACTTCCTCGAAAAGTTTCTCAAGAGAGACGAGGTTATCTTCCCTCGACGTCAGATTGCCACTTTCCAAGGCACACGCGTGTTCTCCAAGTCCGACGTCCTCACACTGCGGTCTTCACGTCAGTGGTACAACGAGGGCCGGGTCGTGAAAGACGGTGAAGTCGCGCTCAAGTTTGTCAAAGCACGCGGCTATACCCTTGCAAACAAACGAGCTGAGGAACAGGCTAGACTCGAAGGTCGCGAGGTTGCCCAGGAAGGTCTTTACGCTGAGTTTCAGACCAAGCTGTACGAGCCGCCACCTGTCGGATCGGATGGCACCATCCCCACCAACGGGTTCGGAAACATCGACCTCTTCGTTCCATCGATGCTTCCCGCCGGAGCAGTCCACCTTCCGTTCTCTGGTGTAGCAAAAGTAGCAAAGAAGCTCGGCGTTCCGTACGCAGAAGCAATCACGGGTTTCGAGTTCCGCAAACAGCGCGGTATGCCCAAAATCACCGGCGTCGTGGTTGCACAGCAGAATGCAGAGCTCGTGCAAGAAGCTTTCTGGCAGCAGGAGCAGCAAGATGCGTTGAAGCAGCAGACCAAGAAGATGGAGAGTGCAATGAAAAATTGGAGGAAGCTGATTAATGCTGTTCGTATTGCGAAACGTGTTAAGGAGCAATATGGAGACAAGATTGGTTCAAGTTCGAAGAAGACAGATGTATCGCAGAAGAAAGCTGCAGAAGAGCAGAAGACTGATGAACAGGCAGAGAGGAGCCGCTTCTTCGCGCCAAAAGAGAACACAGCGCCTCAAGAAGATGCCTCAAATGCAGCTTCCACAGAGGATGCTGTTGGTGGCGAGGACTTGAACATTGACATGCATCCCGAAAAGGAACCCAAGGTTGCTGTTGAATCCGCTCCATCAACCGCACCCTCGACTCGAGGCAAACGTAAAATCGTCTCGCTCGCTCAGCTAGCCTCCAATGCGGGCCGAGATGCTAACGACGACGAGTCCGACTCTAGTGTTAGCCCAACTCGTGCCACTCGACCTCCGGCAGGCAAGCGTCAACGCAGGTTGCCACAGAAAGTGGAAGTGCAAGAACCGACCAGTGTCAAGCGACCCAGACGCTCGACTGCATGGGCAAAACCCAGGATGGAAGCGCAACAGACAGAGATGCCTCAGCGAAGAAGCTCGCGTCGATCAGGCAGACAGCAGTATGTCAAGTCAGCCACTGACGATGAGATTGAACTAGAAGAGCAAGTCAAGCCCGAAGAAGTGCAGCCGGAAGTAGAGACCTCATGGGCTGATGAGAAAGGAAAGCAAAATACTCCCCGTCGAAGCAGTCGTAGGATCACAGTGAAGCTTTCTACGAGCAAGAAGTGATGTTCCGGTTCAAAAGGCTCTCCGTCCTGTTGGCACCTGCAATCTAACTTGTCACGATCACCAGACTTGACAAACATCATGCTATGATAGCGGGAAACATGAAACATCCTATTGTACACCATATCAAAACATCTGCATGGACTGCGCCTACAACCATGGAGCCCACGTAGGATCCTGCAACGCCAACTTGGACGGGTTGCTAGCCGAATTAATCAGATCCAACACAACCGAGCTTACTGGCGTTGTCGCCACCACACCTACGGGCGTAGTACCGTTGGCTCCGGTCTGCAACTTGTCAAGTTCATGTCTACAGCTGATTAATTTTGCCCTCTTTACGATCTCCAGCACATTCGTCAGAACGACTTCTTTTGGCGCCTCCGTGACGAGCGTCGGTGCAGCCGCAGATCCACCTTGAGCTTGCGCCTGTGCTTGAGCCTGTCTCTGCGCTCCTTGCAACCAGAAGTTCATCTCGTCACGAACAAATATCCCGAGGTATTCTTCCAGGTTTCGTTCAGGTTCGGTGAGTGTGCGACCGAGAGCCATGAGTGCAGATGTGAGTACGCCTTCGATGCCAACCGGTCCGATGAAGTTTTGAAGGTTGGGACTCAGACGGAAAGGTGTTGGGTCTGTCGACTTGAATTGGGGTGCGGTGGGGTTGAACGTGGGAACGACGTCCGACATTGCCACTTGACCAGAGGAGCGACTGATGTGGATCCGGTTCGGAAGACGGTTCGAGACAAAGAGACAGTAGGTGACGAAGGATGACGCCGCGGTTTGCAGTGTGAACTGCTTGCGAAGCATGTATAGATCCGATGCAGAAGGCATGGATCGGGTGAGGTAGCGAGATAAGACCGTGTCGGGGACGTACTTGGTCGAGATCTCTTCCATAAGGTCCATGCGGAGGTTGGTGAAGTCGACGTTGCCTCTTGTCGGTGCGCTCGCTCCAGCATTCGGTCCCAAGTTACCGCCATCCCAAGTACTCCTCATCTTCTCAACCCAAGCAATTACCGGATCGTCCTTTCCAATTCCAATCTCCTCACAATGCCTCTCATAGATATCCTGTAGGCTGACGAAACTCGAATCATGGTCAATCAACCTCACCTGCGGAGCCAACGGCAAGGCCAACGGAACATGGAAAGCCAACCCTCTCTTCCTCGTCTCCTTCCTCCTCTCCAAGATCCTATTGAAGAACCTGAGCAACTGGAAAATCCTCTCTTCCCTCCTACAGTACCTTCCACTAGGCAACTGCACTGCAAATGAATGCGTAGTACCCTTGTTACTCAAAATCGTCAGCCTCCTAGTACACATACCGGACGATCTGACCATCTCGAACACTGGCATAAACCTAGCGATCTTCACAAAGTCCGAATTGTTATCCTCCAACTTGAGATACTGACCAGGTACTTCGACCTCGTCAAACTTCTGATGCTGGAACTCAACCAGGTAGTGCGAACAATGCTCGAGATGCTGCTTGCTGGGTCTGCGGTCCAAGCTGGTTTCGTATCGGTCTCGCCAGCGTTGAAGCTTAGAGACGTAATCGCGAAGGGTGGGTTTGGATTTGACAAAGTCTTCCTCGAACGAGGTCTTAAGTGGACCAGGTGGCAGGTTCTCGGCGAAACGAATGACGTTGGCTTGAGAAGAGGCTGGGAGGACACCAGAGTCGTTAGGTGAGACGGCACGCTGGATGTACTGCTGAAGAGCGTCGTTGAGGAGGGCGTTGGTGAGACGATAGATGTCTTCCTCGTTGGTGGGCTTGAAACGCTGCTGAATCTGCTCGGCGATGTTTTCCATCGTGAGCGTGAGCAGAGGGAAGGCGGTCTTGAGGATGTTGAGGATCTCATCGACGTACTCCCATGGCTGTCGGGGCATGTTGGCTGCTGCAGCGGTGGCGGCAGCCGCTCCTGGTGCTGCGGGTGCTCCTGGCGCAGCGGCTGGAGTAGCCGAAGTGGGTGCAGACATCTTGTTGGCTTCCGAGCCAGCAGCTGAAGTACCTCCAGGTGCGGGAGTAGCACTGTCTGCCTTTGCAGGACTGCCTGTAGCCTGTGCTTCCGTTCCAGCAGGCTTGCTTGCATCTGCGGCGCCAGCAGTTGCGGCCTTGCCATTGGTAGCGGCCGCAGCCTGTTGCTGACGAGCCGCCTGCTGAGCTGCACGCTGCGCAGCCATGATCGACTGCCTCTTCATCGCCACAAAATCCTCCTTGGTCGTACGCAAGTAGAAGTACAACGACTGCGGGAAGGTCTTTGCGATCGACATGAGGATCTTTCGTGCAAATCGAGCCTCTTTGTGACTAAGACTCTGCAACAGCTGCGGGATGAAAGTGATCCAGTACCAAATAGGTGCATCGCCTTTGAATCCTTCAAACGCCGACCAAACGGTTCCCTTGCTGTCATCGTACGACAACAACCAAAGCACGCGAATGAGCACCTTGCGCACCTTGGCATTCTTGTACAGACCCGCCGCTTGCAAGTAGCAGCTGACTGCATTACCAGCAGCCGACAACTCGTTGGGCCTGTCACGGAACAGTCGGTCATTGTATCGGCCCCACTCTGTCCACGCCTTGGCCAAGTTGAGATCCATTTGAATCGCCGTAGCAAACGCATGGTTCGCCTCGTCATTGAGCCCAAGACGAGACATGAACATACCTTTGAGCGTAAAGAACTCAGCCTTCTGCGGAGCTGCGAAGAACATCAAGTTGGTGTTATTGATCACATCCAAACCCTGGGTGAGCTCGTTCGGGTTCTGGAAGTGGCATTTGGCCTGTTCGCGCAGCTTGAGGAACGCTTCCTGGATCTCAATATTGGGCAAGGTGTAGATCTTGGTGAGCGACGAGATGCAGACGTCGTTGAGGTAGTGCTTGCGTGCGACGTGGGCGAAACGGTTGATGATCCAGGCTGTTTCGTGGTAGCCACGGTAGGCGTATGAGTTGGTGGATGCGTTCTGTCCATCGCGCTGCTGAATGACGGGGACGAGCGGCAAATATGCTTTGTTGATGGCGCCAAACACGTGCTGCCTCCAAGCGACCAGGTCGGACCAGGCATTGATATCGTCCCACAAGTTGGGGAGACGTTCGCGCCAAGTCTGCATCTGAGCCTTTAGCTCAGCAGAGCGCTGATCAAGGTTCGTAGCGTTGGTGTTGGCGAGACTGGCGAAGATGGTGCTGGCCTCTTGCAACTCGACAAACTGCTGGAAGATCTGGAGCAGCGGCACGTGTGCGACAGTGACAGCTGTGGGCAACGAATGCCACTTCTTGAGCGTGAGCTGGATCGCCTCGTCGCAGATGCGGCCGAACTCGGCAGGCTTGTCTTGCCCTGACTGCGACTTGAGCAAAGCCATATAGGCCTCGAACACACGCCGTCGTGGAGTTGCACTGCTCGATAGACTCTCGAGTGCCTGCTCCAATGTCTCCCGCTCTGCAGTCCAGTCATACAGCCTCCAAGCGCACTCGAGCAACAAGTCGTTGTCGCCCTCCATCTTGGCAAGGTCGGTGAGGATATCCCACTGCTGCAGCTTTTGAGCGCAGAACACCCATTGATCCTCCCACAGGTGGTACTCGGCTTCGGTGAAGTTGAGCACACCGGAGCGCGCCTTAATCTGAGCCGTCTCGTACTGCACCTGAGCCTGGTTCCACATGCCAATCTGCTCGAAGGAGATGGCACTGTTGGTCTCGGCGTAGACGCATCGTCGGCGCCAGAGGCCGTAAAACATGTCTTCCTCCGATAGCTCGGCGTAGAGCTCGGTGAGGGCATCCTGGCCTGCTTCGCGAATCGCATCGTCTTGGCGGGGAAGAGAGCGGAGCAGGTTTTGCAATAATTCGATCGAGGTGTGCCAAGCATTGAAGTTACGGCCCAAGTACTTGACAACGTGAGGAGGCAACTCGAGCTGCGGCTTGCAGGCAAGCGCACCTTCAAGCAGAGTCTGAACAACATTGGGTCGCTTGCTCACCTGTCGCAGGTTGTACTCGCGAGTTAGCACGCCAATGAGTGCGCGTGTGATGTCGTCGTGGTCCTTGCGGGTCATCGAGCGCCAAGCAGCTGCAAAGAAGGATACGAAGATCTGGTGAGCAAGATCGCGGTCCGTGTACAGAAGCGCACGGATCGACGAAATCATGTCGCCGACCTGAAGAGCCTTGAGCGTTGGTACGAAGCTGCTTCCACCCTTGGCGAGCTGAATTGAGCTGTTCGTCAGCAGAGGGAAGTGGGTGTCGACAGAACCAAGCATGAGGTCAAGCACTTGACTGATCCAGTAGTGTTCTGCGAGGTACTCCCAGCTCTGATGTCCAAGCAAGTACTGCAGACGGCCTGCAGCGCTGCGAACGAGTGTGCGGTCAAAGATGTCAATGAACTTCTGTCGCACTTGGGCATCCTTGTGACGACATCCAAGCAAGAAGGCGTTCTCGAGTCGCACCGTCAACTCAGTTCGGGCAAAGGCGGGCGTTGTGTAGATGGCGTGGATGAGATCAAGGTAATCGCGAAGCAACTGATCGTTGTCGCGGGACTCGAACGACATCATCTTGAGCAAGATACCTGCCTTCTCCTTGACGGTTGGGAACGTCTCGCGCTGCTCCAAGATCCACTTGGACATGCTCGACAGCAAGAAACGGCAAAGCTCAAGCGAGGAAGAACGCTCGACCAGCTGGACGAGAGCTGAAAGCAGCCAGCGTCGCTGATCACCAAGGTTCGAGATCCGACGCTTGAGCAGCTCAAGAACAAGCATAAGCAACTTGAGGTTGGAGTCGTTGGCTGGCTCAGGTGCAGTGGCAGCGAGATGTTCCTTGGTCAACTTGCTCAGGGCTTTGCTGAGGGCGGGAAGGTGTGCATCGATCTTCTCAGGCTTGCTCTGACTCCAAGCATCGAGCATGCTGAATACGCTGTACAGATGCTGGCTCTGCTTGAGACCGTCGGCGATGAGGCTGTCGGCAAACTTGCGGAATGCGGCCAACTCGTCGGTGGCCTCGGCGTCTTTGACGTCCTTCCTGGCAGAAGCGTCCTCCTCCTCGGACTTCTTGTCGTCGCCAGTGTCCATCTCCGCTTCGCCATCAGCATCCTCCTCGGGCGGTGGATCAGGGATAACGCGGAATATGCGCTCAAGCACAGGCTTCTGTGCTTCAACGAGCGAGACCTCGTCGGTAGCGGCACTCTTTTCGAGCAGCTTCTGCAGCTGGGGTACGTGAGGAGCAATGTAGGCGTCGGTCTTGTCCTCAACAACGATCTGAAGCGCGCGCAAGGCGTTGCAGATGACAGGCGTGTTCTGCTCGTTGATCTCAGTGTGAATGAGAGGACGCTGGAAAATTGAGAGTCGCACCTGAACGTCGGACCAGTAAGGAGCCTTGAGGATCTCAGAGAGCAGGTTGGCTGCCTTGGAGACGATGCCTGCCTTCGAGATGGGCTCCATCGAGAGCGAGACGAAGCGCACGAGGAAGCCAACTGTCATCTCGCGCAAGTTCATGGGCATGAGGTACTCGTGATCGGCAGTCGACAAAGCAGCGTCGACGGTGGCAGCGGCAGTGGACGGCGTCGCAGTGGTGGTGGCAGCCGCGGGCGCAGCATGCGAGGAGCTCTTTGATGCAGCTGGTGATGCTGAGATGCCCGACTCGTCGATGCGGACCTTCTTGACCGTCGCGGCTTCTTCAGGTGCGTCGAGACCACGCTTGGCAGTGCTGGCGGCGGGAGCGCCCTCCCCTTCAATCTTGCTGTCAGTGTTGGCCTCCTCGGTCAAAGGCTGCTGGGATTGAACATGCTCTTGACGACGCTTCTCCCACTTGTGTAGCAATTCGACAAGGTCGACGGCCAGCATCCTCGACTCGACATTGACGTTGGCAACGAGACCGAGCTTGGTAAGGTTGCTAACGATGTGAGGGATAAACATCTCACGGCTGCTGTAGAAAAGATCGGCATGACGCACGAGCAAAGTAAGGATGGCGAAAAGCTGGCTGACGTTGTGGCCCTCATCGACGAGCTGTCGCTTGGTCCACTTGGCCCACTGTGGCGGCTGACCGTTCTCGCTAACACCGGCACGCTTGGGCAGTGCTGGAACCAGAATGTCGAGCGCCTTCTTGACCATGCTTCGGCCCTCGGACTGATGAGCACGGAGCAAGCCGAAGTAGACTTGGCCGACGATCTTGATAGGACTCTCAAAGACTTCGAGGAAGCGGGCGATGAAGATGTAAGCGACATTCTTGACCGTGACGTCCTCGGCTGTGAGGTTAGCCCAGCCGAACTTGATCGTGTCCTTCTTCAGCTGGCCGTTGGGAGCGAGGTGGTCGGAGCAGTGCTCCAGAATCATGGTCGACATGTGGAGTAGCTCGATGCGGAGTGCGTCGTCCGAGCAAAGCTCGTTGGCCTGCTTGGGGTTCTGGAACGGCTTCCACATGCGATTGACGATCTGCGTAACAAGGTCTGCGTCAATGACCTCGACATCATCGGCTTCGGCCGGCTGTGCGGCGGGTGCGGGCGCAGGTGCGGAAGAGTCCTTAGTCTCACTCTCCTTCGATGCATCGGTCGAAGAGACTGTCGTCGGAGCAGCAGCAGCGGCGCTGGCACTCTCAGATGCTGCCGTCGGCTTGGTGGAAGCTTCACTAGCAGCGGCCTCGGTCTTCCTGTCATCACTGGCGGCATCCTTCATCTCCACATCGCCATCTTTCTGAACAGCCGCAGTCATCGTGGAAGCAGCGCTTGCAGTCGGCGTGCTGCTGGCGGCAGGCTTGTCAGCAACCGTGGCTGCGGCGGGCTTTGGCGAAGAAGCTGGCGTGCTGGCCGGATGAGGTCCATAGGAAGCAAGCAGCATCGGGTTGATGAGGACGCGAAGTGCCTGCGTCTTAAGCGTCTGACTGGTATCCTTGTCCTCGAAGAGCGTAAGGAAACGCGAGAACATCTGCTTCTTGAACTTGTTGGACGCCTTGATGCAGAGGTGCTCGTAGATGAAGCGAGTCGCAAAGGTGAGGTCAAATGCAATCTTGTACGTGTAGGCGTCAAGAAGAGCAATGTAGGCCTCAACGTGCGGTTCGAGGCGAAGGTACGAGAGGAAAAGCTCGATGAGCTGCTTGGTCTCGCTGATGCTGCGTGTGACGGCAGGAGTTGTAGCGGTGCCAGCAGGAGTGGCTGGAGCTGCAACGGCGTTATTGGCGCCGTTGTTTGCTTCCTCGCGCCTGCGCTTGCTGCTGGCAGGGCTGTTCCAGAGGGCGATAAGCTTCTCGAAAATATCTTTGTTCGTCACCAGCCATTTGGGGTCGCGCTCGACCAGTTGCTGGACGATCGAGACACCGGCCTGTACCTGTGCAGCTGTTGCTTCGTTGGTGAAGAGCGGGAAGAGCAGCTTCTCGCGTCCAGCAGTGACCTGACTGCGAAGTTCGGGTCCATCGTCCGATGCTAGTGAGAGCTTGACCACGCGTAAGAACTTGGGGTTGCTAAGCTTGTCGCCTTCGAAGAAATAAGTGACGGCCTTCTCCGCAAAGCGGTTCAGGAAGAGCGTCAGCGGCTTGGTGAAGGGTGTAGGACCGGCGCGTCGCAGCTGTGACTCGATCTCGGCGACGGTGGTGGTGAGACGCGGAAGGAACTGGAACGACGCTTCGGGTAGCAATCGAAATACATTGACGATGGCTACCAGCGTCTTGATCTGCTCGTTGTCACGGAGCGAGCCAGCAGCTGCGCGGTGCAGGACAGCAGGCTCGGCAAGACTGGTGAGGTGGTCAAGCAACTTGGTGCCGATTTCGACCTTGAAGTAGTTGGTAAGCAGCTGCAGCAACCTTGCAAGACCTTCGAGACCGGACGCAGTGAGACGGTGGCGGTCGGCAAGGGTCATGAGGATGGGTCGTAGACCGCTCTGCAGCAAGTCCTTGGGCAGCTTGCTCTGTTGGCTCAACACGGTTTTCAACGACTCGTAGGCCACCTGGACCACCTCTTCGCTGCGCGAGTACAAGCTCTTGAAGTAGACCGAGATGATCTTCATGCGCATCTGCGTGTGCTTGGCGGAAAGGAAGTCACCGCAGGCCATTGCGGACGACAGCAATCGAATAGCCACCACACGCAGCTTGATGACAGCGATCATGTTCTTGTACTGAGACGTGCGTCCGATCAAAGCCTGATCATCGGCATCAGCGAGGGCCAAGGCTTCGGTCAAGACACGGTACAGCTCCTCGTTGAACTCGGGCAGAGGTGGTGTTAAGTTGAGCGCGAAGGTGATGGCATCAATGTGGCCGATCTGCATGCCGAAAGGCAATGCACGCAGAGGCTTGGTGAAGATGGGCTGGAGCAGACGATCCTTCTGCGGCGTCAACAGCTCTGTGACGCTGCACTTGCGCAATTCTGCTAGGAGCTTGAACGCTGTCTGCGTCGTGGTGCGGACGGTCGCGTTCGAGCTTGAGAGCTCTGGCACCAAGATACCAATAAGGTAGGTAAGGTGGCTTGGTCTCTCGGGGAGAGGAGGCTCGGGCTTGCCGTCAGCAGCAGGTGCTTTAACCGTGTAGGCCTGTCGAATGACCTGGAGCAGTGTCTCGCTGACCTCGTCAATGTTGCCGGGTGGGTCGTTGGGCATGTCCTTGAGCATGAAGAGGAGGGCACGCACGATCTCGAGTTGATGGTCGCGAACCCAGATCTGACCCAGGTCTGCACGACGCACAAGCGTATCAACACCGAGCCAGCCACCCGTCTTTCGCTGCCACAGCTGTTCGTAGCATTGAGAGCAGAACTTGCTGGCGAACGAGTGCATGACGATGTGGCCGAGGTCTGGTCGTGTAGCAGGTGCCTTCTCACATGCAGTGAGAAAGTCGCGGATGATCTGGAGCTGCAACTCGATGAGCGGCGCAGGATCGTTGCCGGCTTCATTCAGCGCCAAAGCGTTAGTGAGGCCTTCGAGCAAGGAAGTGGTCATGGGCCATAAGTGACGACTAGATCCACCTGACGAGGAAGGCATCTCGCGCTTGATCTCAGCATGGAAGACGTGCTTGCAGATGCCAAACAGGTACTGGACTGCCTCATCTTTCAAGTCGTCGGAGCGCGTGGCGTCAAAGAGACCTTTGATGAGCTTGCCAAAGACCGTCTCGCGATCGGCATCCATGAGGGAGCCATCAAGGAAGAGAGCAGCCGTGTGCCGCAATAGCTCGAATGCGTGCTTGCGATAGTAAGGATCGGTGCGTCGGATGTTTGCCAACGCCAGCTCTGTGACAGGCGTGAGTGTGATTGATTGCGATTTGCCTTCGAAGTGGACAGGGAAGGTGGGACCCTTGTGCGAGGTGTACGACAGTCTTGGTGGGTTCTGCAGCAGTTTGCGGTTACGTCCGCCCATCTTACCGAGGATGCGCATGGTTGTGTGCGAGTGCTGGTGGTTGTGAGGGAGGGGCTGCAGGTGCTGCCACAGGGCCGACATGATATCTTGTGCGTACGGAGCCATGATAGGATCGAGGAACTCTTGCGTCAAGTTGTCGATGCAAAGCTCGAGTGTACGGAGACCCTGGCTGACGAGCTCGGTGGATGATTGGAGCGCCAGAACTAGCGGCTTCATCAGGTAGCCTAGGTATGGCAGCAGGACACTAAGTCGGACTGGCACCGTCAAGCAGAGGTCGACAAAGACCTCGCGTCTGCTTGGCTCGGCAGCGTTGAGTAACGCATTAAGGTTCTCGAGCAGGACCGGAAGAAGGGGAAGCACGTCCTTGTAGAGAAGCTCGAAACGACCACCGCCGATACTGCGGAAGAGGGCACGTAGGAGCAAGAAATAGTTGGTCGGCTCATCGGCCTTGCTGGCAAGCTTCATGGACTCCATAATAAGGTGGCTGAGGTGAGGCTGCAGGACCACCTCGTTCTCTTCGGGGAAGATGGTGACGGCCATGAAGGCCATCTTGAAGAGACGAAGGCTGATGGATGCATGCTTCTTGTCGGATTTGCCAAGCTCCTCAAGACGATCAACGAGGAAGCGCAAGAGGATGCCAACAAAGCGCTTGGAGACTGCATCGTTGCTGAGCAAGTTCTGCGGGATGCCGAGCAATGTGGGCGAGTTGAGCATCTCTTGGAAGAGGAAGGGCATGTGTGTTGTGAAGGCCTCGTGGAAGACTTGCGGTTCCAGATCGATAAAGATTGTGGTGAAGAGATCGAGCACTTCTTTTTCCTCCCTGCCATCACGATCCTCGTGGAGCGACCAGCACTTGACACCATCGACGAGCAGCTTGCCTGCAACAGCACCATCCGGATGGGCGGCGTTGCGATGACGCAGGACGGGGATGAGGGTCTTGAAGCCGAAGAGAATGTTGCGGAAGAGGAAGCGGGCGTCCTTGAGCGGATCACCGGCTGTGTCAAGCATGGTGGCTGCGGCTTGGATAGGCTTGCCGCGTTCGATGGCGACGGCATCGACAGCACGCTGGGCTTCTGCTGATGCATGGTCCGAGTGCTCCTTGATCTGTCGGATGCGGTCCATATCGGAACGGAGACGATGCAAGCTGGAGAGCTTTTCGACGAAGACGTCGAGGATCGAGGCAAGCGTCTGCGTGGCGCCTTCGGGATGCTTTGTGAGGATGGTCTCGACAAGATTGAGGAGCAGCTTGACACACATGGTCTGAATGCTAGGCGCCAAGGTGGGGTCGTGAAGGATCTGCGAGTGGATATGAACGACACGGACCAGCTGAGCAGGCGAGAGCTCTTGACGGACGTGGTGGACAAGATCGGCAAGCATGCTGATGGCGAGGGGACGCTGCGTCTCGTGTGATGTGACGCCGGTGCCGATGAGGAGGCGCTCGTCCAAAAGGGTATCAATCTGGCCAACGAATTGAGCGCGGTACTCGGTGGAAAGGACGTGTCTTGTGGCGACGAGGAGCTCCTTGCGTGTTGCCGATGCTTCGGGCGGACAGTCTGTGAGCAGACGAACGCTGATCTCGGGGAGGACATGAGCAAAAGGACGCATGACGGGCGCAGATCCACGCAAAACGTAAGCGAGGAAGGACATGGTCTTGACCTGGGCCACGATCATGTCAGTGTAGAGTGATCTGTTCTTGATGCCTGGTGCGACACCGACAAAGATATCGGCCTTAGCCTTGGCAGCCTCATGAGCCTCGCGCTGCGGTTTGGCCTGTAGCGAGAGACAGCTCTCGATGATGAGTGGCACAAATACATTGATGGCCTGTGCAACAACGGTGCGATAGCTCTGAAAGATGAGGACTATAACGATAGGGCACTCTGTCAAGACCTTGAAGCTGGACATAGATTTGGGCAGCGTCTTTGAGGCTGGCGCAGCTGCGGAAGAGGTAGTGGCTGACGAGGCGCCCGGAGTGCATGATGATGTTGCACCTGTTGAGGCAGTGGTGGTTGTGTTGGTCGAGTCTGATGCATTGGTGGCTGATGGTGTAGTGGCTGATGGTGTGGTGGCTGATGGTGTGGTGGCAGAGGTGGAGACTGCATCTGTTGATGCTGTGGTGGCAGTAGTTGAAGCCGGTGCGATGGTTGCAACGTTTGTGTCGTCTGTTGCTGATGCTGTCGTTGCAGCGGCTGGTGCAGGCGAGGCGGTGGTGGAGCCGGAAGCACCGGTCGCTGCGGGTGCTTGGAGCTGCGAAGCTTCGGATTCGAACGCCTGCTCAACAGTGTTCTTCATGTTGGTGTAAAGCTCCTTGACGAGCTCGAGGAAGGGCTGTACCTGATCCTGTAATACGGCTTTGAAAGAGCGGTGAAGGTCGATAATGACTTTGAGTGCAAGAACGGCATTCTCTTCGTTATCTTGGCCGAGAACTTTGAGCATGGCGGTCATGAGGGGGTCGGCGTAGGGTTTAAGGATCTCTTGTTGAGGCAGACGATGTGTCGTCTCGAGGACAATATGGCGAAGACGCTGCTCTGGGGCCTCTGCCGTGAAGCTGCACGGTGCCGATTCGAGCAGAGAGACAAATGCTGGAACGACGTGTTTCAGGAAGAGGGCATAGTCGAAGTTCTGGAAGAGATCGAGCAATTCTTTGAGATCGAATGCAATTGCGAGCTTTGCCTTGACATCTGAGAGTGCAAATGATTACAGGAAAGCGATGGTCAGTTTCGATGGATCAGAACAAGTATAGTTTCTAGTCGAAGCTAGATGCATACCTGTCGACTTGTCCGAGAGCTTGCTGGCGAGCTGCTCAATGTCGGGCATGGAACGCCTTGATGGCGTGTCTGTCGACGCCATGGTAAGCAAGCTCTTCTATCGAGTGGAAGTGGCCGCGACGGTGAGATTGATGGTGTATTGAAGGCGATACGAGGGCTAGCCCTGGACAGGCTTCACTGCGGTTGCAACTGATGTGTGGGATTAGGAAGCAACTGGCTGCGATATGCTGAGCATGCAATCCTTTCAATGGTCCAGTGGTAACGCTTCCTGGCGTGTCCGAATGCGATTCCTTGAGGCGACGAAGGTGGTCTAAGAAGCCGATTGCTCATCAAAGGTGAATGCGAACTCCGCTCCGAAAGGGCGAAGAGTGAGCTTTCGGATGGATCCAATGGCAGTTGGCGTTGGTGGCTTTGAGCTGATGATCGAGCCTTTGTGGGATGTGCCGACCAGAGGGTATGGATCGTTGCAGGGTCGGTCCAGTGAGAAGCGAGTATGGAGAAGGAGCGGATCTCAAGATTGGATCACCAAAACGCCAATCCCGAGCGCGGAAATCGGCCCTAACCCATGGAGCCCTCTCGTCACGTGATCTGAAATATTATTACTTCCCCCCCCCCCCCCCCCTTTTTTTTTTTTTCTTAGTCAGCCTGACATAATGGCGTTTCCATTTCCATAGAGGCGGTCTAACATTCACTCTTCGCTTTAGTTCATTTGGCAAGCTGGTATGTGCGTGCGTGTCGCTGAAGGGACGAGAGAAACAGAGGGCCACAGCTCAATCGACTGATCATCACCACCACCATCACCATCATCACCATCATTACCATCCTCGCGGACCCTTCTTCGACACACCAATAGCCACCTGCTCGTCACTTGGAGCGCCGAAAACTGTCAAATTGTTTCAACGTAAAGCCGCTGGTCGCCTTTCGTAGCAGGCCTTCAAAACACTTTGGCATCCCGGTCAGGCACTCGAATATCTCGCCTCCTTGAATCGACGTCAGGCATGCATTCATAGCTCTGCCTTCCTGGGCTCTACCACCCTCCTTCGCAACGATCACACGGCTTCGACGGAATCCACAGCGACTAGGATCGATGCAAATCGCTACGACTAGGACACTTTTGCAGCTCTTGATTTCATCCTCCTCCTCCTCTTCACAGCCCTCCGTCGGAACGCGGACAGGAGCTCTGCTAGCTGATACAGCACGATGGCGAGCCTCTTACTCCGTCTCTTCCACTCGGACTACTTCTCACCTCATCTCGCCCTCTCCTATCTCCGCACCTACTCGGACAACATTGGCATCACATACTACCTCGTCAGCCAGCTCGAGTCTGCCTTCCCTTCGCACCAGGTCGAATTCTACTGGCCGCAGCTCTGTCATCTGCTCATCACAAAGCCATCCGAGTCAAGAGCGTTAGAATGCTTCATCCTACGACGATGCAACCAGTCCGTCCACGTCGCCCTTCTCACCCTTTGGTACTTCCAGGCAGCGCTCTCAGATCTCTCGTCTAACCCACACACCGCCTCCTTCCACATCTGCCACCGTGTCTTCAACCAGTGCCAGCGCATCCTCTTCGAAGATCCTCTCTCTTGTACAAACTCCGTCTATGCGCTCGGTGCAGCTGCAGCCGCCCACAATGCTGCCGGACCTTCCAACTCCCACTTTCTTCATTCGGGCCTTCAGGGCTTGTTGGCCGCTGCCACCAGCTTTGGCCGCCAGAAGGTCTCACCGCACTCTCCGCTCAGCAACATTGTCGGCATCGGCTCCGTGATGGCCAGTGTGCCAGGTATGCCTAAACTCGCCTCCATCACGGGTAGCATTGCAATTGAACAGGCACGTCAACCTGCTGGCGCAATGCAGGATGCGCTTGCCATTCGTGGCGCTGCAGCTGACAACGACGACGACGACGACGACGACATCGTTCAAGACGATGCAGAGCACTATGGAGAGAGTCATGACCGAGCAGAGGAAGATGAGGTAGATAGCTCCGATAACGACTCGCTGAACGAGAAGACCTCGCGCAACAGACAGGAAGCAGCAACAGCAACCTCAACCAAAGCGCAAGATGCTCAGCCAAGTCAATCTAGTTTATCTTCGCTCGCTGGGTCTTTAGTCAAGATGGCTTCTTCCGTCTCAATGTCCCGCGCAGAGACGGCTCCAATTCCACCACCCAAGGACAATCCGGTGTCGCCAGCTCAGAGAGGTGCTATTGTTCCAGCATCCACATCCGACAGGGAGATCACCTCAGGTGGTTCGCTACCTGCAGCTGACACGCCAAAGAAAATCGAGAACCCTTTCGCAACCTTCGCCGCAGGATTCAATGCCGGCTTCAACGACTTCAGGGGCAAAGCAGCTGCTGCTGTCGGCGAAGTATTCGGACAAGCGCAGGAAACAATCGCCAACACCAGCTCGTCAGCGTCTTCTACTGCAGCGAAGAACAAGTCAAATGCAGCCATTTCGCCTCCACCCTGGTCTCCGCAGAAGCCCCGCCAGCTCAATTCGTTCCGTCAGCAAGCCGCCACTTCACGCTCCGTTCCCAACTTGGTCTTGACACGTGGCAGCATCTCTTCTGCTTTCGCTTCGTCAGCCACACTTGACCAGTCAGCAGCCAAGACCGAGGCAATCCTGACGCTGTACAATCCCGAAGCTCGACGCAGCCTTCTTCGCTCCAACTACTGCAAGGTGCAGACGCAGTTCTTGCTATCTTTGCAGGATATCTCGGCTCGCTTGCTTCTGCTTCCCAAACCAGCCAGACTTTCGGCACTTCGAGCCGAGCTGACTGCACTCAACCACAAGCTCCCTTCCGACGTCTGCTTCCCGCTCTGGTGCACCGCCGACGACAAGGATGTTGTATCTTCTTCAGCCCAAAAGCAGTCGGATGGCAAGGCCCAACCTCGTCGTCACCATCGTGTCATCCGCATCAACCCAAGCGAAGCCGTCGTGCTCAACTCAGCAGATCGCGTACCCTTCTTGCTTCATGTCGAAGTGCTCAACAACGATCTCGACTTTGATCCCGATCGCAGACAGAACCGCGAGACATTGCGCCGTCTCGTCACGGAGGAAGATGTCCGTCGACGCAAGGTCGCTGCCTCGTCAGGGCGATCTTCCTTTGTGCAATCAGCTCAAGAGCATGCAAGGACCGACTCCGAGCACGACACAGAGACGCGTACCGGTACACTCGACGCAGCTGCTGCCCAGCAAGCACATGTTTTGGCTTCGGATGACGATCCAAACGCACTGACCAGGACCAGCACACCAAAGCCAATATCGCAGCCACTCACGCCCACTGTGGAGCAGGGAGATGGCATCGGTGAAGCTGTGCCAAAATTTGTTGCAAAAGACGTCAACGACAAGGACCTTGCCCAGGCGGGGGAGGAAGAGATCGATCTCACAGAGCAAATGTACGGATCGGATCTGGCTGGATTTGGTGGCGAGCGCGTTTCGTCTTCTTCAGATGACGAAGAGGAGGACCTTGCCTCACGCAATCGCATGCACGATGCGGCCGCATGGACTTCTGCTCCTGTTGGCTCTGGTTCTGCTTCCCGCAGCTCCGCAGGCAAGGGAATCAATGGCGATACCGACCAGCTCGCAGCAGGCCATCGTCCTATGAAGGAGTTCTCTCTCGACGAGTACGCCCAACGCATGCGCACGGCAGCTATCATGCTCTCTCAGCTCAACAAGTCCACTAACGCCTCCAAAGCACAGGCCATCGTCAACTATGGCCCCAACCTCAGCTCAAACGCTCAAGGCGGCTGGAGTTCGTGGATTGTCCCCACCAATTGGTACGGCTCGTCGAATTCCGCTGCACCTGCGAATGGCACAGGTGGAGGAGCTGGCGACAAGTCCGAGGTCGGCCAAGGATCTGCTGGTGTCACAACACATGTACGAACCAGTATTGACCCAAGACGAGCGGTGGCAGGCATGCCGATGGGCGGTGGTGGCGGAGCCGGTCAGAGCTCACGGCTCGTGCACGCAGAGACCGAAGCCATCCGCAAGAGGATCATGGAAGAGATGATGGCGCTGGAGGAAGAGCGTATGCGTCGTATGAAGACTGGTGGACGCAACGTTACCGCTTCCCGCCAACGCGCTCGTTCCAAACAGGGTCAGATGCCCGAAGACGAAGAAGAAGCCGTCCTTCGCGCTGTCAACAAAGACGACCCATCAGCTGCCATGTTTAGTGAGTCCTGGGCTGCCAAGAAGCAACGCATCCGTGCTTCCTCCCCCTACGGCCATCTTTCCAACTGGGACGTATTTTCTGTCATCGTCAAGACCGGAGCTGATCTTCGACAGGAACAACTCGCAGTACAGCTCATCAACGAGTTCGGCCGTATCTGGAAGGAGACTGACAACAGGTGCTGGGTTCGATACTTCCGCATCCTTGTCACTTCCGAGAACAGTGGCTTAATGGAGACCATCACCGATGCTGTTTCTGTGCATTCGATCAAAAAGGAAGCCTACTCGCGTATGTCGGAAGAAGACAAGTCTGCAGGCTATACACTGTATGACTACTTCCTGTCCGCTCATGGGCCTTCTACTTGCGCATCCTTTAACCGCGCTCGGGAGAGATTCATGGAGTCATTAGCAGGGTATAGTATCATCAGCTACCTGCTTCAGATCAAAGACCGACACAACGGAAACATTCTCGTTGACGGAGATGGTCGCTTGATTCATATCGATTTTGGTTTCATGCTCGGCATCAGCCCCGGAGGAGTTGGGTTTGAAGCTGCACCGTTCAAAATGCCTCAAGAGTATATTGATATCCTCGGCGGACTCGAGAGTGCTAAGTTCGAAGAGTTCAAAGTGTTGATGCGCCAAGGTTTCAGGGATGTTAGGAAGCATGCGGAGAGGATCATTATGCTGGTTGAGCTGATGGCGAAGGATTCGAAGCTGCCTTGTTTCGCGTTGGGTGATTTGACAGCGACGAACCTGAGGGATCGGTTCCAGTTGGCGTTGAGTCAGACGCAGTGCGACGAGTTCGTGGATAAGTTGATCTTGTCCAGTGCTGGAAGCGCTTTTACGAGATTGTACGATATGTATCAGAGATTGACCGAGGGCGTGCTCTAATTGTCGCCGCTCCTTCATCTCGGACGATACAATGCAAAGGGTTCTTACAAGAGCGAGATCAGAAGCTTGTGCTTCATATGCGTTGACATGTCTGGCAGAGCAAGGTGTGTATCGAGGTGAGAGCGTTGCATCACGTGATCAGCCATGAAGGCCTGCGCCTCTGGTTCGTCGATATTTGCCCTTGCACGGGTCTTTGCCTGCAAATCCACTTATTTTGTTCGTGTTAGGTTATACCTTTTTAGTTTTGTTTCGTGCGATTGAGTCCAGACGGGACGCGAAAAAAATGCGTTCGGTGAAAGCCCGGCTTCTTACCCGGAGAAGCGCCCTGTCCAACAACAAGGGTCCGAAGGATCACTGCATCCACTTGCCCGTTCCTTCCCTCATCATCGATCATTGCCAACACTCTCGCACACTGCTTGAACCTCGTTTCGAGCGAGTCGTATCACCATGCACAACAACACGATCAAGATCGTCTCCTCCATCGACGTCGAATCGCACATTCTCCCGCGCATCACCCTCTCTTCCCTGCTCCGTTCTCAAGCGATTGCATTGCACTCCCTCCTCCGCTCTTCATCCTTCACCTCAACCCCATCGCAATGTCCACCACGTCTCTCACTCACCGCGCCCGACTACACACAATTGTTTATGCCAGCCCGCATCTCCTCTTCTCCCGGCAGCGTGATCAAATGTGTTTCCGTTCCCAAACCTTCTTCTTCTTCCGCACGCTCCGGCATTCCGGGCGTCAACCTGCTTTTCGACGATGACACGGGCAGACTCAGCCATGTAGTCAACAGCACCTGTCTCACAGCGCTTCGCACGGCTGCTGGCTCACTTCTGAGCTCAGTACTAGCATTAGGCAAGGTGAAGGACCAAGTGAAAAGTATACTTGTGTTCGGTGATGGAGCGCAAACTGTGTTTCACATTTGGTTGCATCTGCGCTACTTTCCATCTATCAAGCAAGTGACGGTGGTTGTAGGTCAACATCGAAACCTCACTGCAGAAGATGTTAGAGTGAAAGAGGACAAGTTGCAAGCACAGCTATCCGCACTGCTACACAATCGATCGCTTTCGAAATGCAGCCTCACTTTCCTCAGGGCCGACTCGGAGAAATCACAGGTCGAAACAGCGTTGGGAACAGCATCGATCATCTGCACTTGCACCCCCTCAACAGTTCCTCTATTTGATCACTCCTCAGTAGTATCTCCCATTAGAACACACATCTGCGCAGTGGGATCATACAAGCCAACCATGTGCGAACTTCCACCAGAAGTCGTCAGATCAGCTTCCAGCCAAGGATCCCTGATGGTGGACAGTAAAGAGGCATGCAGCCATGAAGCCGGATGTCTGATTCAAGCTGGACTTCAGGTCGAAGAAGGAAGTGTAGAGCTGGGCACACTGCTGCCTGATCCGACAGTGGGAGAAGAGGAGGCGTATTTGGAGAGATTGGAGAAGCAACAGTGGAAAGAGGCGGAGGTGAGTGTGTTCAAATCCGTCGGAGTCGGCTTGCAGGATGTTGAGGCGACAAAGTTAGTTGTGAGATTGAGCGAAGGGTTTGGTGTTGATGTTCCCTTTTAGCACTTAACCATGAGATGACACGTATGAGGGTGTACCGTTGTCGGATGAGATAGGGGCGTTGGTGGGTGATGTTGAGCGTTGGTGGGAGTTGACGGGTGGCGACGCCGAGTGAAGTTTGCGGTCGTGTTAGAGCATGAACACGTCATGTGATTTCCCTGGCGAAACTTGCGTACATGTGAGATCGGACTAGAAGTCACATGCTTTTTTCACAGTGGGTGTTAGACCGAAATCTCAAACAAGGCGTTGAGCAGTGCGCACCAAACTCAACCTTGACCACCATCATCATCTTTCCCTTCTGCCATCCCTCCTGCAACATTAGCTCTGTCCAGGATGTCAACCATCGCACCACCACCACCCACAGCACCAGGCGCAGCCTCCACCTCAACCCAACCCCAACCATCAATATCACCCGTCCAATCAGCGACCCTGCGTCTATCCACCGTTCAATATGTAATCGGCTCCTCCCCAAACCCTTCCTCCAACAATAGCGCTATCCTCCAACGGCTAACATCAGCCATTTCAGCACTAGAAACGATCAAATCCAAGTCCGGCAAACCACTGACCCGCCTAGTCGATGATTGGGACTCTTATGCCGACCTTCTTCACCCATTAGACCCTTCTGTTAGAAGCGGAAGGGAAGAGGTGTGGGATGCGAAAGAGCAAGCGACCTATCTTTTGACGCAGTATGATGAGCTGAAGGAAGTGCTGAGGGACTTGACAAAGATGGAAACATTGTTGGAGCAGGGAAAAGTGTTGGATGGTGAATCGAGTCGGATGCTCTCTCGTAAGTCTGCTTTCTTCGCATTGTGTTCTGTGCTGGAGAGAGTTGCTAAAACTTTCGATCTGTATGGTGTAATGTAGGAGCGATAACAATCGAACAAAGACAAAAGCTCCAAGCATTGCAAAAGGAGGTCCGATCACAAGATCAAAGATCAAAAACAATCCAACAAAGAGTGCTGAACTTGGTCAGCGATTGGAGCCATTACGTGAGTCTCGATGCTCCCTCTCTTCTCTCACCTTGGTAGTTGCGGTTGATGTGCTGACAAACATCGTATATTGGACATCGAAACTATGGCAATCAACAGACAAGTACAGTGTCACAAGCATTCACACTGCTCGATCAAGATCTTTTACATCTTGAACGTGCAGTCTTGGCCTTGGAGCGCGAATGCAATCGCGACACCGAATAGATTCAGCAGACTTTGATTATACCCGCCAATACCAACATATCAGCCAGACAAACGGGGATTCGGATAACTTGTGAATGCTTGATTAAACATAAGACTGCGGTGACAAAGCGGAACTTGAGAACCAAGCCAGAGGGGAAGTTAGTCGGTAGCATTACCCGCAATCCCACTCGCGTTCCCCGTAGCAGGATTCAGCGAATCACTTTCGCCATCCAACAAGGAATACTGCTTCATCAAGACACATTCGCCTCCATGTTCCAAATCGATGTTGTACGAATAGAAATATCCTTCGCTGGTAACCACCATGACATGTGGAGTTGTGCTGCTTAACGCAACTACACTACTTACCCCCGGAGTTGGCAATTTGAGGAAAGCGAAATCTCTAGACGGTTCCCACATTTCCGTTAGACTATTCGGCAAATATCCTCCAACTGAACCTGTGATCCCCCTGCCCAGAGCCATACTTCTTCGCCTTAAGGTTCCTGATATCCCGCCACTGGAGGAAGAAGGTTTACGTCTACCCATAAACGCTTCGTAACCCCCGGCCCTACCTCCACTAGTAGCAGACCCTGGAGGAGAGGAAGAATCCGAATTGCCATCAAACGAACTTAAGCTTGGAGAATGATTCCCATTGCCCGCACTCCCTATCATCCCTCCGGCACCTTTGGACCCAGCAAGCTTGAAAATATGCACGGTCTCCGTATCGCTCGATACGGCCAACAAGGTACTAACTGCATTGAAGTTCAAACTGTAAATCCTTGCGGCGTAACTTCCTCTTCTAAACTGATGCAACTTTTGAGCCGCAGGAAGGGAGAAGACGCGGATTACCGTCCCTTTATCGCTTGCTGTTGCGAGTAGTGTTCCTGTGGAATTGAGCGCAAGAGCGGAAATCGGAGTCTTGTGCGCTTGGATAACGTTTGTCACGGACAATGATAACAAATCGAAGATGAGCACATCCCCTGCTGCTCCCCGGCCTTGCCCCGCACCACTAGAGCTGGAAGTGTTGGCGAAGGGAGAAGTCGGACTAGCCACGGGTGAAGGATATGCCAAGAAACAGTTCTCTGAGCTCGGGGAGAGTGCGCAGATTGCCATAGGGTTAGGACTGGTTTCGATGGTGTGGAGGAGCTTCATATTGCTTATGTCATAGATGTAGATCTCCTGCTCCAGTACGACTACTAGGCGTCTCCTGTTCAACTTGACTCCCAAGATTGCGGTGGGGAAAAGCAACTCGCAGATGACGGATTGCCGTTTAGTGTTGACGATCTGCAACCGACGCGGAGAAGCATTGGATTTCGGGTCGGAGTCAGAGGTGGCTACTAGCGCAACAAGGGAAGTGCAAAAGAGCATCTCGACGAGCGAAATAGGACCGGAATGGTTGGTATACACTCGACCAAAAGGTTCACAGTTGGTGATGGAGTATCCATCTCGTGTGCCGACTGCTACGCAGGAGTGGTCTTGGTTGAAGTTGACCGAGAGAAGGGCGTTTGAGGATTTGGTTGGGAGTGAAGTTGACATGGAGGCAGAGGTGCTGCGGTTTGCGAGCTTGTGAGCGAGGAAGGCCAGGTGGGTAGTGTGTCGAAGGGATGGATGCTGTGATGAAGCTCCTCGCAGATTAGAAGCGTGTGATGCGTGCAGAAATCCTTGTAGTGACCGAGTAGATGCCAGGGCGTTCGTAGGCGTGGGATAGGATGTGAGCTGAAGATGAGAGTGCTGAGGATGAGAGTGCTGAGGATGGAAGCGGAGTTATCCAAAGGTCGCTCACCAACAGCAACGATATAAAGTGGAGCACGACACTGCCCTGTTCTAAGGAGGCTCGTGCTCTGTCCTTTCCCTTGCGCACGCACACGCAACACAAGCATTTTCTTCCCGATCCCATTCTGTTAATTTGCTAAACCCTAACACGCAACACAAAGCAGACGCTCAGCCCTCAGTCCCGATCTGTCGATTCAATTGGCGATCCGCACTCATTTTTATCCCGATTCTATTCTCTATTCTGTTAAATTGCTAACACCTAACACCTCCCTCCTCGAGCTCGGAAGGCGGGCGACCCTTCCAACACTGCCAGCACCTCGAACAAGCCTTGCTTCCTCAGACACACATCTCCCAACACCATAATGGCTGCCGATCCCCCACCACCTCAGCAAACGAGGGCCCGCCTGTCTTTCGATCAATTCCAATTCCTCTGTCAATCCTACTTGGACCGTCGAGATAGCCTTCGCTCTACACCCTCAGCATCCGAAGCGCGGACACTCTCCTGGCTGACCTACGCACAAGATTGGACCTACCTTGCACCTATCCACGCGAATTCACCAGCCTTCTATTCTACTGCATGTCTCCATCGCTCCTTTCCCCTTCTTACCTTTCCTACTGCCGCTCGTGACCAGGAGGAAGTTCTCGAAGAACCTACACTCGACCCTTCAGAAGCAAATCCAGATATAAGAGAACTAGTAACCATCACTCAGTCCATTACCTGGTCTTCCGTCTGGCAGCTACCCATTTTGTATTTCTACGCAAGCGATTCCTCAGGTCAGCCATTGGGTCTGCAGCAGATTAAGGAGGTAAATATAATCTATACCAGGGGAACCTTGCCAAGCCAGGGAGGGGAGGTGGTGGGTGGAGGTGTGAGTGTTGCAGATCATCCCAGGAATGGCTTGCCTGTGTTCTACTTGCATCCTTGTGAGACCGAAGGTGCGCTGTCCATCCTTCTGATACAGGAGCAAGGTGAGGGGGGAATGCAGCAACGGCAGGAAGGATGGAGATACATGGCAGCATTTATAAGTCTGTGCGCTTCTGCTGTTGAGATGCGTGCTTCCTGACTCCAAAACCATCTCGTAGAGCTCATTATACCCCGCAGAGCACATTCAATAGTATACCCGCATGCAATCCTACTCATAACCAACCTTGTCAACAGTCACAGACTCAAAGAAATTGGTCGCAACGAGGATGGACATAGTCCCATAATACTAAAATACAGTACACTACACAGTTCTACAAAAGAGTGTATGCAAAAGATTACCACAAACCAGAGCGCTTCTTAGTGGCACTTCTCCCCAAACTAGCAGTCCACTTCTTCTCCCCTTCCCCTCCCTTTAGCACACCGGTGGACCAGAGCTGAGGCTGCGAGATCTCGACCTGACTAGCGCCAAACATCTTAGTCAAATCTTTCCTTCCCCTGACCTTTGTCATCTCCATCTCTGCCTCATCCCAACTTTGCTCAGACTCATCGCTAAGTTCGATGAAGGAAGCCAACTTTTCCTGCTGTGCTACCTTTGCATCAGCTGTTCTTCGGAGCGAAGAGTTGGATTGCAGTGTTCCCAGGGCGGACTTGGGAAATTCAAAGGCGTTTGCAACCAACGCTTCCAGTGTCTTTACTTCTCCTGAGTCCTTGCTGTCAGTCTCGGTGGAGGTGGGAGGCCAGTCGGAGACGCCGGTGATAGAGATGAGCATCTTACGGAAGCCAAGGCTTGAGCGAGATCTGCCTTCGTCTCTGGCTGTTGGGAAGAGAGTTGAGCCTTTCGCAGCTTGAGTTGCGACGGCGGTGGTTGAGCAGGAGGAATGGGTAGTGCAAGTGATGTTCGAAGTGATTGATGCGATACTTGGTCGACGCATGTCCATCGAAGGTCGCTTGGCGGCCGAGACAATGCGGTCTTTCCATGCGGCGGGAAGTTCTGCTGCTGTCAAAGCTTCAGCGGAGGACAAACGGGCACGATCGGACTCAGACTTGCCGGAGGAGCGGCGCATACGACCCAACACATTTGGCTTCGAGGATGACTCAGACATCTTACGTTTGCCCCTGATTGATGACTCAGGCGTGTCGGGGATGGCTGAGATTCCGAGTCGACCTGAAAGCTTGCCCTTGAGTGTCGTCGATTTTGTCATACCTGCCGAAGAAGGGAGAGGGGCAAGTGGAGCGTCGGAGAGAAGCCAAGGCGAGGGCTGCAAATCCAGTCGCTTACAAACATGAGTCCGAGCGTAGACTGGGATCTTCAGCATCGGGACGTCTGGGCTGGAGGCAACTATCTCGCCAATGCCTGGAAGATAGGTCGTACCGTCCGCTCTCTGGATCCTCTCGTTCAAAGGGATGGGCTCGACGCTGACATTGTCGATTACTTGCTCGGCTGATGCGGCATTTGAAGTTGCTGCCATCCAGTCACCCAGCAGACGATCAGGGAACCCTTCCTTGACCTGCTGCTCCTTAGGCGCAGCAGCAACGACGGCATCGAGGCTACCAAGTCGTGCTGGAAGCTGCGGGTGCTCAGCAGCCTCTTTTCTCCTCCTGCTAGCCTGTCGGAGGACAGAAGCGCGGGGCTTTCCCTCGACCGTCTCCTGAGGTAGTGGTGGCAGAGGCATGGCATTCATGCGAAGGGGGCTGCGAGGAGGCTTCACCAGCTGCGCCTCACCCTGGGAGAAGCTGGGCTGAGGCGTTTCGCAGTCCTCACCTTGCTGCTGAGGCAAAGGAGGAAGAGGCATCGAGTTCATCCTGAACGGACTCCTAGGAGACTTGACCGGACCCTGCACCTTCTCGTTGCAATAGCTGCTAGCAATGGATGAGCGAGTGCTGATCACGGTGTCAGCCGACTCTCGGCGCTTCATGCCCGGAGCGGCAAGGTGAGAGCTGTACAACAGCGAAGATCCGTGGGAGGCGATCGAGATGTCTACCGATGCGGTGGAGTCTGTTGAGAGGTAGCTTGCTGCACTTGCGCGACGTTCGCCAGCTGAATCGGTGAAAAAGGACATGTCATTGCTAGGGGTAGAATGGCCCATGTCAGCCATGGTGCTCATGGATGCATCGTCGGTGTCTTCGCCGAAGAGTGCTGCAGAGTCTGAGCATTGCGTCGAAGTAAAGTCGCCGTTGGAGGTGGCATTGCGAAGTGCAGGGTGAGGGAAAGAAGGAACAGTGAGGCTGCTCATTCGGCTAGGCATTGATGGCAGGCCTAGGCCTCTATTCGAAGCGCAGGCGGCAACAGCAGCAGCAGAAGCTTGTTCTCTCTCCTCCTTGCCGAGAGATCTGAGAGTTGCAATGCATGCTTCGTGCATCGCCACCTGCTCCAACAAAGAGTCGCACGCCTTCTCCTCTTTTGCCGCTCCGGGTAGTACCAAGGATACATCTTGAATACCAAGGCCCATGATCTCGACCTCGGGTGCAGCCGTCAGGTTGACAGGAGACAACAAAGGGCTACCATCAGGTGTCAGATACTCCTCACCCATCGAGTGTCTCACAGTACCCTGTGATTCATATTCATCGCCATCCTCTTCGTCACTCGAGCACCTCGCAAGCTCCTCCTCAAGCCAAGTAGCCTCTTCGTTGAGTGTAGGGCTATCAGCCTTGCAGAGCTTCGACTCGTAGACCCTTTTCCTGTTCGACATGGGAAAGGCCAAGTCTGTGATCGAGATGGGACCACGCATCTGAACAGGCGCAGCAGCGTAACTCCCGCTGACAAAGGTGTGCCAGTCGATGCTATCGTCGTCTGACAGACAAGGAGACACTTCGATCCGGTTGTGCGTGTTTGCGATCGTGGCGATACCTCTAGCGTTGGTTGCGTAGAGAGTCCCACGGATGGGCTCTGTGGACGAGCAGAGTCTCAGATGCATGCTTTCTTCAGCAATGCTTTGCTTGAGTCCACTCGATCGACCGCGGTATGATGGGTTGGCAAGTGTCTTGCTTCGAGGACGACTTGCTTCGAGTTTGGCGGTGAGCTCATCGAGTTCGGCGAAAAAGGACATGCGAATCGTTGGTGGGTTAGCGGTCTTCTTGATGCTGGTCGTGTTGGGTGTCTCTTTGGAAAGCATGGGGTCCAGAAGGCTGACGTCGCTTCGAGCACGGCGGTGCATGGGAGTGGAGACGCTAATTCGGCGAGCATGCTTGATTATTGTAACCACTGCAGTCTCTAGGCCTTCATGCGCAAGTGTTACACCGGACGAAGAAGTTCCTGCTTCAGAGCTTAACAGCACAGGTGAAGAGGCAGTGTACGTGGTAGAAGGTGCTAGCTCGGATGAGATCATGGGTGGAGAGTTGCCAGTGATGCTGTTCGCTGGTCGAGCTGGTTTGTGTGTAGATGGAACCGCGGTGGTGGTGGTGGTGGTGGAGGAGGATAAGGAGGAGGAGGAGGAGGAGGAGGAGGAGGAGGATAAGGAGGAGGAGGAGGATAAGGAGGAGGAGGAGGATAAGGAGGAGGAGGAGGAGGAGGAGGAGGAGGCAGACTGAAAGCGTCTCGCACGATCAGCCACACTGACTGCGCTGATCATCGAGGTGCGCTTGACTGGTGATTTTGCGGACATGTTGGATGTGCTCGCTGAATTGCTGATGGCAAAGCGAGAAGGACGAGCTGGTGTTGGTGCGACGTCTGCTGTCGATGGTGACATTCTATGTTGATGGTCTGATGAAAATGTTGGTAGTAGCAAGGAGATAACAAGGATGTCGTCGGGTTCTGTTTTGACCTCTCGAAAGTCTTGAAAGAGTAGGATGGCTTTATGTCGCTAGAACGAGGTGTAGCTGATGGGTCCGGAGGGTCTGCAGAGCTGTTTGCTATGAGGAGAGGTGAGCATGTTGGCTTTGCATTTGCTGCTTGGGGCCGAAGGGACCGTGCGGAGGGGCTTCTAGAGGGAATAGAAGTGGTAACTCATCAGTACCTTACTCCTTGTTCGGCATCGGTGTCCATTCAAAACAATATGAGCAGACACATGGTCGCACGCTGGAAAGGCAACTAGGCGCCAAGAGGACAACAAGATGGTGCTGAGAGAACAAAGCAGCTTGTATAAAGAGAATGCCAAGCTTCTGCCGATGCCACCATTCTCCATCAAAGAACGCGCCATGGTATACCAAAAAGTGGCAAAAAGCGATCCAGGAGTCTCGCTTCCAGGAACCGAGGGCACAGCGGTAGTCGCTACTGTGCGGACAAAGCGAACAGCAGAGGTATTGGCGAAGCAGACCAATGCTAAGCGGGATTATAGCGTGTGAGCCGCTGAGGCCCAAACTTTGTCCATGCGTTTGCGACTTTTGTCTCTGCTACGGCAACGATGTAGCTGTCCGCGAGAGTTGGACTCTCGGAACCGCAACACTCCCATTTCTTCCGGCGCTTTGTGTCCTCCAGGATGCCCTGACCTCCACCAAGGCGTGCCAAGTATCTTTTCCAGGAACGGTGGCAAGACATCGAAGAGGGGACTGAGATGAACGTGTGCGATCTCCAGGGCAGGGGCTCGCGTTTAGATTCACAATAGAACTTGCCTAGAGTGCTACGTTTGCAGATACCTTGTGGTCTGTTTGCTCAAAGGTGGGGTAGATCGCTTTGTTGAGCCGGAAAGGGCGAGCCAGAGAGAGCTATACCGCTCGGGCCGACTGGTATGGTGTTTGCTGAGAATGGAACACCAAGACGAAAGGGTGAAGATGGGCGAAAAGGAAAGGTTGACTTTCATTCTATCACAATGCTCACTTGTTTATGTACTCTCCGCCTATGTTTGCACAAGAGGGTATGCTCTCTTCGAGCCTGTCTGACGAGGCTTTGACAGGCAACGGATGAGCTTTGCTGAAGAAACACGAAGGTCTTGGTCTTAAACGACTGGCAGCTGTCAGGGCGCTCAGCCGAGATGGAATGCGATCTCATCAAAACGTCAGCGCGACCTGCCACTTACAACAGCCCACCCTTTCCCGCCAAGCGGCATGAGCGGGGGGGAGGCATAGCGGCTGCGGAAAGGAGGATCTCGAAAGAGAGAGGGATAGAGTGTACTGTACTGTCGAAGGTGTCTGCCTGAGTCACTGCGATGCGACGCAATGCCATGTCTTGCCATGCCGTCCAGGAGCAAGTTCGTGGCAGACTTTCCCTAGCAAGGGATGGCGCACTTCTGATCAGCTTTGGCATGATGTTTGCAGCCACACCAATCTTTTTTCGATGAGTTCGCTTAGATGTAAGTGTAGGAGACGTACATTAGCCGCTCTATCCGCATGAACTACATCGAGCTGCCTTGGTAGTGAGGGCTTGTTCTTCTGGTTCCCTTGCTCTCCGCTGAGGTCATAGAGACAAACGTTTTGTGCCTGAAGGAGAAATGCATGGTTTCTTGAGACCTCAAAGTTACTGAGTGAAGGTGGCTTCGATCGCAAGCAAGCGCTGCCTGTTGCAAGCAGTTGCAGAGCGTGTGACAGCGTCGGGAACGCTCTTGGGCGGACACTTTTCTTCGTTAGTGCCCGTCTCTGGGCGGCCACTGACTATGTCCGTATCAAAGGAACATCACCATCACTTGGCAGTGGTACTGCTGCGTGTGTAGATACTTGGTGGGACATACCCGCTGTGTTGCACTTGATCACAGTGGCAGCATTCTTCGGCCCACAGTGAGCGGCTGAACGCGATGGAGAGGCCCGTCGCCACACGGGACACGACGCGAAGCTATGTCACTCTCTTTCTGCAAGGTCAAGAGTTGGGCTCAAGACGTGTTCCTCGCCAACTTTGTGAGCCGATCGAATGGACTAAGATCTCTCCGGATGCCAAACTCAAAGCTTTGCAATCGTTCGGCAAGAGGTTCAACTAGAACTGTCATCGAGCGAGCATGCTTAAAGCCGGTCAGGGATCGTGCAAGCAGGGACCGAGGGTGGGAGGAACAGGTGAACCTTGCACGCGCACAGGTAAGACAAGGCACGCACACATATGCGATGCATCGAACCAACAATCAAGTCTCCTGTTCACACGACCGTCAGGGGGCTGGAGAGGATGAGTGCAAGCAGGCGGGCGAGGGGCAGACGATAGAATCAGACTCCTGCGGATGTCAGTCGGAAATGAAAAGGAAGAACATCATGGCCTCTTTGTCAGGCGGATTTCAAGCTCAAGTCCCTCAACTTTGGTGCTGTCCCCGCCTCCTCTGCTTCTCGATAATAGGACCATATCACGAGCCACCTTGCTGTTTGGCACATACGACAGGCTGTGGGTGTGCTGTTCTCGATGAGACACGGTGCTGTTGATGAGCAACAAACCAACTGAGAGCAAACGACGCGCAAAGAGGGGCGAGGATGCGTGGGAAGAGCAACACGCTCTATCGCGTCCTCTACCATCCCTTACAGAAGCCACGAAGGGCCAAGGCGCAAAGGGGTCTCCTTATCCTTAAGCATCCTCAGAATTGCAGAGTGACAGAGAGCGGAAGAGAGGGGGGTGGTTAATGTCCAAGTGAGGAGAACTTGCACCTCCTGACATCTCGCCTAACCAACCGCAAAGTGACACTTTTCCTTTCCGCACCCTCTCAGTGTTTTGTCTTTGGCTGTTTCCAGCCCGCTTCCAAGCTGTACCGCCGCATAGCGCTGATAGTGGCCATGGCACCAAGGAGAGAAAAAGCAGCATTCTTGCTACCATCCATCGCCAGAAACCGCCTTGTCACCGACCTCTTCGTCTGTCCAGAAATGTGAGTGTTAGATCTGTCTGCTCTGGATCGGCTGGATCGGCTGGATCGGGCCCGGGGGTCGGACACGATTGACTTCCGAGATGCGAGATTTCTCGCTGAAAAAGTGGAAATAAGTCTTGCATTTTCTCAAAAAGTCGCTGACGAGTTACCGAAATTTTCCAAGGAAAGTTTGCCTTTCTCAATCAATCAACACCTCGTCCTACTCAGCCTTCATCGTCCTACTCAGCCTTCATCATCCTACTTGCCCTTCACTCACTTCTGCACCATAACCTCAACGATCACTTTCAGCAGCGAACTCCCGGTACCGCAACAGTGCAGTTCTGTGGCATATAGCACAAATGCCAGACGCCTTCTTCCAAAAGAAGCGCAAGCGCTCCACCGGCGGAGCCTTATCCTCCTCCTCCTCTACCGCCGCTGGTTCATCAAGTCGCGCTGGTCCATCACGCGCCAAACCCTCCTCCAAGTCTTCCTCTCGTATGCGCAAAGGCGGCAAACATGCAGCTTCCGACTCGGACGATTCGGACGACAACACTCCAGGCGGAGGTATCGACGAAATGGACCTCACTCACAACTACAACCTTGCCTTGAATAGTGATGAGGAAGCCGAAGCTGCCGAAACACCCGCCGAGGCACGCGTCCGTCTAGCTAAGATGTACCTTCAGGGGCTCTCCTCGAATAACAATGCAGCTACAGCAGGCGGCCAAGGAGGTGGAGATGACTTTTTCGAATCTGCCCAAGCACCCACTTTCGGCCTAGCAGACGCCGCACAAGCAGATAAAGACAACATCGCAGCTCGACTTGAGAAAGATGTTGCTGAACAGAGTGGCAGGCTTCATATTTTCCTTGCGAATCGTGTTGCACCACCACATCTCCCCTCCAACGTGGAGGAAGAGCAAGTTGAGGAGAGCAGTGCAGGAGGGCGGTACGAAAACTCAATACTAGCAGTCCGTGGGCACCGACTCAGTGTTACATCAGCAGTCGCTTCCTCGGACGCAAAGTGGCTTTTCACAGCGAGCAAAGACGGGACTATCATACGCTGGCGCTTGAAAGATGGAAAACTCATCCGCATCCTCCCCAAACGTTCAAAACACCTCGACGAAAACGGCGACCCAATCCCACCCACCTCGTCCAACAAAAGCAAGTCTTCTGGCGCAGCACGTCGTCGTGCCCGTCTTACCAAATCCTCTTCCACCAACAACCACAACACATATGTCGCAGTCGGAGCAGACGCCGGTCACACCGACGAAATTTGGTCCCTCTCCCTCTCTTCCGACAACACCTACCTTGCTTCTGGTGGGAAAGATAAGCGAGTTTGCATCTGGTCTACCTCCCCTTCCGCCTCCAATCCTGAAAAGTTCTTAAAGTCCTTGGGTGGGCACAAGGATAGCATCACAGCCCTCTCCTTCCGTTGGGGCTCACATGAGCTATACACTGCTTCCCTCGATCGAACTTTGAAGCTGTACGACGTTTCACAGCTGAGCTATATCGAGACGCTTTTCGGTCATCAAGAGTCGATCCTCTCGCTTTCCTGCTTATCCGCCGAGACGGCTGTGTCGGCAGGTGGAAGGGACCGCACTTGTCGATACTGGAAAATCCGAGATGAATCGCAACTCGTCTTCCGTGCAGGAATCAAATCTAAACTTCGACAAGTTTTGGAAGGTGGAGAGCTGAACCAGGAGGAGGCAGGCAAAATGTCAAATCCGCACGAGGCGATGGAAGGAAGCGTAGAGGTGGTCAGTATGATCGATACACATCATTTCTTGTCTGGAGGAGACAGCGGCAATATCTCATTATGGAACTTGGGCAAGAAGAAACCCATCTTCTCAGTGCCAGTTGCACACGGATTCCAAACAACACTGAGCGAGACAGAAGGAGAAATCAGAACTCCAAGATGGATCACCTCTTTAGCCGCTCTTGCCTACTCAGACCTCTTCGTATCCGGTAGTTGGGACGGCCAAGTGAAACTTTGGGGTCTGACAAGCCAAGGAGGACAAGTGAAAGGGTTTAGACAGTTATTCTCACTGCCTATTCCAGGAGTCATCAACTCGCTCCAACTTGTCTCTCCACCGCTCACCTCAGTTCGTGTGGACGAGGAGACAGGTACAGTGCGAACCACAGCAATCGCAAAGGCAGAGTGGAAGAGGAAACAAGGTCTCAACACAAACCTCACTTCTCAAACCAATTCCAAAGAGTTCGAGGAGGAAGAAAAAGCAGTAGACGACAAAAAACTAGACAAACTACAAGCGACAAAAGACAACTCTCCACCAATCCTGATCATCGGTGTTGGACAAGAGCATAAATTTGGACGTTGGATCAATCTCGGTTCTAGTGACCAAGGAAAAGTTAGCAACGGAGCTGTGGTGATTCCTTTATCGCTTACAAGGACTGTTCAACATGAGTCCCAAGGCAACGGGAATGGTCGAAAGGCTGAATTCAAACTCGTCTGACCACTCTCTTTGATCACTCCTCCAGATTCGCAATAGCGTAGCATTGCATATCATACACACACACGCTTTTCCATGTGATCCAAATCGAGTAAGATGGAGAAAGGATGGACAGCTACGAAATGAAAACCTTGCGCAATTCTTCACTCCTACACTTGTCGCCTGTTCTAGGACACTTTACTTGCGCTTCGCCACCTTCGCCTCCACCGCCTCCACCGGCTGCCTCAAGAAGTTCAATGAGCGTACTCTGAGCATAAACTCTGCCATTACTCAGTGCCAACGGTGGATCGTTTTCATCCATAATCCTACCACTCTTTGAACAAACCAAGGTCGAATTCTGATGATGACTCCAAGGAACCTCGCTCGCTAGCTTTCCCAAGCCGGCTTGATCGCAGATGGGACAATCGACATTGCCGCCACCTCCTCCCTCCTCTGCTCCGTCTTTCAAGTGGGTGTAGCATTGTGGAAGTTTCAACGAGCTTAAGCCTGCGCTTAGTGCAATATGAAGTATAGGCTGCGGTGGGAGGGAATGGATTTGTAGAGCAGCAGCTCTAAAACTCTCCCGTAGCATACTCCATCGGTTGAGCGAATAAAGATCTGCATAAGGCCAAGAGTTGGGACCGCAAGCTAAAAGACCGATTGCTCTTGAAACTTCTCGCCGAATTGCTTCGGATGCTAGTTTTTCGTATTCTGCTTCTTTCTCATCTCCTCCTCCCGCTCCTGTTGGGGTTTTTGCTGTAACCAATGGCAGTAGGTGTCGTCTAGCATAGCTGATCGCCTCCTTGAGCGACTCGCCACTCCTATTCCTCGTCAATTCCACAAACTCTTGTAGACGAAGATTAAACTCCAAAGGAGTCCTAATCTTTCGTAAAGACGCTTTGTTCTCACTACACCATGCCAGCGCTAATCCGCAACTTGGTTTGCCCACCTCGCCCGCTCCCCGCAGCTCCATCCCACTCTTCAACGCCCGCTCCCAAGCCGGGGGACATAACGAATCCTCAATCTTGGCCACCTGCTCAAACAGACTTATATCCACCAGATCCTCAACCCCTCTACTCTTTACCAACTCCTCCGCTGCACCTCTGTATCCTCGACGCAGCATATAATCGACAATCATTCGATACAGCCTAGTCTTACTCCATTCGGAAAACTCGGGCGAGTCAGTATCGGAGATCTTGTGGAGAGCTTGTAGGTGGTCTGTACGAGATTGTGCCATTCGAAGCGAAGATTTGGCTTGGTGGGAGAGTGGTTCGAGTTTCCGTTTGAGACCTTTCAGACGGCCCAGGACCGCATCAAGGTTCTTTTCGAGCTCAGATGCCGATGCTGACTTGGATGTATCGCTGAATGTGGTGGTAGCGAACAGCAGTTCTCGTTCAATCAAACGCTGTTGAGTCTTTTGTTGTCTACGGAGCTCGTCGAATGGTACACGAGCGAATGGTGCTTCTAGTAGCAAAATGCCGTCTAGGTTTGGTGCATTACCTCCGGTAACCGCTTGTTCGGCGGAAGGAGGGGTGGGATCGACAGCCATTGCTTCTGCCATCGTCAACAACGCTCTGCTATGCTAGCTTGGATTCTCGTTGTAATTGGGCCAGATCAGTGGCTGATCGTGATGATGCCGGTATGAAGTGAGACAGCGCTAAGAAGGCGGTGATAGGTACGAGTTGTTGCAGATGGTGATGAGCGATGATGATGATGATGATGGTGGTGGTGGTAGAGAGCGATGCTTGTATGCGCCTGCTGCGCCTCCGCTTTGGCCAAGTTGAGCGGCATCAAGTCACGTGCATCAAGTCAAGTGCATCAAGTCACGTGCATCACGTCAGTCGGAATGATTTTCTCTGCCAAGATATGCTGCCTCGACTTAACACTCAAAGTGGAGGCTTTTTCAGCGTCCTTCTCCCTCGCACTCACACTCGATGTATATACACCATGACATCCAGAGCATTGCGTTCAATAATCAATCTAGTGCAGTCAGAGTAGAGCAGCAGTAGCGTTCGCAGCCTCGCCCGGGACCCAAGCTTTCACTTGAATGCCAGCCTCCTCACATGCTTTCCTACCCTTCTCAGCCCAATACTCGGGCGTGTTTCCGTGTTCTACGTTTGCCCCCTTCTGCTTCTCATTGAGCGCCGTCGTTGGCTCGCCATACCCTTTGATGCCGCCAGCACGAATGAAGCTGCTGACATTGGACTGATAGCGGAGGACAGAGAGGACCCCGATCGTCTGCAGTAGCACATCGTCTAGTCTGCTTTCTGGGATTGGTTTCTTCTTTTTCTCCTCTGATTTGGGTTGGATCTCCTGATCTCCACCATTGGTCGTGGAAGAAGGAGGAGCTTTCATTTCGGGGATAGAGAGATCAGAAGCATACTCCAGCTCGCCCTCACTCCCCTTCTCCTCCGCATCAGATGGCAGTTGTTGTAAAATGAACTTGCGCATCATAGCAGCATCCTTCTCCCCGAACTCCGGAATGACCAACTGATTATAAGGTTGCAACCTCGCCTTCGTCACACTATCATCCACTAACACGGTATTATGCTGTCCCCAAGGCCCCAATTTCTCCGCTTCCAGCGCTGCTTCTAGTGCTGCTGAAATCTTCTCCCTCTCCTTCTCCTTCGCCTCTACCTGCTTGTGCTTGTTATGCTTCCCTTCATACTTGTTCCCACCACCACCACCACCACCACCACCACCACCAGCAGGAGAAGTAGGAGCCACATCGTCTGGTCTCTCCCTATCCAGCCTATCCCTATACTCCGCAAGCAGCCTCGCCGGACTAGGCCTTTGGCTCGCAAATGCATTTAGCTCGGCCCAGACAATCTCTAAATCCTTTATACTTTCGGCCTTGAGTGCGAAGAAACGATTGGGTACGAGGGTGTCTCGTGCCCAAACGCGTTTCAGTTGGGATCGGATGCTGGGGTCGAATGAAGCTTTGACCATGCTATCGACGTTGAGGGGCTGGGCGGAGGACCAGACTACAACTTCTGCTTGACCGGAGGATTGAGGTTCGGAGCGGGTTGACCAGAAGTGTGAGCCGTGTGGTTTATCCCGCTTCCCCTCTCCCTCCGATCCTTGGTTGGGATGAGCAGGGGTAAAGGAAGGAGTTCCAAGACAGTAACGCAAGAAACAAAAGAGGTAAGGTCGAGGAACAGCTCGTACGGAATCCACTGCTCTACCATTACCCCTTTTCGCCCTGAATACCAGCGTTCCATTCAGATCCAAAATCACCAGTAGCTTTCGAGCCCCAGCTTCGGCATCGGAGAGGAGGGTGGAAGGCTGGCTTGCTGTCAGGATATAGCTATCACGAGGATAGGATCGGATCGAAGCTTGAAGGATTCGAGGGGGTGTCATCCTGACGTCGGAACTGTTCAAGGAGTTGAGGTTGTCGTTGTTGCGTGTGTAAGGAGAGTAGCGTGAGTTGGAATGATACTCTCGTTGTTGTGTTTGCTGGTAGTAGTTGGCAGGAGGCGGAGGATAGGAAGAAAGGTGTTGATTATATACATATTGCGAATGCTGCGCAGCTTGACGCATTTTCTTGGGTGCTTCTGGCGCACCCTTTATTGCGCTACCTGCGCCAGCTCCGTGTCGGTGCGGAGTTTGCGCTTCCCACCCATTGTTTGCTCTGCACCCTCCTCCGCTGCCACTCCCGTTTGGCCCTCCAGGATTGCGGTGACTGTGCGGATAGCCTTGTGCTCGGCCATAATAGGGATGCTCATAACGCTGCTGCTGTGAGGGATAGTATGCGGCCGGATAAGACTCGTAATACCCGCCACTGCCGTATCCTCCATAAGCGCAATCATCCTGATACTGCGATCCATAGCTGACATACCCATAGCCAGCGTATGGTTGGCTCTGATATTGTTGCGGGCGAGAATCTTGACCTCTCACCGCCTGTCTATGTCTGCTACTACCCGAAGCATATCCTCCGCTTTGATGTTGTTGATGTTGGTGGTGAGGGGTTCGATATGGACTTGACATGGCTACTTTTACCATTCTGATAGCGGCTCTGGTTGGGAGGGCGAAGGCAAGTGCCATGCGTCTGCTCTCTGCTGATGGTTGTTCTTCGCTCGAGTCACTCTTGCAGGTAGGGGAGGCGAAGGAAGTCAAGAAGCGCAACAACAAACTCTACTAACTCTCGCACTCTGCGCACAAATCTAATCCGAGTTCCGAACAATTGTGGAGCAAAATTCCAGCCTAACTCACACGGCCGTAAAGATGAGGATCAGTCAGACGATAGAGAAGACGATAGGCACGTCGTGTTAGATTATGGGTCGGCAAGATAGCTCAGATGGGCACGCCATGTCACGTGCAGCAAAGACGAAACGCGTCTTTCAAATGTCACTATTCTTAGCATTGTTCAGCACCTTGACCATCAGCACCACCATCACCTCCACATCCATATCTCCACATCCATATCTCCACATCCATATCTCGCAAAGATGCGTCAACGAAGACCATCCCCGCCATCAACCTCCTCCTCCGTCTCACCACCTACTTCACCATCTACTTCGCCACGTCGTACCCACACGAAGATACGATTGCGTAGCAGCATCGACGGCCCAGAACCAGCAGTGATTGGAGGGATTGGCAAGTTATTACGCCTAGTTCTCTATGCTGCTGTTTTGGCTTTGATTGTACCCTACATCCACGGATTTCTCTTCGGTAGCACGGAGGTAGGGATAGATGGAGGCAATGCGGCCAAGGCGGGGTCCAATGTTAGTGTTGGAGGACCAAAAGCTGTTGTTAAAGGAGCGAAGGGTGTGCTGGAGCAAGTTACGGAGCAAGTTGATGTGTCCAACTTGAAACACGACGATTACCTTGCTTCCACAGCTAAACATGCTAAGCAAGTCTCGAATCCTTCTCCCACCACTGTCATCGCTAAACCTCTTCCACAGAAGCAACAAGCTCAGAAAGCAGCCCGGCCTAAACCTCCCACTCGACGAAGCCAGCACCACAATGAAGAGGAAGAGGAGTACATCCACCCATCACCCCCTTCCAACAGCCCCAACTTGATCTCAACCCTCCTATCGATGCTTTCAGCGATCTATGGCCTAACTCTATCACTTTTACATATCACCTCCATCCCCTTTCGCCTTCTATTCTCCCTTGTCTTATCACTTCTTACCTCCATCTACGGCTACTCGCGCTTAGCGCTATCACACACCCTTCGACCAGTCGTAACCCTGCTGGCTCCACTAACCTATCTCGTATCCGGGATAGTGTACGTGTTTATCCAAACTCCAGCACAACTTATCGGTGCAGTTCTCGCCGAGCTTTATCCGGTTTACATCTTTTTGGGAGCAGCAACAGCCGTGGGGTTAGCAATGGGTCTTGTTGCAGCTGCAGTATTGTACATCACTGCGATTGTTTTTGTTGATCGTGTACCCAAGCAGCAACGAGAACAGGCGAGGTTGGTGGAAGCGAACAAAGGCAAGCACAGGATGAGGGGCGAGCGTGAGCAGGATGACCTTGTGTTTGCAAGAGGAAAAGGTCAAAGCGAATGTGGTTTGCGAGAATCTACTCCACCAAGCGAACGATATCAGAGGTATACGAACAATCCACAACTTTCCCATATTCCCCAATACTCAAGTGGAGGAGGGGGATACTTTGCAAGCAATCCACAAGGGTACGCTTCTTCGCCGCTAGTCTCCCCAACAACTCCTTATCGAACAGGCAGAAGTGACAGCGAGGCAAGAAAAGGCAGTTACTCTTCCTATTCTGCACCCACTTCTTCCTTACAGGCTGGTGTCGCTTAGTACAATGGTGCAATGGTTTACTCAGTCTAATCAAACTCGATCTTGTGTGTGTGAGCAAAGTGCGATTGTTACTTGCATGCTAGAAAGAAAGAAAAAAAATAGAGTTACAAGATGAGAACCAAAGAGCCTTGTCAAGTACGAGAGCTGAGAGCGATCACTCATCACGATCGTCATCGTCATGATCGATGATACGAGTGCGTCGTCTGCGGACACTGTTATCCGTACTACCGCCCAAGTTTCTCTCCGTATCCGTGTCCTCTTCATCCTCCACATCCACATCACTGCTGCTCTCGCTATGCATCACTTCATCTTCCCCTTCACTATCACTATCACCGCCATTATCCTCGTCATCATCCTCGTCATCATCCTCGTCATCATCCTCGTCATCATCATCATCATCAACAACCCTTTTACCACCCCTTCGACCCCTATGCTCGATACTTGAACCTCTCCTTCCCCCCATCTCATCCTCTCCTTCACCATCGCTACTGCTAAGAATCTCAATCGGTGCAGCCTGTCGACCCCTCCTCGGCCCTGGCAGGAAATGATCCCCCTCCTCGCTATCCTCATCACTAACACCATTCACATCGCTCCCACTATCACTGGCACCACGGGTCTCATCCTCCTCATCATCCCTCACAATAAAGTCGTCCATCTCTTCGTCTTGCTCATCCTCTTCCTCCTCCTCATCTTCCGTTTGCACAACCTCGGCTCTCCCTCCACCTGCACTTCTCCTCAACTCCCTATCCCGCTCCGTATAGTCTTGGGCAATATGCTCATCATCATCCGAGTCAATATACGTGATGCCGGAAAAGTCATCCGGCACCTCCAACCTATGCCTCGCTCCGCCTCTGTTCACATGCTCCGAGGGTCCATGTCTGTCCTGGAACCTCCTCAACCTCTCTGCCAGTGGCGCATTTCCCCTCGATTGCCTCCGAATCGCTTCTGGGTCCGGACGGTACTCGCCACCTAAGCTATCCAGATCACTATCAAATTCACCAACGTCATCCCAGCCGCGCCTCCTCAAATCTTCATAATCCGACTGACTATCATACTCAATAGCACAGGAAGGATTACTACAGGTACCATCAAAGATCTCGGATGCACAACTACCACACCTCGCCACACCATCCACTTGATCGAAAATGATCCTTCTCGGTCCATCCTGATCAAAGATGTCTTGCCATACCTTTGCTCCCTTCGGCAGATCTTGCGCCTTGGACCGTGCCTTGTCGTCAAGGTTCAAGGTGGCAGCGCTAGACTCAGCAAGATCTGCGTCGAGATTGTTAGCCTCTTTGCTGAGCTTCAAGCCGGCGTCGACCTTCTCGAGCATATCTCTCACCAAGTAGACCTCGACAGGTGGACAGGCCAACTCGGTTCGACAAGAGGGACAAATTTTTTTGCGTTTGAGCGTACGGGCGCGTTGATAGCGTACGATGGCTTCCTCTGACCATCCTGCAGTTGGATCAGGCTCGCTGGCGAGCGGCTTGGTGAACCAAGAGCAAAGACAGTTGATGCAAAAGACATGGCCGCAAGGTGCTAGCACGCAAGGACGGAAGGCAGGTTCAATGCAAATATGGCAGGTGCACTGATTGCGAAGATCCTTGAAGATGGTGTGCTGAGCAGTGATGAGCTCGGTGTGCTCTTTGGCTTTTGCCTTGGTTTGGGCAAGTTGAAGTTCGAGTTGGCGGATGCGGAGTTGGAGTGAAGCGGCATCGGTAACATTTGAGGAGGTGGAAGCAGCTGCGTTTACTTGAGCTTGCGGCGTCTGCTCCGACTCGAAGGCGGTGGTGAAGGATGCGGAGCTGGGCTGCGATTCGATCTGAGAGTCTTGAGTGCCAGCTCTCCTGCTTCTTCGGCGAGTTGTCAGAACTGAATCGACCTTGGTGGTGCTGGTACTCGCATCAGCAGATGTGGTTTCGGCGATGGTCACTGCTGCTGCTGCTGGCTTCACATCTTGATCCTCGTCGTCACCAAAGAGTTGGCGGGCAAGGTCAGCAGGACGTTTGCGGGCAGGCGATGCTTGTGCTGTATCTGCTTTCCGCTTCGAGCTGTTGCGACGCGGGCTTGGAGAGGATAGATCGACCACTACGCTGTTCGATACGGGGTGGGATTGCTTTTCAGCGCCATCGTCATGGGTCGAAGAGGTCAAAGGGGAGACCGGTTTAGCAGGTGGACCGGCTTTGGAGGAGTGAGATGCAGTTTGCTGGTCTTTGCTAGGGGCCATCTTTCTCGCTGGCTCATCCGTTGCCGGGTGAGGCGTGAGAGAGTTGCGGCCTGTTGGGATGCGATGATGGTAATCAAGATACAGGTCAGTCAAAGTAGATCGGGGGAGAGCTTTGGGTGGTCAAAGCGTGTGAATTCGCAATGGTACGCAATGAGCCGATCGATCAACAAGGACGCTGAATACCACTGCGTTGGGTGTTGGGGATGAATTGCAGTCGCTCTCCTGTGCTTGTATGCGGCTTTGGTGCGACCGGACGAGGATGTGGTGGAAGCCGGAAGATGAACTGGAGAAGGAAGGTGTGGATGGAGCGGAGGATGCGTGGCTCTCTATATAAACAAGAAGCACCTCGATGAAGGCTTGGTGGGCTGAGCTGTTCTCCTTCAGAGTGGGCGCTTGTGCCTGTGCGTTGGCTTGGCTTGACTGGCTTGAATGATGAAGAACGAGGCAGATTGCCAGTGTCTGCTAGGGTCGATATGAAATGGCGGCTGAAAGCTTTGTCGTGTGCAGAAAGCGAAATGTTGATGATGATGAGGGAGATGACACTTTGTAATTCTAGCCTCGGAGAGGGAGAGAGAGAGAGAGATTGTGAGAGGGAAAGAGTGAGAGGGAAAGAGTGAGAGAGGGAAAGAGTGAGAGATTGTGAGAGATTGTGAGAGGGTGATGGGTTGGAGATTGCGATCTAGTCCGATCTAGGAATAATGTAGATCAGATCTGTAGAGGATCGGGCGGAGCAGATTCAGTCGGCGATCAGGAAAAATAGATCTGATCGGGATCAGGTAATGCAAATCAGACAGGGAATCGGGCTGAGCCGATACAAGAGAGAGATCGGATGCATCCCGTCTGGACTCAATCGCACGAAACAAGAATCAGAAAAACTAAGTGGATTGCGGACAAGGACCCGTGAAGTCCTCGAAGCTCGACAAGGAGGCTCCCGGCCCACCACTAGCTGCAGTGTTGCCTGTGCAGCAGACAGCAGTCACAGCAGAGGGGCCAGAGGCTCCACCCAGCCTAGAGGACTGGGTCCTGCCAAGAGGGGCCCACAGGGACAAGGGGTCCCCACTGTCATGGGCCTGGATGCGCAGGAAGCAGAAAGGCCCGTAAGTTCATATGAAGGGAGTGCAGGAATCGAGGAATTGGGTAGATTGTGGGAATTACAGAAGAATTCAGTGAGATCAGTAGTAGACACAGTTCTATGACAGATCTCATCGAGATCTGCACAAACAAAGCCGATATCATGAATTCTGCCAGAATTGGTAGTAAGCATGATTGTATGGCAGATTCCACAGAGATCAGTGACAAGGATGTTTGTATGATGATTTCACATGTGAGGAGGACCAAGCTCACAAGTGAGGAGGACCAAGCTCTGCCAAGACGGGGACCAAGCTCAGGAACATGCAGCTGGTTACCACTCAGGGGGGCTCACAAGATAAGGGTCAGGAGAACCATTGCCAGTCGAAGGAAGAGGAGCTGTGTAGAGGACACTGGCAAGCAAGTCATGAGGAGGAGGAGCAGTGTTGAAGGAGTCGACACAGCTCAAGAAGGACAGGAGTGACAAGCAAGCAGGGCTCAAGGAGGAGGAGGCGCCTCATCGGGGGCCCCTGGATAGTACTCGACGAAGAAGGTACTCTCTGGAGAGAGAGAGAGCTGGAGCAGTGTCGCAGGCGACGCTGCAAAGATGTATAAAAGCATGCCTCCTTGTCATCAGTGGACGAGTGGATCCTCATCCACTCTACACACCATAACTAGTATTACTTCAGAAGCATAAGTATTCATTAGTTCAGTCAGCATAGTAGTAATCAATAGATTGCTCCTCATTGTAGTGCATGTGTCATATCACCACTCACTGATGTCTGAAGGTGGTTCATAGCAAACCAGTGGTCCAGATAAAGATAGAACCAAAGGCAGTAGTCCACTGCAGTCTGGGGATCACCTCAAGCGATAGTTGACACACTGGACACTTGTGTTGATGCCACCAGTACCCACACTCACACCAGACCTTTGGTGTCATCATCAAGTTCACCACCAAAGTATTGATATTGATCATGCCAGGCTACCTCTGGATGGAGTGTCCACAGCAGTTAGTCGAAATCTGCAATAGCATTACTACAACTACAGATTCGAGCGAGAAAAATGATAGAGACAGCTCTATTGCATATCACACCAAGAATCATAATACCACTAGTGTTGTCGCATAACTCGACAGAATCGGTAATAGTATCGATACTACTACCGATCTCAGGTTTCAGGCACGTGACCGCTGACACCCACCAGGTCGAGTAGAGGGCAGCAGCAACCATTGCGCATTGCTCAGTAGCCGAGCGGTCAATGTATCGGCGATAGCAGTCTGAGTTCCACCAACTGAGGAGCTTGATGGTGTCTGCATCAACACCCTGCAATGCTGCCCAAGTGGCCGCTCCCAAATGGAAGGAGTGTCCCATGTACTGAGATGTGTCCCGTGTACTGAGATGTGTCCTGTGTACTGAGATGTGTCCAGCCCGAGGCAAGAGAGTGCCGAGCAAAGGTGCTGGAGGAAGGTCAAATGAGTGAGGGGTTTGTACCCATCATGCAGCCCAAAGAGGGGAGCATCAGGCCTATGGATGGTAGGACAGAGGAGGCAGAGTGCAGCATATGGGCACTCCACCCTGCCAACTTTGGGGACCATGATGGGGGTCCCAAGCCTGAAGGGGTTGGTCTTGGATGCCAGGAGGAGGAGTATGGTGTAGTCAGCTTGCCATGTGATGGACCTGACCAGCAACTGAGTCAGCAATGGCTGGTTCCAGGCAACCTTGCCACATTGAAGGAAACAGGCAAAGGAGACAGCAAAGGCTGCAGCAATGACCTGATGGTCCCAGCCACTAAGGGGCATGGTCTGGAGCTGCTTGAGTATGGCCCAGAGAAGGGGGAGGGTGATGGGGAGCTTGGATGCAGCTGGGTGAAGGCCATGTGTGTGCTTGATGCCTGAGACCACTCTTTCCAACTGGCCATGAGTGAAACCATTGAGGTTGAAACCAAGGTCAACATGCCAGGACCACAGGGCATCAAGCTCATGCTTGATGCTGTGGAAAGGGTGGGACTGTGCCATGTCACAAGCCCACTCAGTGAGGAGCAAGTCCAAGGCTGGAAAGGGGGGGGGGGGGGGTACTTGGTCCAAAGCAGAGGTGGACAAAGGCCTGGTAGCAGGTGGGGACACCAGTGCTTCACTTGTGGCTGGATTCAGCAAGACCTCACCAGATGTAGGAGGCTGTGAGTGCTGAGCAGCCAGTGGCAGTAATGAAGGCTTGGGGTGCTTTGTGGGGGCAAGGGAGAAGAGGAGCTGATGTGCCAGTGGGAAGCACTGCTGTATAGCACAGAAACAGTGGCAAGAGAGAAGGTCAGCCAGGTGGTTGTCCTCCAAAGCCACACAAACTGGTTGGAGGGTGATTTGCTGCAGGAAACAGAGTCCAAAGATCTCGTGGAGCAGTGTCTGAGTGAGAGGGTCCCTGGAATGGCCAGTTCAAAGTCCTGACTCCACATTGGTGTTGTCAATGTGGAGGACAACGAGGTGTGGACTGCTCCAAAGGGGGGAGAAGGCATGCAGCACCTCCAGAACAGTGAGGGCTTCTAGGAAACAGATGTCCTTGGAGCAGTGGCAATGAGGGACCTCTCAGGAGAAGGCTGCAGTAGGGGTCTGCATGAGCCTGAGATGAGCCCCATAACCCCGTTTGGATGCATCAGTCCAGACATACTCAACTGTGAGCAGCAAGGGTTGTAGTAAGGAGTGACTGGGCCAAGCATGGAGGGTGGACCACCACCATTTGAGCTCTTGTGCTGCTGGATGAGAGAGGTGACAAAGAGACAGGGGGTGGCAGTGAGCAGCCTTGGAGGCATTGTACAATCTGCACAGGTACACTTTGCCATGGGGGACCATGAGGGAAACAAACTGGAGAAGGCTGGCAATATGCTGCCAGTTGATGAGGCAGGCTGAGCATCAGGCCAAGAGGTGGTTGATGGTGTCTAGGATGTGGGAGTGGCACTCAATGGTAATCCCAACACACTGTCAGACAGTGTCGACCTCGATGCCAAGGATCTCCAACTTGGTGCAGTCCCAGAAGGTTTTCTGGGGTGCCAGTTGGAGGCCAAGAGCTGAGCATGCCAAGGCGAGCACATGCAGAGGCTTGCCAAGGTGGTTGGTACTGGGATGGCTCCAAAGAAGTTGTCCAGATAATGGTTGACAGGATGTTGCATTGTTGACTGCAGGATCCAGTGCAAGGCCTCTGCAAAGAGGCTGAAGTTCCAAGGAGAGCTTCAGCCCCCAAAGGTGAGGCCCAGCTCCATGTAGAACCAGCTGTTGAAAGTAAAGCCAAGCAGGTGAGCATTGTCAAGAGTGGTGACAACATGCCGAAATGCATCAGTCAGGTTGCTCTTCCAGAGGCAACAGCCCTGATTGTCCCACACAAACTCTAGGACTGTGGTGAGGGAGGTATCACAGGGACGGCTGGCCTGCGCAAGAGAGTGCGCCAAATGATCAGCAGCAGCTATGGTAATGTCGTGTAACGGAGCAGTATATGAAGGGTGCGCAGAAGATCAACATATGAAGGGTGCGCCAGATTGATCAGAGCCAAAAACCATCGGGGATCAACAAGATTAATTGGGTTGGTGTCATGGGCCTGGATGCTCAAGAAGCAGGAGGGTCATGGGTTCATATGGAAGGAGCACAGGTATCGAAGACCTAGTCGATACCAGTAGAGAGCATGGTCGTAGTGCAGTCTCCATGGAGACCATGGACTCCTATGGACTCACATGCAAAGGAGAACCGAGCCACATGCGAGGAGGACCAGGCACAGCCACAAGGAGGACCAAGCTCAAGGAGCAGGCACAGCCACGAAGAGGACCAAGCTCAGATGGTTACCACTCAGGGGCTCAAGAGACAAGAGTCCTAGGACACTGGCAAGCAGGTCCTGAGGAAGAGGAGCAGTGTCGAGGGAGTCGACACCAGGTCATGAGGAGGAGGAGCAGTGTCG